AGTTGCTCATATTTGCGTTCAAATTTTAGAATATGGTTATCTTGATCATTTTCGAACCGCTCTAAATATTTAGAAAATTAATATCTATTTTTTTTCCTTCTTCTCTTTTTTGGAAGTTTTTTTTTTTTTGCTGACCGATCCGGTTATGAACATGTCTAAATCATTAAACAAATCATCCTGCAAAATTCCGAAACTAGACAACTTGTATTTTTGTTCCATTTTTTTAAACGACTCTTGATCTTTCTTGGTTCGTGTTTTGGTGGCATGCAAATTCTCTTCCTCACACGCTTCAATCTTTCTGAGCCGTGAAAGTTCTGCACGCGTTTTAGCGTCTAAAGCTTCGTCTCCGTCGTTGACGATTTTCGGAACGTCCGTATACTCAGACAAGAACGACGAAACAACGGACTTGTCGTAGTTGACGTGGTTGTACTCGTTTCGCTGTGTCTTGTTCTCTTTGTTCAGTAAAGACTCCGAAACTTCAAATCGTTCTGATTTTTGGCCGCTTTCACCATCAGATTCAAGCACAAACTCATTCAGTCTGTCATCAACTAACTTAGTATCTTCTTCTGTTTTCGTTTCGCTGAACATTTGCTTTTCTTGTTTCTCAGTTTCTTCAATGTATTTCTTCATATCTGGCCGAGTTTTCTTTTTGAATTCTTCGAACACCTCGTATTTCGCCGACACTTCCATCAAAACCTCGTCCGTATAGGCTTCCCCCATTATTCTATGCTTTGCCGCCTTCAGGTCAGCCCCCAGAATTGTAATCGTCAAGCCAAGCAAGCTTTTTTCGAATTCGTTAATTTTTTTAGCCTCCATCTTAAAAAACTCGTCGTCAAACGAGCTCGACAGCCCTTTAAACTCCTCCACTAATTTTTCTAAATCGGCTAGATTGCTTTCCAAAGTTTCGCCGTAAACCACAACGAGCTCTTTTTGAGCTAGCTCTAGAGCCTGTTTCTGGTTTTCATTTAAATTTAAACGCATAATTTTTTAGCCCTGTAAATGTACAGCTAAACCGCTTTTTTAAACAAACGTGTCTGATTTCTAACTACTGCACAAATACTAACAGAATCCTTGATATGAGCTTTCGATGCTAGTTTTAACAGCTGAAAATATTTTATATACCGAAAAAATATTTATTTAAGTTTGGAACCAAAATATATATGTGTTCAAACGCCGGATTTGTATGAAGCTTAGAAAGATTATTTATTAAAAATGCCTGTTCTATATAGTTATCCAGTTGTTAACAGAGAGTGTTATATAGATAGCTACTTCACCACTTTTGGTTTTACTGACAAAGAGTTTATTATTTGTTGCTCAACCTCTTTTTTGAAAGTTTTCGAAATCAACGACAACGGGGATTTTAATGAGCTTAACAAGCTTGAGCTGTTTGCCAATGTCAGAAAGATTGCAAAGCTCAACGTTGTAGGCGATGATAGCGAATACACTATCATACTATCTGACAGTGGTGTTTTTACTATTATGCACTTTGATATTTATAATTTAAAATGGGAAGTTGTGGTTCAGCAAAGTTATGGGAGATGGGGAATTAGACGCAACACACCATCTGAATATTTGGAAACTAACTCGCAAACTGGGCACATCCTACTGGGCGCTTTCATGGAGAAAATAATGATCTTTTCGCTAACTTCAAATAATGAGGAGAAAAATCCCAAATTCAAAATTGATTTGCAGGACGTTAGCCACATAGAGTTGAAAGGTACACTTATCAAAGACGTTAAAATACTTGATGCTGGCATTAATGACCCACATTACGCAATTGTAGAGGGGATTTACGGAGAAGAAGAGTCGACGCAGCAAAAAAAGCAAATATCAATTTATCGGTTTGACGTAAGTCTAAACATGCCAATAGTTCACACATCATTTGGTATATCTTCTTTTTCTGTGACCGTGATTCCGTTACCGGCAAATGTGCAAGAAACTTTGAAGATTCCATTTTTACTGCACGAGCAGGATGAGCTTAAGCTTGTATCTGACGGCGAGATAGTAGACATCTTGAGACTTCCGACTCGAACAAAGGACTGCTCCGCTTTTCCCTCCATAATAGCTACATATGCCATACACAAAATGACCAAAATTGTACTAATTATTATCCAATTAAACAACGGCGATGTGTTCAGAGTGACGATAAATAACAATAAAAGCGTGCGACTAATTTACTTTGGAGTTTTGCCTATTTGTCATAAACTACTGATCCTTCCGTCTGGATATTTGATTGCGTTCAGTTTTTCTACAGGTACATCATTGTACGCTTTCACGTCGCTCGGGGACGAATTACCGTACTGGGAGGCTAACGCAACAAATTTATCGTACGATGTCGCTAAACCAACGACTTTGGAGTTCATATCGACTCATTCACACAATAATGCGGTTCATTGTACTCTAGTAGCAAACTCTACTTCCGACATTTACTACAATCAAATATACCGTGGAACCGGTGATTGGCATTCACCGCAACTAGAGTGTATTCAGTACGGAATTAAAACCCTTCACATTGGAACGACCTCTCTGCCTAGTACTTGCAGTAACGTTTGGACGTTGTGTTCTAATAAAGAGGCTGGTTATCATGACTACGTTTTGTTAAGTTTTGTTTCAAGCACACTCGTGTTAAAAGTTGAAAATGTATTGAAAGAAGTTCTCACAAACAATTTCGTCACGAATGAGACTACGATTTTTGCCACTACGTTGGACAACGGTGACTTGTTGCAGGTCACGTCTACCGAATGGCGAATCCTTTATTTTTCCAAGAAAACCAACTCCGAAAACGAAAACGTACACTTCATCAGCTGGCATCCTCCGTCAGACAGACGCATTGTTTGTGCATGTTGCACTAACGATGTTCTTCTGATCAGTTTAAATGGCGGAACGCTTTATTATTTTGCTTTTGATGAAAATATAAATAACTTTGTGGAGGTTACTTCCAAAAACTTTGGTTATGATATACATATTCTTACTCTCCCCGAACCTGATTGTGAGTTCAATCGTAAAATTGTTATAATAGTTGGGATTAACAACTCGGTTGAAATAATAAATTTAGACAACCCAACAGAACGATTCAAAGCTCTTTCAGAGCTTGAACTTGGAAGCGAGTTTATTGTGAATTCCGTTGCGTTGATTAATCCCGTTCACAATTCGTTTGCTAACACCGAGTTAGTTATCGGAACGACGAGCGGCGTTTTGCTTACTTATGTATTCAATAGTTTTAACTACACCATAGGCGACGAAGAAACTAGATATTTTGTAGGTAAATATCCCGTTTGTATGAAATCAGCCAAACTTGATTTTAACTTAGGCCCTGATTTAAGTTACGATGATAATTACAATTTTAACGTTAAAGCCAACTGCTTAGTCATCTCGGCAGGACAGGATTGGATTTACCACAAACTGTCTAAATTAAACCCGATAACTAGATTGCTATCAAATATGTCTCACGTAAAAAACGCTTATATTTTTTCAGAGTATTTTGAGTCGGGTTACATTGGGATTAGCAATGATACTATGTCTATTATTAGTATACCAACATTGGACGTCAATTCAAGTTTCTCTTCAACCGTTTATAAACTATACCACACTCCAAGATCTATATTAGAACTTAAACTAGATCAGAACCAGGAACAATTTATAGATAAACAAAAAATCAAAGTTATATCTGAGGAAGACAACGATAATTTTTTGGTCATTTTACAGTATGACACGCATAAAAAATTGAACAAGCCTATTCAAGAAGTTATCCCGTTAGAAGACTCATTAACCAGTCTGGATAATTCGTTAGATTTTATATATGAAAATTTGACTTCATACAGTTACAACAACGATAAAGACACTTGTTCTTGCATTTCAGTAATTTCAATAAAACAAAAAAGAATCAATAACACGAGATTTACAGATAACGAAATTCCACTATATTGTTGTGAGGCTCAATTCGAGTCGAGACCTAATCAAAACTATCTCGTAGTAGGTACTGCAGTTAATTTTTCACTCGTCACAAAGCAGTCCGAAAAAGCATACATTCGATTATATAACATATCGCAAAAAGGCAAGCTTAATCAAGAATCGTTCATACCGATAAATAAAACTCCTTTATCGATTACACCATTTTTAAACGGCATATTAGTGGGTTGCGAACGCTATTTGCGCTATTATGCACTCGGAAAGTACAAGTTTTTAAAGAAATGCGAGTACAAAAACTTACCTGTAGGTATCATTAATATTAAAGTCAATGGTCCTAATATTTTTGTTGTTGACATTCAGCAAGGTCTGCACACTTTGCATTTTTCAGAAGAAAACAATTTATTCTACGTGATTTGTGATCAAATACTGCCTAGATGGGTCACTTCAATGGATCTTCTAGACCAGCATAGTTTCGCAGCGGTAGATAAATTCGGAGGCTTTTACTATTCTAGAATACCCAGCCCTCTGCGTTGTGTAACTCAAATAATCTCAGGTGAATTAGTGGTTAATCCAGATATATATAAAGATTCCAGTTATCTCAACAACAAAATTGATAAATATAAGCGCTTATGTGAGTACAATTTTCACTCCACAGCTGTTGCAATTCAAAAGTGCACTTTGGCAATTGGGGCGTTAGAATTTTTACTTTTCTCCAGCACAGAAGGCCAAATATCTGCGCTCATTCCGATTCAAGTCGTTCAAGAAATAGAACTATTGAACGAGTTGCAAGCTCAAGTTAAAAATGTATATAATAATTATTTACTAAGAAATCATACAAACTACCGTTCAGGAATATTTCCTATACTGAATGTAGTGGATGGTTTGTTACTAGAATCATATCATAAATTAGATGCAGAAACACAAGCAAAAGTTGCTGATTCGGTAAACGCCAAAACAAACGAGATAGACGTTTTACTTCGGACAATATATAACCGAATTATATAATTTTTTTTATTTTTTCTTTGCTCTAAATGAATATTTTGCAAAAATTAAAAATATTGTACAAAAAAATTACTTGCTAACTTATCACAATGAGTAAGAGTAGTAATAATAACCTTTACCTACTAGTGGAAAGTGCAGCAGGATATTGTATAGTATATGTAAAACACTTCAACAACATAAATATTGAAAACTTTACTAGTGAATTTGAAGATGTAAGCAAGTTTTTATCCGTTGTAAAACCAAAAAGCTTCTTGCCTTTTAATACAGCAGAAAAAGCGTTGAATAATGCCTTGGCCATCGCCAACGGAGAAATCACCGATGAATTGAAAAATTTTTTAAGTATCGTGCTACCTAACCATGATTGCAAATTAGGGGTTATTGACGTTGAGTTAGCACGTAACTTGGCAAAACAAAATTATTGCAATGTAGTTCACAATGAAGATATCTTTGAATTGATGAGATGGGCAAGATTTTATTTTTGTAAACTTGTTGATAATCTAACGAAGGAAAACTTACACCAATTTCAATTAGGTTTAGGCCATTCATTTTCAAGAAACAAAATAGCCTCAGACCCAGCAAAGCAAGACAAAAATTGTACTCAAGCTATGGCCACTCTAGATCTTTGCGACAGACTTATAAACAGATTTTACATGCGTCTTAAGGAATGGTACGGCTGGCATTTTCCTGAACTCGTTGACATTTTAAGCGATTACGTTAAATATGCACAGAGTGTTTTAGTGATTGGTAACAAAGACGAGTTTGAATGGGAGCCTATGAACGAGCATTTGTTAAACATTGTTGCTGACGAAACAGTTTATCATCAAATCCATAAAGCTGCTCAATTGAGTATAGGGTATGAAATCAACGAGCTCGACTTATCCAATATGAAGCAAGTAGCTAAACAGCTAGCCAAATGGGCTTCAGTCCGTTCTGAACTAAACAATTATTTCTCTAACACAATGAATAAAGTCGCTCCCAACCTTACTAATTTAATAGGAGAAAATTTAGCAGCAAAATTAATTACACATGCAGGTTCGATATGTGGACTTGCAAAAGCTCCTGCATCCACAATCCAAATTTTAGGTTCTGAAAAAGCTTTATTCAGAGCTTTAAAGAATCGTGGGCCCACACCTAAATTTGGAATGCTGTATGCTTCCAACTTTATTTCAACCGCCTCTCCTCAAAACAAAGGTAAAATTTCACGCGTTTTAGCTAATAAAGTAGCATTAGCTTCTAGAATGGATGCGTTTGGGGAAGAAACTGGTTTATATGGTGTTGCATTTAAAAATCAGATTAAAGATAGAATGAAATATATAACAAACGGAGATATCCCACCAAGGAATGTTGATGTTATGAGTGAAACTATGAAAAAAATAGCTTCTAAGCAAAACAGCAGTCAAGCTTAATCAGTTCATTATTTACTTTTTTGCGCAATTCTTCATTTATATTATTACACATAAATTGTCCCAAAACATGTATTTAATGACAAAGTACGCAAAATACATAATTATAACACCTTTGAATTTTCTGGTTTATCGATAAATAAAGTAGGAATAACAATGAGTGGAAATTCAAACGTTAGTGTAGAAAGTTTTTCAGGAAGTGAATTCTTATCGGAGTCTTCCTCTATCCCAGGTGACACCTCTAATAGAAACTCGCAAAAACGGAGTGGGCGTAGGAACTCCAACAATTCTATGTCAACTCAGGACAGTGACGAAGATATATCAAATTATGATGACCAATCCTTCATGCAAGAAGAGTCTAATTCAGGACGACATTCATCTAACTCGAACAAAGTAGGTCGACCATCAAATTCTCAAGGCGGCCGTAGGTCTTCAACATCTAGTAACAATGGCGGTGGTAGGAGGTCCTCAACATCTAGCAATAATGGCAGTGGCGGAAGATCTTCCAACTCAGGCCAGAATTCAAACTCTAACTCAGGCCAAAATTCAAACTCAGGTCAAAACTCTAACTCCACTTCAAACTCTAACTCGGGCCAGAATTCTTCTAATTCTCACAGAGTAGGCAGACCACCAAATTCTCAAAGCGGCCGTAGGTCTTCAACATCTAGTAACAATGGCGGAGGTAGAAGATCATCCAACTCAGGAGAAGGAAACGAGCAATCCAGCAACTCACAAAATAGCGGCAGAGGAACATCTCTAAGCAATCAATCACGAAGACGATCATCAACTTCGAGCAACAGCGGACGAAGATCATCTACGTCTAGCAATGGACGTAGAACTTCTAATTCGGGCAATAGATCATCCACATCCGTAGCTCACTCTGGCAGACGTACCTCCTCTTCTAGTAACAATGGACGAAGATCCTCAACATCTAGCAACAATAGCAGTGGTAGAAGATCATCCAATTCTAACAACAGGAATAATCAAACAAAAAATTTTAATTTCAATGAAAGACAACAATTAAGTGATCAAGACTTAGAATTCATTCAAGAAGCTATCGCAAAAGGAAAAGGAGAAATGGCAAGAATAACTAACCATCAATCAGAAAGCGACGAAATTCACGACCTGAGATAAATTTTTTAAATCAAATTATCAATCACATCGTTATAAAAACATAAAAACGTTTTATATATCTAATTTCACATAACTCGCTTATCACTGACATTTTAAAGCAATTAGATCGCTAAAAATATATATAAGTCTACTCTATTTTGACTCGCTTAGAATTAGTGTCAGATTGCGAAGGCTCGACTTGTTTTACAGCTTTTAAATCGTTAATATCGAAACGTAAATAATCAGGTTTATATAATCTAAAAGAAGTGAACAAGATCGAAAGCTTGTCGTTGCTCGGCTTTTCTTTTTCATAAAGAATTTTGTAGCCTAAAACGCACAAGTCTACAGTTTCGATCAATTCTAGTTTTTGATTTTGAATGAGGTCATATACAGCACGAAAACTTGTAGTTACAAAACGGATGTAGCGCTCTTTGTCAGCTTTACGTACTTTGTATTTTCTGAACTCTGCAATAGGTACCGGGACGCTGATGTCCAATTTAGTAAAATCAAGCGTTGTTAACTTATTTTTGTCTTTTGCTGCGTCAAAATCAATAACTTCCTGATTAGACAACAAGGCGTGGTATTCATTTTGATCCACTCTCAATTTGAGTCTGTGCAAAATTTTAAATTTGTATCTTTTAAAGGCTTTTTTCTTGTTGTATAATAATCTAGTAATAACTCGTGTATTACGCTCAAGTGCGAATTTGTCTAAATAATTAGTTTCTTTCGATCCATCGCTCGAGTTAACTTCATTATTTTTGCTTTTAATTATTCTTCCGTCTGATAAAACAATATCATTAGCAAAATTATTCTTCATTTATCATTTCTGCGCCTCACCCAATTAAGTTTATGTAAAATATAATCGGGCGAAAAAAAAATATTTTTACTTTATTATGAATATTATAGTTTTGTTTTGTTCTCAATGAGATCAAGCGAAATACAAGTAAACATAGATAGTCCGCACTGATCTATTTTCTTAGAATTACATTTAGTTGTTCATCCTACCTCGAATCCTTCGCGCTAAATGAATATCTTTTATCATGAGAGTGACTCGTTTGCCGTGCAAAGCACAAAGCATGGAGTCTTCTAGTAGACTTGTGATGTATGCCTCAGAAGCCACCTGCAAAGCCTGTAAACATTCAGGGGTAAATCTGATATCGTCTCTGCAACCAAGACTATAAGTTACATCTTTGACAAGCCTGGCAAAACTTGATCTCGGCAGCAGTAATTGAGTCGAAGCTTGGTACTTCCTGATTTCCTAAAATTAAACGTAGTACCAGTGATATCTATGGTGGTACTTACCCTAAGAGCTTTTAAACCAGGCTTTACTCTTTGTTTTTTTATTGTGCTGAAAGAATTTCCGGAGTTAATCATTTGACTACATAGTATTTTTACTTTTGTTCGATTATTTTAGTCAAACTAAATTTACTTCAACTCGAAGTTTATTTATTTTATTATAAATTTTATTTTTGCGCAATTTATAATTCCATAAAATAAGAACACACATTTAAAAATATTTGTTTACTGTTAATTAATCGCATTGCAAACGCGTTTTGCGATTGAGGATTTGGCTAAAACTTTTTTTTTAATTTGACTTACTAGGTTTTTCATAGTGATACATATTTTCTATGTTCGCAAGACTCACATCCTGATCGATTTTAGCCAACAAGTTCTGAGAGAATGAAGTTAATTTTACCACTTTGTTGTTTCCCTCGCGGCTTTCAATGAAATTCGGCGTATTAATCGTGCTTATCACGCAATTTGTCTCTGAAACTCCGAACGAATGTTTGATCGGCAATTTTTGAACTGAATAGTTCAACATGCCAAACAACTCTTTAATTACCGTGTCATGAAACGATTCATGAATAGTGGGCAACAATATGCCAAGTTTTGAAATAATTTTTTGTAGCGTCCACTCTTCAACTTCTTCTTTCCAATTATTCAGTGATTTATCAATGTTTTGTTCTACATTGTCAAGGTCGTGCAAGAGCTGTTTAAACCAAATTTCATTTTCTTCGACATGTTTTATTTTTTTAGACACTTCCACATTTTGCTTTTCTGGAGTGGTTGATTTCGGCCAAATATGTTTATGTGCACAGCAAATATTTGTGCACATAATCTTTTTCGGGCTAAAATGAACGTTGTGATCCATTACCTGCGATATTTTTCGTTTACTTTTAGATACAATTTGCACCCTTGCTGCACATTATCGATAATAAATAGAAACTCGTTCTAGGGCCTTACATGTTTTATACGAAATAATGTGATGAAAAACAGCAGTTGAATGTGTGAATAGTATAATCTATAAACTTATCAAAAGGGTCGACCGTTTTACTGAACTTATAAAAACAACATTTCAAAAATCCGGTTGAAAGTATGCACATTTCTAATTATAGACGGCATTTGTAGCTTAACAGATTTTTAATGTCCAATTCGACAATTATACGGTGACGATTTTTAAGCAGTTGATCGATCGTAAAGTTTACCTTTGTAATACTGGTCTGCTCGATCAAAAATTTGTAATACATGATAAATTTTTTTTAAGTTCAATCCACGTTGATCGGGATTTTTTTGCTAACTCACAATTTGTACACGCGTTATATTTTTTTAACACATCTAGAATAATTGCTCAAAATCATATATGCCGATACCTTGCGAGAAACTTTCTAATGGAGTTTTGTATCCAGCTATAATGCTTGGAACGGCTTCTTTTCCCACTGACGAATCGACTGCCTTTGAATTAATAAACACGGCGTTCAGTCTTGGTTATCCTGGAGTCGATACAGCATGGTATTACCGTAATGAGCACATTATTGCAAAACCTATTAGAGAATTTACAGCTAAAAGAAACAATTTGAAGCTTGTAGGTTGTGATCATTTCTTGCAAGTAAGTCAAGAAGAATTTCAAGAAAACTTCTTGGTTCCTCACGGACCCGTTTCAGAGAACCACAACTCGTTTGTAACAACTAAAATCTGGTATACTGATTTTACCGCGTTAGACATACGACTACGTGTGAAAGAACATATGGAAAAGTTTAGACGAGCCAGAGCGGATTTAGTGTTATTGCATTGGCCGGGTATTGGGAATTGGTTTCCCGAATACAATAAAATGGGAGAAGAAGGTACTGCTTGGCTAAACTGTAACGAACGTCGTTTTAATTGTTGGTTAGAACTCGAGAAACTCTATGCAGAAGGTAAAGTGAGAGCGATAGGTGTTAGCAATTACATGCTGCAGCATCTAGCGCCTCTAGTTGAAGATATATTACAAAGAAAAAAAGCAGGAGATAAATTCGCAACTATACCGATGATAAATCAAGTAGAAATCAGTGTTTTCTGCGATTTAGATCCAGAATTATTGGCGTTTTGTCAAGAACACGACATTCGAATAACAAGCTACGCAACTATGGCACGCCAAGAAAAAATTAACGACGAGAAATCAACCAAAATTTTGAAAAGCGTAGGTGACAAATATAATCAAAGTATACAAAACGTAATGCTTAGATGGGCGTTACAAAAAGCATATACCATTATACCCAAAACAAGCAAGATCGAACGTCTTGAAGAAAATTTAGGGTGTTTGGAATTTGAACTAACCCCAGAAGATATGAATAAATTAAGCTCACTAAATGAAGGATTTAGAACATGTGGAGATCCGCATACAATAAGCTAAATAACAATTAATTAAACGTATTATTATAAAATTTTGTTATGTCCAGCTAATTAAATTTTGTTTCTTTTTAATAATCTTATGAAAGATGTGGCAATTGGTAGAGGATGAGATTAGCACCGACGGGCGGTCAGAACTAATTACGTAATCTTAGATTGCTGTTGACATAGGTGCCTCTGATATTCCTAATTATATTTTATATCATATTTTATTTTTTTTGTAAAACGTTGTTAATTTGGTTTAAGCTATAAATGGAAAATGAGCTAGCCGAGTATTTCGAATCAGAAGCAGACGTTTTCGCTAATTCCGCTTTTTGGAACACTCGAAACATACATAACTACAACAAATTTACTTCTTCGATTGTTTTCATCCAGAGACTGATTTCTTTAAAGAGTAGCAGAAGCAAAATAGTACTGACCTTTCCTAATAAGTTAAAAATCGTTCTCAAAACATGTCCATACACACACAACGCTTTGGAAATTTGGGATTATACACAGCCTGCTAATAAAACTTTAATTTACAGTTATTTTACCTACAACCACTTAAGAATTAATAATATTGTTTATGAAACCGACGAAGAAGATTTAACAACTAAGTACGTTTGTATTTGCACTGAGAAGCATGCGTTTTCTTTTAGCATTAGCATAACAAATCATTCCGGCTCTACGCAATACTCAGCAAGCTTAGATCCCATATTTATAAAGCCGTTCAGTGAATATTTAGTTGATCATGGCAATTTCATCATTGACGCGTGTTTTTCTTGTTTTAATCAAACGAAACTCGTGCTACTGGCATTTGATTCAATCGTGATTTTGAGAAACAATGAAGTGAAAAAGGTACTTCTACACGACTTTGACTTTGGAAGAAAAATGATTTTCACCTCTGTTTGCACTGATCCGTACAATGACAACTTTTTGCATCTAGCCGGAAATGGGCTGGTTTTGATCAATTACCTCGATCTTACTTTTAAAATTTACTGTTCTGCACTAAACATGATCGACTCAAAAAACGACTTGTGTTTCACGTCTATTAAAAATTTAAATGAAAATCCTGATTATTGGATTGGCGTAGTTGGTAGTGTTCATTCTTTTATCATTTATAAAATTAACGATGAATCAATTTATGTTATTAGTCGAGTGGCGTTACCAATTTTTGTAGATTTTTTTTATATTTACTCAAATGTTCTGTTACTCAAACAATGCTCTTCCTCAAACAAAAATATTAAAAAGTCTAGTGGAGATACCAGTTACGTAGTAATTTTAGAGATAGCTGACTCTTTTTTTAAGTCTCTCAAGAAGCATTCCATTGTGATTTATTTCACAATTCCAGCTCAACAGACTTTACTAAACCTCTTAAACAATAAAAATGATCTAAGATTATCAAATTACATGGATTACACCCATGTTTGTCTATCGTGTTTTCTTTTTCGTGACAAAAAGTCCGCTTGTTCAAACTTTAAAGCATTAATAGCGGGAAACGAAGTGGTCAATCAGACAGAAAAGATTTTTATCAATCAATCTCTTCAAGTGAAAAAATTTTACCATGAGACAGCATCTAGCGATTTTTATAATCAGTACGAAAACGGAGTGCATCTGAAAAAAATTCAAACATGTAACTCTTCCACAGTCTATATTAATTTAGAGTTATTAGTGAATGTAATTAAAGGTTATTATTCTTCACAAATAGAAGACGGGAAAATTAAAATAAACTGGTATTCCAACAATTTAGCAGCCTTGGATGCGCTTTCGGTATACAAAATTGATGAATTCTACAGCAAGGTGAGTTTTAGTTTTCATCCGTTTTCAAAACCCTACCCGTTCTGCACTTGTGGACTGTTTCAAAATGGTGAAATCAAGAGTACGTATTTGTCTGAAAGCGATTACCAAAAAACGTTTTTTCCAGCGTCTACCAGCTTGAACTTATATGATATACCCGAAAACAAAGATTTATATAATATATTTAATTATCCATTTTATACGATTAAAAGCCATCCAAGCAACAACCACTTATCTGATAATCTAGATTTTTATGCAAACTGCTTAAGACGAAGCAAAACTTGTATTTACGCTGACGACAACAATGATTTGTATGAATTTTATACTAATTACACAAACTCATTCCGAAAGAATTGCACTGATGAAGAGGAAACTGATATCAAAATCTTTTGCAATACATTGTTTGAAGACTGGCCTGTTTCCAAAAGATTGCCAATCATCAACATAGATACAACACTACCAAGACTCAGCAATTTATCCGGTGTTATTAAAGAAGTTGCAAAGCTTATTTATAAATCAGAATAAAAATTGCCGGGTTACTTCAGCATTCGACTTTTTCTGTTTCACAGCACTTGACATTTTCGCAATACACTAAACAAATATAATATCATAAACTTACACTTGAAGCAGGTCATGCATAAATAGCCGATTTTTACTTGTTTTTGGTGGCAATCGCAATACGCTGTGTTTATCAGTATTTCAATAGGGGTTGTGAGTTGTGTTTCTCTTATGTTCCCGCTGTTCATAAAATGAAATAACAAAAAACCAATAATTGCAGTCTGTGTTTGCAAATTATCTACATTTTTTTCGTTAATGATTGCTTCTAGCGGACTAGGAAGACCGAGTGTCAATCCATCACACAGCAAAGATAGGTTATTGCAGACAGAAAGTGTATACTGGTGCAGCACAAAAGCGTCTAGTTTTATCTTGGCTTCTTTAAGACTCAGAGATATTCTGTATAAATCATCAATTTGATTGCAGTCGAGCTTTAATGGCGACAAAGAAATATGCAAAATTCTTTTGCTGTTTTCTTTAATTAACTGAAGATTAGAAAAAGCCTTCATCAATCCAAGGTTGTACAATGATGGGCCTACTACGTCACACGACTTAAAGTTATAATTATACAGTTTTTCAATAAAGGAATCGATATTGAACGATCTTGCAAATCCGTTAAATAAACAGTATGCCGCTTTAGAATCATATGATACAATAATTAATATGTTGAAAGGATAAAATAATCCATACGACTCAATGAAATTCTCGATTATATTACAATATTCTGAAACTGAAAATAAAAATTTTTCAGAGTTTGGCTCAACCGTTAAATCAGAGAAACTCAGTATATTAGCATCCAGTAATAAACAAAATACTTCAGAGTGTTGTTCTAACATCAAACTACACTATCACAGCATCACTAAATGGCCAAAGAGACTAAATTTATAAATTAATAGAAAATTGCGAAAATGGCATGAATTTTATTCCTTATATATCGATATATTATCTTGGCCATAGCGACAAGTACACACATGTTTAAAATAGTACTTTTCATATCGTATTTTTTTATTTGACACAAACAAGCAATCAATGGGCAAATCAGACATTTCTGTTGCTGAAAAAAAAGCTCGAATAAGTTTTTTGTGTAATATATTTCAAAATCTGAGCAAAAAAACCGCAATTAATGTTTTGAACACTGTAGATTATGACGTGAAACGCACAATTGAATTGTTAATTACTCAAAAGTTTGTTTTGTTCAGCCAATTATCTGTTTCAGATCTTCTTTTTTCAAGTATTCAAAAATCAGTTTCTTTTGAAAACGTAAGTCAAGCAAATATCATTAATGGCAAAAGAAAAGCGTTGCTTATTGGAATTAGTTATGTTGGATCGGATAAATATCTGCCAGGATGCTATAATGACATTAATCGCACAAAATCCGTACTTACAACACTGTTTGGATTTAGCAATAGCAATGTATTGACGCACGAACTGAGCGATTTCGACAAAACTAAATATTTGAGCCCGACAAAAGAAAACATCATTAAAGAGTTTGGCTGGTTAGTGAACAACGCAGAGCCCGGTGACGTGTTGTTTTTGCAATACAGTGGTCATGGATTACAAAAAGCACTTCATCCATTTATGTCAAACGAAAAATATCAAGCTATATTGCCCAGCGACTACGTCACCAAAGGAATACTCAGTGACGAAGAGTTGTACGCTAACTTAGTAAAAAAACTTCCGAAATCAGTTAAGCTTGTTTGTTTTTTTGACTGCTGTCACAGCGAGTCTATACTTGGCCTACCCTATATATATCAAAATAACAAATGGATACATCGAAAAAAACCGTGGCAAACCAACAATGATGCAGATGTCATTGTTTTCTCTAGCTGTCTTTCTTCACAGAACGCTGCAGACATATCCATACCGAATTGGGGAAGTGGCGGTGCGGTTTCACTAGCAATCTGTACGTTTTTAACACAAAATCCTCACACAATGAAACTTTTTGACCTACTTAGAAAGACAGAGATCTTTCTGCAAGATAGAACGTTCAATCAGAAACCGAATATAAGCTCTAATAAACCAATCAATCTAAAAGAAACACAACTCCCTATTCAAATTACAATAAGAAAAGTACAAGAGTTACATACAATGGTTTAAGATTGATCAGAGCGAAACAAGAGATTTGAAAATACAAAATTTATTGGGCTTTTGCTTCGTGTACCCACAGAACATTGTTAGATCTAATAAAAATTTCACCTATTTCTTTAGGCTCTTCGTTATGAACTATCTCGATGGTACTCTCTAAATGAAAATTGAAATACATATCAATACTCTTTAAAATTCCTGATCACTATGTCTTTATTTCAACACTTACCTTTGTAAGACATGCCCCATTTTAATCGAACAATGATTTCTTTGTTTTGCAACGAAAGCAAGTAAGGGGTAGGGCACAAAGCCTCAAAGTTTACCTGAAGCATATGTGAAAACAATTACTTACATTTGACATCAATTTTTATATAAACGTTGTTAGAAAAGCAACTGCTATTATAAAAACTTTTCAATTTGTTAATAAATAACTGCAAAATAATACTAAAATTAATTAAATTTTTAGACTGATGAACTCTTCGAAACCATGCTCTGGATGCAAATCAGAAACAAATTCTTTTTTTAACTGTCCAATCTGTTTTATTAAAAAAGATTGTTCCATAGTATTTTGTTCACAGCAATGTTTTTCCGATAATTGGAATAAACATAAAACAGAACATAACGAGGGTGACAGTGAACAAGACCAATCTGCGACTAACCAGGAGATAAACAAGTTTAACGAAAACGATGTATCAACGTGGCACAGTTTTTCTTTATTAAAAGAATTCATACGCAAGCCTTACAATTTTACAGGTAAACTAAGACCTTGGCCCAGAACAAGATTGATCCATTATAAACCAACGATAGAAATACCAAATTACGTTCTAACTGGTAACAACAGAGAGGAACAGATATCGATGAGACGTCCAATTAAAAGATACAATAGTGAGGAAATATCAAGAATTCGAGAAGCATGCGCACTAGGTCGTAAAGCCTTAGATCTAGCGCACAAATTCGCCAAAATTGGAGTAACTACTGAAGAAATCGATTATATAGTTTATACTTTTATTGTTTCAAACGGTGGTTATCCAAGTCCTCTAAAGTACTATGGGTTCCCTAGAGCATGTTGTACAAGTGTCAACGAAGTGGTTTGTCACGGAATTCCAGATTCGAGACCTCTCCGAGACGGAGACATAGTAAATATCGATATAACTGTATATTACCAACGAATGCACGGAGATTTAAATGAGACATTCCTGGTAGGTGAGGTTTCCGAAGCCGCAAAGAAACTTGTTCGAGCTACTTATGAAGCTTTGAAAATGGTAATACCGATATGTAAACCAAATCAAAAGTACGGCATTATAGGAAAAACAATACAACCTCATTTAAACAAGCAAGGTTATTCTGTAGTTCAAGAATATACCGGTCACGGTATTGGCGATGTGTTCCATACAAAACCTTATGTAGCACACACTACGCACGGCAATGGTAGCGAAGTAATGCATGAAGGACACGTATTCACAATTGAACCCATGGTTAACGAAGGTAAAAAAACTATTACCCACTGGCCTGATGACTGGACAGCTGTTACGTCAGATGGTTCTCTTTCTGCTCAATTTGAACACCAACTCTTGATAACTGCAAATGGCTGTGAGGTATTGACTGAACGGCTACCCGATTCTCCGGCGTTAAGATGTTTAGACTAAACTATGACTTCAAACTAGAGAGTAAGAATCTAATTTCGCCATACATCTTTCAATTGAGGTGAGCGCAAGTTCAGATTTTTTACGTTCACTAAAATCTTAATTTAGAAAACAACTTACTATTTAATTTTTAGAATTTCCAAATTTTTCTTAATATCTTCAAGCAGGGACTCATTGTTTGAAAGTGAAAATTCTCTTGCAAATTTAAGGATCTGCTCAATAACAAGAATTTCAAAAGATCTTAATAAAGGTAAATCCGTTTTTTTGGATTTTAAAACCGAGAAATGAAACGACAGTAGATCTTCGGCGATTTTTTCATTAGTAATATTATTAAGAGTGACGGTGTTATCTTTACGAAATCTGGAATATTGGGACAGAAACTCAGGTATTATATTTTCTAAAAAGTTGCAAATTAAAAATGCACTTGTAAACTTGTTAGATATCTCGAATTTTTTTATATTTAAACCATCTGCAGGTATAATTTTACTAATTCCTAATACTTCGTTATAAATCGACATTAAAAAAGAAGTTTCAAAATTTAGTTTGATATATAAATACATCACTTGCGCAGTTATCAGTTTTATTAACAGTAAATATTTGTTGTAAAAGTTGCTATTAATCTGCAGCCACATATCGTTTAATACGCAAAGGAAAGCAGCGAATTCAAGAAATATGACATCAGTAGATTTGTCGTTGAAAGTTTTTAGTACTTTCGCCGAAAACTTAACTTGATTTACGTACTTATCAACTTTCATGTAATACCACAGCAATACTTCATAGTATTTATAAAAGATTTGTGTTTCATTCTTACAATTCTCATTCGCTTTAACTAACTCGTCGAACTTAGTAATAAAGGTTTCGAGAGCTTGATTTTCGTCAGATATGCTCAAGAGAAATTCTTTTTTTATTTCTTCAAAGTGTTTTGAAATTGTCATAGTTATTTAGAGTATATAAAGAGAATTTACAATACGAAAAATTTATATTATTAACTAATAGTCAATAATTTTTATATTTTTTCCATGTCAGATAATAAAAACATGTTTCTAGACATGCGTATGGAACTTATTTTCTTATATGGCTAGTTACTTAGATTCAGTAGTTGGTGGGCTGCATAGTGCTTTTTTGACGACAGACATAAACAACGGAGGAACATTTGTAGCTACATCGTTGAATGAAACTGTGGCAGATGTTATATCTCGTAAACAAGCTCAAACGTTCAACAAAAACTTGAAACCAGGCAGCCACGTAACGGTCTGGAACTTTTTTACGAAATACAAAGCTATACTCATATTTATTGCTGTTTTATTTTTACTAACAATGGGATTGATAATCATCAGACTATTATACCACAAAAAAAATAAATATGAGGTTGAAGAACAGTTAGCAGCTAGATTCATTTAAAACTACCAGGTGCTTTATTGGCAAGGTGGCCGAGTGGCAAGGCGACAGACTGCTAATCTGTTGGGGTTTCCCCGCGTGAGTTCGAATCTCACCCTTGTCGTTTTTGTTTTGTTTCTAAAAACATGAATGCTTTGTTACTTTAATTTAAACACACACTGGTTGCCTTTATTTGTATATTCGATAATTAATCCACTGTAGTCTAGTGGCAGGATATGTGACTTTCACTCATATGGCCGGGGTTCGATTCCCCGCAGTGGAATTTTTTTATTATTCAGTCTTGCTCGTACAAAAATAATGCAAGTTGATTGATTCCACTATGGTGATGAAAGCATATTTTAAATATGATTTTAAAAAGTTATAATTTCTATATTCGATTTTTACGACAAGTCATAAGTTAGATATTGCAAGAACCATATATGTTATATTATTTTCCTTTATCTAAATATTATAATGAATAATGGAACAAAAAATCAACGTAAATTAAATTGCTACTCTATAATTAACTGGACTTTTTAAGTTCGATATGACAATTTATTTTTATTAATTTTATTACAGGAAAAGCCTTATTGTTAGTTTATTTAACTAGTATTAATTTTCACTTATAATTATGTATATTACTATTTTAGAACAAATAAAAATGTTTTTCTTGAAAAATATTTAATAATATTTTCATTTAGTACCATTTTTGATTAAAGTAAAATATGGAACAGTGTAGATGCGATTAATAAATCGGTTAGAAATCAGCAAGTTAGTCCACTGTAGTCTAGTGGCAGGATATGTGACTTTCACTCATACGACCGGGGTTCGATTCCCCGCAGTGGAATTTATTATTTAATTTTATTCGTATCACATTAGTGAATAGAGTTAAATTTATTACAACTGTGGCTTATAGTTGATAATAAGCTATAATAGTAATTCTAAATTGAAATCTGCGGAAGGATTCTAATTTCAATTAACGTTTGTAATAGTAATATTTTTTATAATCATTTATTTTATTTTACTCAGCAACAAAATGTTCAATATAACACAAAATTGACAACAATCCTGTAAAGAAAATTTATTTTAATTTTTGGACATGGTAGGCCACAATATCATATAATGAATCGATTCAAATTTTTTGGTCAGGATTAGAAGTACAGAATCGTTTTATTTTTATTACCCTATATTAGTTTGTGTGTATATGTATATAAAATATAGATTTTGAGTGATAAAACTCGCAGTTATCTAAAACAAAAAGTTTGACTATGAAGATTCTTTGCAATGAATGTGAAGAGAAATTCATTCAACAAGCTCTTAAAACTGAATGTAAAATGGAAGAACTAGGAATAAAAATAATCAATGATTTTAAAAAACCAAATTCTTATCCTTTTTGCTTTAACTTAAACTTCAACAAAACAAATAAAAGAATAATAATAACCTACTTACTCGATGATATAGATATTTTTGTGACGAAAATATGCAACACTTATTATGAAGCAATCATTTATTTGTTCTCTTCAATTTGTAATCTTGAATTTAGCATACGATCTGAACTAAGTCCGTTAGTTTTTAATTTAACAAGTATTATATCTATATGTTCTAATCATCATCAACATTTTTTAAATCAACAACCCAATAACTTTCCTTTTGTTGATAACAAGATAAACAGTCATTCAACGTTAAACGAGTACAATAAATTAAATAGTATAAACAACGATTTTCTTTCTAAATTACAAACTATTTATGATATCGGCACAAGCAAAAAAACTACTGAAAGTTCTGTTCAGCCAAATAACTTTTGCAGAAAGGATAATATTTTTACAGTTGACTCTGCACATTCCAACGTCGAGCAAGTTATTGATTCTCGTTCAATTTATTTTTCTTGTAACGAAGCTTTAGAAAATGCAACTATCGAAGGCAAAGATGAAAATATAAAAAAATTAGATATAAGCAGTTTTTTAATTACCTTATCAATGAACGAAAATAATAAAATTCATAAAATTGGAACACATGATACTAAACTACAAATAAATAAATATTTTAAGTCAAATGCGTTGGTTGAATTATCATCTTCTAATTTTGCTCTAACGACAGAAAGGACCAGAGAATCTTTCAAAAATTCTAATAGTAATAACAAAATTACTTTTGATTCGATAACAGTAAGTGATTATGTAAAAGAATTTATTGAATATAACAACAATAAGTTAATCAATTATCGTTCACTAACTAAACTACGCCATAAAAGCAATAATAGATACTCATGTTCAAACTACATAACAAAAAAACATTCAAATAAAGTTAAAGAAACGAATACTTATAAGTTTTACACGATCATTCGAGGAATACACAACGACATTTACAATTCTAAAATATACTTGTTTTTCAAAACAACTTGTATAGTAATCAATAACGTTTTAGAACAAAACAAAAAAGTGACAGCTGCTAGTAAAGAAAGCTGTTATAATTTAGATAGTTGTAAAATTATATTTAGAAACTCGACATTTAATCGAATGAATAAAAACAAAATTATTTGTACCGATTTATGAAATTTAAAGCTCTTGATGATTTACAAAATATTAAGAAAATTTAACTAATTAATAATAAGCTTGACAACTGAAACTGTTGTTTTGGTATGTTGTTGCATTTTGTGATACGATAAAATGTATGATTATAGCAATTATTTTTACATACCAGACAAATATGAGTCACTAAATGATAAAGAAATACAAAACATACTACTAGCCAACGACTCAGATGAATCTGTTAATATTTTGTCACAACACGATAAAACAAGTGTAAACGAATTAGTTGGCATAAACAAATCTTATTACGAGTTAATTAGCTCTTTCAAAAAGTTGAAAAAATCTCTTACAGCTTCTTTATGTATTTCGAGCAATCCATGTGAAATTCACAAAAATTATACACACTTATATTTATTGGATATTATTGAAGCAGATTCAGAATTAGAAAATTACGGGTTGATAGGGATATATGGTATTATTTATGCTAACAATTCGGCGTTTAGGTCGGTATTTCTGCGGATAAAAACTTATTCTCCTTATGTTATTTTAAAGCTATCGAAGAAAGTTCATGAATTACTAAGTGATAAAACTATGGAAGCAAAGTTTCTCGAGCAGCTGAATGCTTTCTTAACTTCACAGACTTCTGCAGGACAAGAGAAAGTAATAACAAGCATCACTTTCGTTGAAGGAGAAAACATTATGTATCATTCACCTACAGCCAAAGCTGATGACTACTATTTAAAAATAAGTTTCACATCTACTAAATGGCGATCCACTGCGCGATCAAGCGCTGAGAAAATATTTTCTTTTGTAACCAATGACGTCAAAATCAACATCCCGTTTACTTTATTCAATTGCACAGTTAATTACGCTTTGACTTGGCTAACAGATACGCGGTTGAAGCCGTCTGCGTTTGCGTATTTGTCGAACTATGAAGTTGTTCCCACTAAAAAACGTTTATCTCGATGCGATCTAGAGTGTTTCTGTGATGAAAAAGATATTCATTACTGCGAAGAAATTCAAACTCTTCCTGAAAACCTGCTTATTATGACACACGACATAGAATGTGTTAGTTACGAAAAAAATACTTTTCCAATGCCAGAAACTTCCCCGATAATTCAAATTAGCTTTATAATTTCTTCTGTATCGGAAATTTTAATAAAAGGTTTATTTGTTTTAAACACGTGTAGGTCCATTCCTGGTGTGCTTTTGTATACGTTTGAAAATGAAAAAACTTTGTTAGCAGCTTTCTCTGACTTTGTGAACATTATAGATCCCGACATTATTTCTGGATACAATATTTTGAACTTTGATTTGTATTACATTTTTACGAGGGGTAGCGTTCTAGGCGTGAAGCAAACCCAATCTATAGGGCGAATCTTGGATATCAGCTGTTATGTGAAAAACAGCAAAATTACGACCAAGGTTACGGGAACAATAGAAACAAAAGAAGTTTCTATACCTGGAAGAGTCACCTTTGACGTTTATGAAACTATCAGGAGAGAATTCAAGTTGAAAAGTTACAGCCTAAACTCCGTGTCGTATACTTTTTTGGGTTCGCAAAAAGAAGACGTACATTATTCGTATATGCTTGATTTGTTTTTAAAAGATAGCGACAGCCGCAAAAGAATCGCCACATACTGTCTTCACGACAGTTTTTTAACGTTTGAGTTGATACGAGTACTGAACTTGATTGTCAATCAATTATCAATTTCAAAAGTTACAAATGTGCCTTTGTCAATTATGCTTGTGCGGGGTCAGCAACTTAAGGTAACTATGCAGTTGATGCGTGAATGCAACAATGTTAAGGTTCTGATACCTTACATGCCACGAAAGAACTTTAATAATACCGATCAGTACGAAGGAGCCACCGTATTAGAACCGCTGAAAGGATTATACTCCGAGCCAATTTGTGTCTTGGATTTCGCCAGCTTGTACCCTTCCATCATGATTGCGTACAACATTTGTTATTCCACGCTTATGAAAGATCGAGCCGAGCTAGCCAAAATGGACGCCAACGACTACAATCTTGCCCCCAATAATGAATACTACGTCAAGCCACACGTAAAGCTTGGCGTTTTGCCTGCAATTCTGAAAAAATTATTAGACGAGCGCAAAAAAGTAAAGTCGCAAATGAAAAATATTACTGACAACTTCAAAAAAATGATATTAAACGGTATACAACAAGCGTTGAAACTGTCTGCAAACAGTGTATACGGGTATACGGGGTCGGCGAACACTGGACACTTGCCCTGTTTGGCATTATCAGAGTCTGTCACGTCGTATGGACGCCAAATGATCCAACATACCAAAACTTTTGTGGAAGAAAATGAAAAAATACAACAAGAACTAAACAAAAAGCCCATAGTTGTGTATGGAGATACAGATTCCGTCATGATCAATTTTGGGTTTGCAACCATCCAAGAGACCATTGACTACGGTAATAAAATCAGCTTGATGGTTTCCAAAGAATTCCCCAAGCCGATATTTTTGGAATTCGAAAAAGTATTCAAACCGTTCCTTTTGCTGAATAAAAAGCGCTACGCAGGTTTGCAATGGACGTCGAGCGATAAACACAACAAGTTGGAATGTAAAGGTATTGAAACCGTTAGAAGAGATTTTTGTTGTTACGTGCAAAAAACTTTGCAGGGTTTTTTAGACATTTTGTTAATGAAAGAAAGTTTGGATGAAGCCGTCAAGTTTATTTGTAAAATGGTCAGGGATTTGTTGAATGGAAAATTCGATATCAGCGACCTGGTAGTTTCAAAAACACTTTCCAAAAGCGAATACAAAACTTTGCTGCCACAAAGCGAGGTAGCTAGAAAAATGGCCGAACGCGACTCTTCAACGGCGCCACATATTGGAGAGAGAGTCTACTACGTTATTGTCGCCGGCCCAAAATCGACTCCTCTATACCAGCTGGCAGAAGATCCGCTCTATGTATTGGAACACGACATTCCGCTTAACATTGAGCACTACTTGGACGCGTTGAAAAAAGCTGTTGGTAGAGTTTTGGAAGAGATCGACCCAAAGTTGGTCAACTTTGTTTTCAAAGGAGAACACACTCTTTCTAAAAAAATAAACACAGTAAACCGAGGCCCGCTCGCTGGGTTTGTGACTAAGAACTACAGGTGCTTGAACTGCAAGCAAAGTATAGATGCAGGTTTGTTTTGCGATTCTTGCAACGTGAACGACTGTAAGAAAATATTGGAACAACGCTCTTTGGAGTTTGCAAAGCTACAGAAGCTGTACAGTATAATATGGAGTAGGTGTCAAGAATGTCAAGGCACCTATTTGAACGAACTCCCCTGTTCTAACAAAGATTGTTCCGTGTTCTACCAAAGAATTAATGTTAAACGCGCTTGCGAGAAAATGTACAGCGAATTTATTGAACAAATAAAAACAAAAGACGAGCTGCAATGGTGAGAATCATTTGCTATTTTTAGAATTCTCTATCGCAGGCATGTTTTTCAGTTTGATCCAGAAGTTCAATTTCTGCAAAAATTCATCGTTGTCTTTAAGTTTTTCTAGTTGTTCAATCGATTCTTCTGTGAGAAACACTTTGCAAGTGGTTAGTAAGTTATTTATCAAGTCTTCTGCCTTATTGAAGTTTTGGTTCGAGCGTATAATGCTCATCAACTCGTGCAGATGAAGTGAAATGCTGTAGAGGGACTCATACTTAATTTTGAGGTTTTTGTGTTCGTGCTGCGCGGTGTCGATTGGATACACCGTTGGTATGTTGGTGTAAAAGTGTACAAAAGAGCGATAGTCACTTCTACCGTCAGCGGTTAACAAAATGTGTCCAGGGTTTCGTTTTTTGTACCACATTTGGAGCTCTCGCGAATTTGTCGACGAATAGTACACTTGTTGCGCAGATTTAACCTTCAACTCAGTTTCAACGTAATTGTCGTTTTCTTTGCTGTTTTTTTGAATTTCGTAAGTAGTAATGTAATCTGGAACCTTTATAAAAACACCTTCTCTCGCCAGAAGCAGCAATCGGTAGTCTTGTTTGTCAAGCTCATACATTAACGCGTATAGCTCGTGGAGTGTTAAACCTGTTGTGGCTTGAAACTCGGAAATGAATGTACTTTCAGGATTTTCTTTGTGCTTTTGAAAAATATTGGCTATCGCTAAATAAAACAGTGAGTCCAGATTTCTGGCAAAGTCAGTTTGCGTCAAGATGTTTATCAGAGTTTGAAAAAACAAGTTCGGCCCCAGTATGCGCAGTATGCGAATTAAACAATGAAAAACAAACACTGAAAAACACAAATTACTTCTGTCACTTTTAAGCAAGCGATCGAAGTAATCTGATACCAAATTGATTGCTTTGACTTCGTCTCCTAAAATAAACTCATAGGCGTCGGACAACAAAAGCACTGATAAATAATCTGAAAACAAGTAAGCAGTTTCGTTGAACCTTTCCAGTTCAGCTACACCTTTTTCAAGTTCGTTTCTCTGAAATTTAAGTTGTATGGCCAAAAATTGTAAGTCTGGAGAGTGCTTGTGTTGCGCCAAGGCCAGGTTTAGAAAAAATTCTATTCGTTTGTAATAAATCGTCGAAGCATGTTCTTTTAGGTGTAAGTGATCGTCAATTTCTCGCAATAGCAGTTTTATCCACTCGTTAATGAGCTGCTCGTTGAATTGCTCAAGAACAGGAGCAGGCAAATATTCATAAATAAAGGCTGGATACAAATCATCAATGTTAGATTTGATGTCTTCAACTATTTTGATCGACTCGACAAATGATGGAGAGCAATTATCTTCGAATTCTCGAACCACCTCGATCAAATTGTGAACGTTTTTAATTGGCGTAAGCGCCAAAAAACGTAAGTAATGTTTGTATTTTTCCATAGTTAAATAACCTTTGTTGTATAAGTTGCTTAAAGTCGAATATTCAGGCGACTTCAGCAGCTCTAAATTCACACTTGAGTTGGGTAAAATAATCGGATTTTCGAAAGCATAGTTTGCCCAGTTTTCGTCGTCAAAATGCATGTTTGCTTCTTGGTAAACATCCTTGTATTCATGAGCGAACAGCTTACATCGCTTGCTGTACGGTTCGAAAGTGCTTTCAATGTTGATTAAAGGACTAAAAGTAGTAGTGTCGATCTTTTCCTCAGTGTTCATGCAATTTAGTTCTGTGGTTTGCAGTTCTACGTATTTTTTACGCAGATAAACTAAAACTTCAAAGTACAAGTGCCACAAACTAGCGGAATTGATGTCATAGCCAACTTGATTGATTGCCTGTTCAAGCTGGGTTAACATTGCTTCCCATCCTGGCTTGGCCTGAAACAACAATTCAAAGTATCTTAGCCATAAACGAGACGAATGAAGTTCAGTGGCTTTTTCGGAGAAAAAATCCAATTGCTTTTCGAAACTAAGGAAATTAGCGTATTTTTCACATACTTGCAGCTGAAATTATTTTTTAGTAGGACTTACACTACTGGGGAAAACGCTGTACAATTTCTCTATTTCGGTGAATGACTCTGATTTTGAATCTACTAATTTATTGAATGCGTTCAACTGTTCTGCAATTTGCATAATTTAAGCCAACACTCATATTTGTTTAAATGGGAAGGCAAATATACTTGATAAGTTTAATATTTTATTGTTTTAATTTATTTCTTAATAAAGTTGTCACTAGTAAGATTTACACGTAATTCTTTTTCAATTTGACATAACCTATGTTTAAATTTACCTTCACTGTAATAATTTCAACCTTCGTAAAATGGACTCCATATAAGTATATTTCCATCTCCTGAGCCCGAGGCAATATAATTTCCATCCTTGGAGCTGGACATGAACAATGCTCTGCATCGGTGCCCTATCATCGTTTCCAATTTTCTCAATCTGAGATTATTCTTACTAGCTCCAGAAACAGTGAAGTCCCAAACATTAAGCTGATTTAAAGTATAACCGTGAGAACTAATTAACTCCAGTGATTTTTTGCTCCAGTGCAAGTTACATATTTGGCTTTGTGTTTCGCAGTTTGTTATGGCTGTTCGGTGTACTGTGTCCCATATTCTTATTGTTCTATCGTTAGTGCCACCACCGGTAGCCAGCAGTGGATAGCTTAAAGGAGACCAAGTTAAAGCTTTAACTGCAGCCGTGTGTTCGTTCAGACGTAGTATTGGAATGTTATAACCAAGTTCCCAAATGAAAACTTTATTGTCATTTCCACCAGAAGCAAGCAATGGTTTATAAGCACAACTTTGTAACGAATGATCACAAACTTTTTGTAGTGTTTTAAAAGAATTTTGCTTTGCTTTGTCAAGGCTTATTTTTTCTTGAAAATTAGCTTTGTTAAAGTTATCAACACATGAATTTCTTATGTTTTCTTCGACACTATTTTCTTCTCCATGATCATTGTTTTCGTCGCCATTGGAAAGAGATGGATCGTCTTCGTTAAATTTGCTTGAAGTCAGATCATCTTCACTAAACCTGGTTGAAGTCTGAATGTCGTTATTTTCAAAGTTTAGAAGCGGTGTCATAGACTTCCATGTTAAACCACATACCTCTTGTTTGTGACGAGCCCACTCTACAACGTAAACCGGACTGCGAATATCAGTAATAAAAATCGATTTATCCCGACTGCCGCTTGAAAGCAAAGTTCCGGCTTCTTCTGGCAACCAATCAATTACTCCTACGCGTTGAATGTGTGAGTGAATGCGTGATAGTATGGACATTGTTGTCAAATCCCATAATTCTACTTCCCCTGTAGTAGAGCCAGCTGCTAGTAAATTACCTTCTTTATAAAATTTACAACTTGTATATCCTGGAAAGTTACTGTTAACTTCATCATCAAACCTTGTTCCTGCTTTGGGCTTATTTTTATTCAAATTAGCAACGACTGGAATATCTTTAATGGATTCGTAATTAGAATTTTGTAAATCAGGTTTTAACAAACTGATACCTGTTGTAGTCGCGACTGCAAGTAAACCTGTAGAACTCCAGTCCAATATATTTAAGTAAAAATCGTCTATTACGTTTGGAGAGATGGTGTTTGCTATGGGTTTGTTGTAAATTTTTCTGTAAGTATACGTGTTGTAATACATTCGGGAACTCATTGGATACTTGTTTAAAAAATTATTGATATCACGATCAGTCTTAATCGACAATTTAACAGGTTTTGAATTCAAGTGTATAACATCATTTTCATCATCAGTTTCAATTTTACCATATTCTTCTACAATATTGTTTTCATCGTATATTTCATACGTCAATTTACGTCGAGGTGCAACTTTGCCTGCAAACTCTGAAAAATCATATTCTTTTAGATTTCCATTATAGTTCATGTTTAATTGCTTTTTGAATTAAATCAATAGCGATATTTACTCACGTTGTCTTTGCAATACAGACAAACATTGAAAATTTATTTTTTAAAATGAGTAAATCCTTAATTTGATGATTTTCTAAAAAAAATGATCAATTAATTCTTAGATAATTTTTCTAATGATGGTTTTGTTTACCGACCAAAGTTGCTACTTCACGTAAATAAATGTTGATAAATGTTGTTTTTATCACCCGGAAGGAGAATTTTGTTATTATTTTTATCATATGCTAAAAGCTCATTTTCTGACTTGAAAGGCAACAGATGTTTTTCGGTCCAAGGACTGACGTTCTGTAATAAAATTTCAATATTATTGGTTCCTGAAATTTTAATCATACAGTGAAGTATTGTTTTAATAGCTTTTTCATTATTGAAAGTAGCGGGCATGTGCGTTACAACAAAATCATCTAATTTTTTTATTAATTGATCTATTAGAATGTTATCTGTACTTAATCTCGAGTCTGTAAAATATCGTTGGTTATAATAAGCACAAATTAATTTTTTTTCACACACAAAAAGCTTCCATGTTGTTTGAGATACATCTGGAGTCGATTTATTGTCTAGTTTATAAATAACAAGGTCAAATAAATTGTCCTTCACAATGAAGGAAACTGTATTTTTCTTTTTTTGCGAATCTAAATATAAATATTCAGGAGGTATAGTAATCTTTTCTTCATGTTCATCATCACTGTCTGAGAATGAACTCTGTTCAATTGAAACGCGAGAATATTGTTGCAGCAATGGTTTTTCTGTTATCTGATTATTTTTATTTAAAACCCAGCAAACATCTTTATCTAAATCATGTAGATAAGGATTTTCTAAAAAATTAATAAGTTCAATGTTTGATTTAAGTAGTAAAGGAAGTTCTTTGATGTCATAAAAAAAAGAGCTGCTGATTGGACCTATTTGATAATAAAATTTATGAATATTAGTATAATTAGTTTCAGGAAATTTATTGAAAATAGATTCAAAAAAATTTTGAACCGAATTGTTCGGATAAAATAGGGTAAATTTTTCATCAACTTGCATATCATCATCTAGCAAAAAACTTATGACTTCGGAAGATAACGATTTAGTTAGTTTCTTGACATATTTAAGAAGAAAATAGTCTTGCCAAACTTGATGCCAACTGAAATAGTAGTTGATGATTTCATTAAGATATTTTTGAGGCATCATTCGAAAACAAAAATTTTAAATTTTTAACAAATCTTGCCAAAGAAGTTCTGTTCAAAAATAATTAATTTGCTTAATTTTAATATATAAATTTCTGTTTATTATTTAGCTAAAAAACTTAAACAAGTAATTGCAAAAATAAAACAAATCGTACGAGTAACGCTATGAGTGGAAATTCTTCCGATTCTTTTTCTGATGCTGAACAAAATAGGCCTGAGGAATTGTTTGTTGAATTGTCGGCCGACAAGCTTGCTGGAAATGATGAATTAAAATTAGGTAACTTCAAGAAAGCATCTGAAATATATGAAAAAATAATGACTCGAATTGACGAATTTAAAGGAAAACTAGATGAGGATTTAAAGCAGCTACAAAAATCTGTTTATTCGAACTTGTCTTTGTCAAACTTGAAGAGTGAAAACTATCGTGATGCTGTTAAGTACACTACAATTTTGATTGACGAGTATGTGAACGATGCTAAAGCTTTGTCTCGTCGAATACTGGCTAACATCAAATTATCAGAGTTCGATGCTGTCGATTATGACTTGGACAGATTAGCTAGATTGGATGCGGTGCAAGCTACGGAGTTAAGGGACATTGCTGAAAAACAAAAAATCGTATACGAGCAAAAAATTGCTAATTCATATAAGAATATTTTCAAATCTAACATAAATTTATATGATGATCTGGAGCAAGAGCGTCTTGCTGCCAAGAGAAAGGCAGAAGAAGAAGAAAGAGAACTACATATCAAGTTCGATAATGACAAAAGAGCGGGTTTGATTGACGAAAACATTACTTTCGAAGATTATAAGAAAGAAGAAGAAGAAAAAAAAAAAAAAGAATATGAAGCCATGCAAAATAAAATAAGCAAGCAATCATTACTAGGTCGTGCCTCTTCTGACATTGTTAAGACTGATGATCTTGATTTAGACGAGGAAGACAAAAAAGTTTTAGAGGAAACTACCAAAAAAGGTTACTGCTACTTTAAGGATCACGCAGCTAAGCACGAGAAGGTGTCAAGTGACTTCCGTCCACAAAAATTAGAGAAGGACGTCGAAATTCCAGAAGCTAACAGAGTTGTTGGCTCATCAAATGTGGTTAGCCAGTGGAATAAAAGCGGTGTCACGTACGAAGAAATCGACACTACTGTTTGGTGCCAAAACGAATTTAAAGATATACTGTCAAATGTAACTTTTGATCATTACGAATTTTCCGATGTGGAAGTCAATGGATTAGCACAAATAATGGTGAATCGAGGAACTGTAGCGTATTTTTACGATTTCACAGTTAGTTTCAACGTTGTTGACACTAACTCTAACGCTACAATTGCAACTATCACACTCGATGAAGTAAACTCTAATAGTTATGAAGAGGTAATAAAATCTGAAATTCCAAAATTATTAAAGTTAAAGAACGAACTAGAGCAAGTTGATTTGATCAAACAGGTGCAGGACGAACTTACCAATGCTTTTAGTTTATTCGAACAACGATATTCTAAAAAATATTAATTCTTATTCTACTTCATCGGTGGGAATGTGATCCTCGAGCACACAATTAATTCGTTTCGGATGGCTCCTCTATCTTTTAGTATTTAGCCACCGATATTCCAGAGACATTTTCGTGTTTATATATTTTTGTATTTATATTTTTTATATTTTACTTATCTTAGTTAACTTAGTTTTAAATACTAAATGATTTCTCAATCATTAGAGTTTTATGATTCTCTGTTTCGTAAAACTGAGGGATTGAAAACTAATTCTCTTAAGTATAAGTTTCTTGAAAGAAAGACAGATTATTCAAAAGGCTACGCTGATTCTTTGAATAAGAGTTATCACGACTATTTAAATGGACCGTACTCGTTATTCTTTAAACGTATCTCCGTGATTGATAAAAATTATTTTTATACTCTCGATATTGATTATAACGAAGAAAAAATAATGTTTGTTAACATTCACGATAAAAAAAAAATTAAACTTGATATTAACCAACTTAATGTCAAGATGGACGATCTGTACTTAGGGAAAATATGCCAACTAATTGAGGATGAAGGTCAATATTTTAAAATTAATATTATAATTCCACCAAATGCTTTGAAAATAGATAAAAGATTGAAAGCGTCTAGAAGTCTAAGTCCTTGTTTGAACGATATAAAAATTATTTGTTTGGTAGATGATCATATAACTTCTGATAAAGTTGAGCGACTGAGCAATTTAGTTGAACAAAAAATTGTCAATGCCGTAGTGGTATTATCGTCGATGTCAGATTTGAATTTTAAAGAAAATGAATTAGCGAATGTAAACACTAAAGGAGTTTTTCTAGTGTTCAGAGAAATTTTGCGATTCAAATATAACGATGTATTGCTCCCAATCATTTTTTCTGGTAGTAAAATTAATTATGATAAGTTTAATGATGTAGACTCCTTTATGCAAGAAACAATTAACCAAGGTACATATTTACCTGGCTTTTATCTAAGTGGAAGTGCTAACGGAGTAGCTATAGAAAAGCTTGAAACATTTGACGTGGATCATTTTAACGATTTTGTTTTCATATATAAGGAGACCGCTGAAGAAATATATTTCAAATCGCTTCTTACCAGGTTTTATGGTATTGCATCTAGCTACCTAATTTCAATTAACGTAAATGACAAAATAGGTCATAGTGCTACTAAAGGCGTCGTAGTAGAAAAGATTTAAAAGGGTTTTAATATTATTCAGCTTTTGCTGGTTTTTTCATTTATAGACTGGAGATCGAAATTAATTGAAGATTTAACTTGCTCTACGACAGGATTGACGCCGACTAAAACGCCTTCGTAGAAGTTGTTGACAATATTTTTACCTTTCCTGTAGTTCTTAACAAATAAATTGAATGCCATCTTGTACATTTTCTTAGTGTCAATTTTACAATTATCGCCTAGACAGTTTACAGCGTCCAGTAAGTGGTTTTCTGAATTAATGTTGATCGGAGAATTGACTGTGCTGGTGAACTGATGCTTAGGATCTGGAGCAATGCTTTGGTTTTCGAGGTTGCAACTTGCAGTTTCGTCTTCTTCTAATATAGGAATACAAAAAGCGGGTTTAACTGAACTAGTAACCGTGTATTTTGAGCGATCGCTGGGAAGTTTATTTTCGAGTATGTCAGACATTTGCTTGGACGATTTTGAATCGCTCGAGCATAAGCTATAATACAAACTTTTGATTTTAATTTCCACATCCTCAGTCGAACTATTTTGAAAGTCGTAGCAAATTTCATTAACATCGTTGTCATGACAATGTTCAGGCGTCATGATTGGTGGAAACACAATAGAGTTGCTTGAAAGTGGTGGCAATTCTATCGATTCTCTGCAATATACGTCAGGATCAGGAAATTTGGGACATATACAAGTCAGACCAGGCTTGTTTCTGAACGAGTTAGAATCGTTAAAATTGCAGCTTTGAGTTGGATGGTTGAGATTTGTTCGCTCAACATATGGTAAACTAGGTTTGTTAACGCGGTTAATAGTTTGCTTATGATCTTGATGAATTGTTTTAACTCTACCGTTGCAAATTTCATTGTTACTATCCATACTTATCTGATTGATGTCAGATAAGCTCGTAAAATTGGAATCATCACTGAACCCTTTACAAAGGTACATATTACTATCGTTCAGGTCTATTGTATCTTTGTCGATGTGTTTAGTCAATCCAGAATTAGATCTGCTTCTCCTTGAATCCTCCATTGAACCAACTGAATATCTAGGTATAGATACTTTTGGCGATTTGAAGTATGAAATATTTAGGTCCTGGCTATTTCTTTTGACATCGCGTCGTGTAATCACGTTTAAATTTTCTTTTCGAAAAGGGCTTTTATTATATATATTCAGCCTTGGTTCTTTTTTAGTTTTAAGATCCAGTTTTAAATCTTCAATGTTGACAGCTGTTTCTATGGTGTTTTCAGTCAGAGGAAACACTTCTTGCCTCGTTTTTATAAGATATACGTCTTTTTCAGTAGACGCAGTTTTATCATTCTCAGTTTCGGTTATAAAGTTATTTTGAACGTTACTTGCGGCGTTGTCACGTACCGATAACGTACAATTCTGAGGAGCATAATTGAATGTATGAGTAATTGGATTTTTTGTGTGATCAGTTCCGTAATAATTGTCTTGTTCGATATTTTCGTTCTTTGGACAATGCGAACAAAGTGGTGGATTAGAAATATTAGCATCTTTATTACTGTTAATTAATTGTGCAAATAGGTATGCAATTTCATCATATTGACGTGATGCAATCGGTATTAGAACTTCTTTGTTCGTATTATTTTTACTTATAACAGGTTTTGTTCCACAATGTTGCTTCACAAGCTTAACGAGGATATATGAATCTCCTTGATCAGAAATGTTTTTTCCGTGATTCAAACGATTTTTACGCGAAAAATGAGTCATTATTCATGTATAACTACTTTTTTTAATGTTATTTAATAAGGGAAAATTTAAATCGCATGCACATGATTTTAGTGCTCCGTTATTAGCAATGGATCATTTTGAGAGTGCAGTGTAAAAACATTATCTTATTCGAGATATCGAATGATTTCTTCGGGATAAGACAATTGTCTCATTAAATTCACTACTTGGCTGTCTTGTTCTATACCTTTTAGTAACTTAAATTTCAAATTCTGATTGTAAGGGTCACCCATTTTATATGTAGCCATCAGTTTTTCAAAATCAAAAGCAATTTTATGGAAATGCGTTGCTGATATTGTGTATACGTTTTTGTGTCTTAAAAGTTCGGTCAAAATAGCTCGGACCACAACGATACCGTCTTGTATGGAAGTACCTCGTCCGAGTTCATCAATTATATAAAGACAATTCTTATATTCTTCAAAGGAATAAAGCATCGCAGCAGTTTCAGCCGCTTCCATCATAAACGTACTAATACCCCTGCAAGGATTATCTCGTCCACCTATTCGTGTGTAAAACACAACAAAAGTACATACATTTGATTCGGCGCCTGCTGGAATCCTGAATCCGTATTGAGTTAGTAACAAAAGAGCCATAATTTGTCTGGTAAAAGTACTTTTACCTCCCATATTTGCCCCAGTAATTAACAAATTTCTGTTTTCTGAGTTTAGACTGATTGAATTGGGAATGCACGAGCTCGATGCAAAAGACTGTTCACTCTTTATTGATAAATTAGGATGTCTAGAGTCTATTAGTTTTACAACGCCGTCGCAGTTGAGCTGAGGATAAACCCAGTTTTTATCGAAATCTGGGAGTAGTCTCATCGTTGTGTTGTGCGTTAGTAAAATGTCAAAAATACTTAAGATATCATTGATCACTTCAAACTTTGGCAAAAAGCCGTTAAGCAGCAAAAAGGTCTTTTTTATAATATCTTCTTGTGCTTCTTGAATTTCTTCCGTTAATTCATTGAGTTTAGCGCAAAAGTTCTGTAAAGTAGGCGTAGTGAAAATTCGTTCGTTCTTGTTTATTTTAAGTACTATTGCATTAGCGGGTGTTTGAACTGTGATAGGCACGCGAAAGTTTTTATCACCCAGTGTATTTTTGATTAACTTTAGTTTTGAAACGCCTATTTTGGCTTCAACTTCGTTGTAGTGAGTCTCAATGCCTTTGTTGATAGCTGTCACCTGAGCATATAGCTGAGTGAGATGTTCGTTGTTGGTAGATTTAAGAATCAAATTGCTATCGGGATCTTCGATCGCTTCAAGGTCGTATAAATTCCCAATTAACTTCAATAGTTTTGTCGTTTCCTCCGTCTCGTGTGAAAATTTCCGAACTATTGAACTGTGGTTCTTTCCTGTGAATGATTCTGAAATGCAGTGAATTATTTTGAGAAATTTGTAAATTTGAGCTATTAAAGAGACCGAACCATGAAGGCGATTAGCTGAATATTTGGTTGTAGCGTAGAGTTTCGTCAGTAGTTTGTCAATATCGTGCAATTTTTTTAGCGACGATGAAATGATAAAATGAAAATTTCGGTCGCTAATCGGGAAAATGGTTTGTCTTTCTCGTATTTTCGAGATTGACGTCAAAGGATGATGAATCCAAAAATGTGTCAAGCGGCGTTTCGCCATTACGGTTGCGCAGTTTTCGAAATTTTGTATAAATGATTCCTTGTCAAATAGATTTGGCAAAATTTCAAGACTTTGCAAAATATTTGGTAGTACAGTGGTGTAGTCGTCATTGATGCTGCTTTTGAAATATATTTTTTCGTCTGTTACAGATTCGTTCGCTAAGTACAGTTGAAAGGCTTTTTGGGCGTAAAGCGAAAAACCTTCTGTAACATAAACATATTCTTTAGGGATTTTGGGAAGAATTAATCCGCTGTCGACAAATTGAGTGTGTTCTGGCAAAAAACTTTTCAAGGTTCTGACTAAATAGTTGCTTTTAAAACAACGCACACTTAGTTTAGCAGTGTCCTGTGTGGCGAGAATTTTTTTCAAATAGTAAAAACTTCGATTGTCATTGATCTCTTGCAGAAGTATAGAGCCTAAATTCTTATACGCGACTCCAATAATTGGCAATTTGTTGTTTAATTCAACAACTAAGTACATAGCTGGTACACTTCTTGAAAAATTTCAAGCTTGGTCAAGCACTTGTGAATTAATGCGAGTGTTGAAGAGAGATAATTAAAAAGTTAAAGAAAAATCCAGCAAATTTGTTTATATAAAAATTTAGATAAATCCTACAATAAAATCAAGGAGAAAACTGTTTGCAGTCTAGAGTTAGTTTATTAAAACCCCCATTTTTTTCTTGCTTCGGCGTTAGCAATAAATCTAGATTCATATGACGCAACAAGAGAGCTAAGAGCAGAAACGTCACCTGAGTTGACGTCTTTGAGGGCTACAGCGGCAGCATTTTTTTTGTGAACAAGGGCGCCGAGTCTAGCTTTTCCTTTAACAATGCAGTAAGGAACTTGCATTCTTCTACAAAGAGCTGGCAACCAGCAGACGAGCTCAACTGGGTGAACGTCGTGGGCAATGACAACTAATTTGGCAGTCTTAGATTCAACTAGTTTGGTGACTTCGTCGAGTCCGTACACAAGAGTGTTTTTCTTAGCGATTTTTGGTTCGGCTCCCTTCATTCTGTTTTCAGCTTCTTTAAGAATTCTAGCTTTTTTTTCTTGAGTAGATTCCGGTCTGTATGGAAGAAGAAATTTGAATAATTGTGCGGCTTCCATTCTGTCGAGGGTGACATGAAATTGGTAAAGTGCTGGAGGCATCTTTATTTTTCTAAGTAAAATGGCACGTTTTCTCTGAAGCTGTACGCATTTCGGCCATCTTACTATTGCGGTCAAGTCTTTCTTGGGTTTGATAGCATTGCCTATGCTGAAGTTTTTAGGCGTAGACTCAATAAAAGGATGTTTTGCTTGTTTGGAGGTTGCCATGATTTTACAATTTTCTAGTCTTGTAAGATATTAATTTACGAGACAAAACACCTAGCGTCATTTGGATATATCTAAACGAAACTTCTTTTACAACACAAAAAATCGATTATTAGTTCTATTAAGTCGTTACAATTTACGTACAGTTACAAACGAAGGCATAAATATATTCAAACTTCTATTAAATGTTAAATTCATGTTGGCGAAAATTTTTATTGTTTTTTATTAAACCAAATTTTTCTAGTGATCCAAATCTCAATTTACTGAAATCATTTACAAATTTTTTACTGTTGAAAATCGTATTTTAATGCAGTTTAGCAAACATTACAAGTTAAATGGTGATGTAAAATATTTGGTTACCAGTGATTCGTTGATGCACTAAGTGCATCCAGTCTACATGTTCATTTACCATGTAAATAATATTTTCGGTTATTGTTTTTTTCTTAAATGACGACACATAATTATATGTTGAACTAAATAATGAGTTATTAAAATTAATGCTAAAGTTCTAAGGAATTTTATAAAGCTTATAAGTTTGTTAATTAGAACTAATTAATTGATACTCCATGCCAACACCTGTTTCGATAATTTTGAAAGGAGATTCAATACGTCAGCAGCTAAGAAGCAGTCAGGAATGGAATTGGAATACAGGTATGTCACATCATATTGAAAGTATATGTTAAAAACACACATTTATTAGGAAGTTTTGTTAGATTTGTAGATAGAGACGAGTATTTGTATAATGTTGCCAAGTCTTTATTAATTTCGTCGAATACACATGCAAATGTGGATACAACGGGGCTCAAACTACGAGGCGATGAATTCGAACGGAAAAACGCCTTGTTGATGGGATTGCAACATATTTTGCAGTCAAACAAGATAAAGGCCGATTTCTTACGGCACCTACAGAAAAACTTAAGTCTAGAGAAATTAAATCAACGCTTTTATAATGCAAAGTTTTTATTGAACAAAATAAAAGACAATGATTCTGGAAGAGCGTTATATGCTTTAAGCGCGTTACAGCAGTCGCTGAAACATGATTTCATGCTGCGTGACACAGAAGAAATTGAGAACGTAATGAGCATCACTATGGACCCTAGCAACCACTGTTACATCAACAACAATCTGAAAGAAACGTTGATCGAAAATTATCAAGATACATCTGAGTTTTATGAAAAATACGAACGGATTTTTGGCGTGAAATACAACTGTGAAAAAAATGAAAACGAAGAAAATGAATTGTTTACATTCCAAACTGCCGCTCGTAGCAGTTTAAGTACGGTTGCAGGTTTACTAGACCAGGAAATGAAATTTGAGCATTGTGCATCCTATTTCCCGACGTTTCAGCCCAAGTCGTTGGATTGCGAAGTTTGGAAAGCAAATTACTTAAAAAATAAAAATATGGCTAGAAGTATTTTTTCCAATTCATAATAGTAGCGAATGTTCAGTAATTAAAGCCGTTAAATTTTGTAGAATTAATTTCACAATGAATTTCGATCTAAATATTAAATCGAAGCAACACTAATTATATGCTAAATTTAATAAAAAGCTTTAATATATTGAGGGGCCCGGATCGAGCAGCATTAAAATATATCTAGGTCTTTTTGATTAATTATATAAGGTTTATTGTGTGAAACAAATAGATATTTGAAATAAGTTCGTTTTACTCGATAATAAATATTAATTGCATGGTTAAGTGGTATTGATTACAGTCGAGCGAGGACTATTTATGACACATGATATTGACCAGATTATAAGTACTTTAAGGGTAAGTGAGTTGGCTACCACATCTCCGTAGAAGTGTGAACTCATCCCAGAAGAAAGCGTAAAAACGCTTTGCATTACGGCAGAAACGTTGCTTCGGAGCGAGCCTAATGTTATAAATATTCAAACTCCTGTTACAATTTGCGGCGATATCCATGGTCAGTTTTACGACTTGATCGAGTTGTTCTGCGTGGGCGGAGACGTGCAAGACACCAACTACCTGTTTCTAGGTGATTTTGTCGATAGAGGGTTTTACAGCATAGAATCTTTTCTGTTGTTGCTTGCGTATAAAGTGCGATATCCGTCGCGCGTGACACTTCTCCGAGGAAATCACGAAAGCCGTCAAATAACGCAGGTATACGGGTTTTACGAAGAGTGTTTGCGTAAATATGGCAATGCCAACGTTTGGCGTATGTGTACCGAAATATTTGACTATCTCGCATTAGCAGCTATTATTGACAACAAGTATTTTTGCGTACACGGCGGTTTAAGTCCACATTTGAAGGGTATCGATATGCTCAAATCTATCGAACGACAACAAGAAATTCCGCACGAAGGTCTGATGTGCGACTTACTATGGAGTGATCCTGACAACGTTGACACTTGGGGGGTGTCGCCGCGTGGCGCAGGCTATGTATTTGGCGCGACAGCTGTTGAACAATTTTGTCATGCAAATAATATAACGTTTATTGCAAGAGCACATCAGTTAGTTATGGACGGATATAAATGGTGGTTCAACAAAATGCTTGTGACCGTTTGGAGTGCTCCTAATTATTGCTACCGTTGCGGGAACAGTGCGAGCATTCTCGAGATAGACGAAGCTGGCAATTGTGAGTTCAAAAATTTCGAAGCAGCACCTATCTCAGAGCGAGGACCGCAAATTAAAAAAGAGATTCCAGACTATTTCTTATAAAGTCAGTACGTTATTACTACACATAATTAAAAAATAGATAGCTACAAATAAAGTTGACTAAATTAAATAAGTTTATTTATTTTGTTACTCTTGAGGCTTACCCTCGAGCAATTCGTTTATCTTATCGGCTTTGAAAATGCAAATATGGGGTAAGTCACGGAAGTATTCGTTCAAGTCACACCCGTAACCTACGATGAAGTGATCGTCGACGTCGAAGCCTACCCAGTCAGGCGTAAATCCGTTCCACTTGGTGGTTCGTTTTGAAAAACAGCATGCCGTTTTAACAGAAAGAGTTTTGTTAGTTTCGAGATTCTCACGAAGTTTGGTAAGGGTGTGCCCAGAGTCAATAAGGTCTTCGACAATTAGAACGTGTTTCTTTTTGCACGCGTTCAGTACACGAGTGACGTCGGAAGAAAAGTTCACGTCTGATGCTTGCTCAGTTCCGAAGTAGGAGGAGCATTTCAAGAATTCAACAAAATAGGGCGGACGACGTAAGCACTGTTTAGCGGTCGAATAGTCGATCAAAGATTCACTCAAAGTTGCGAAAAAAGCAAAAGCTCCGTTCATAGTGGTCAGTATGATAAACTCTCCGTCGAGTTTAGAGTAGTGTAGAAAAATAGATTCAGCCATTTTTTTAACACGTTCTTTGATTAAACCATGAGGTATCAAAATCTTAGAAACATACTTTTTGTAAAAAGAAGTCATACAAAAGTCTCCTGGATCAAATGCCTGTGTTTCCGGAATGTAAACTCCTTTCATGATAGTCCCCATGGGCTGGGTTCTCAAACCAGACGTTTCGACTTCGATTTTATTAGACATCGCTGCTCGGTTTGTAAGGAAAGGTTGATGCTGTTTTTTAAATTTTATTAAAAAAATGATAATTACTCTGACGGTTCATTTATTATTATTTAAAATTTTATGTCTAAATAGTGTCGTATAATGACATGTTGTCGTTAGGACAAGTAAAATATGTAAAAAGAGGCATGAACAGAGCGTAGTTGCAGTAGTGTTCTGATTCTGTCGTTTCACTGTGTGTTATAATCGTTAACTGCGTTAATATATACTTTATTTCTCGTCCACAACCTATAGTAAGCGGTCTCATTTCGTCGACGGAGCTAATTGGCGTGTCAAGCGGGATGCCATGTTCTTGGTAAAATTTGTAAAATGTTAAATCTTCCAGTCGCTCTCGACAGTCGATGTCGTGGAGAGACTTTTCGAGCAGCGACAGTTTAACAATGTCTTGGGTGATGAGCCTATTAATCGGGTTGTTTATGTTTTTGAGACAAATGTAATCAGACCTGGAAATAACTAACACTTGCGACCAGTGTGGCTCATACGTGATATTCCAATGTGGAAAGTGTTCTTTAAGCGTGATATAAATGAGGTCTAAACATATCTTGTAGTTGTACGGAACAGCCGAAAAAAGGGCACAGTTAGTAACAATAAAGTCGTTATTTGGACCGTCATCAGTGAGATTTAGTAATTTCTTAAAACTGTTTACGATGTCGTTTAGGTACTCGCTGGACGTTCCACTTGTAGCCAACATACCGGTGTTTTTGTTGTAATATATAAAAATCAAACTTCTAGACGCGTCTGACTTATTCGGAAAGTAAACGATTTCATCTTGTGATGGCGATAAAAGTGTAAAGCTCGGATAAGAAGAAGATGACGCAGGAGGAGTAAAACTTTTGAGTTTTTGTATTTGTTTGACCATTGTGATTATGCGCGTGTTGGCCGTTATAAGTCTGGTTTTGACCTTGAAAAAGCGATTTTTCAGTTCTTCAGGGTTAGCGTTCATTGGGTGAGCAAAATTCGAATTTGCATTTACGTGAGGGTTAAAATTAGCATTCATGTTTGGCGGCATCACTTTAATTGGCCTGTAATACGCTGGATATTTGGTCACCGAATAATAAGCCATTTGGTTAATGTTCCTTCCAGGCGTCTCATTTAAATACTCCTGCACTGACAAGTTGTTATTAGAATAACTCATGCGGTTGTACCCTGCCGATTGGTGATATTGGGGTGGAAACTGGCCATAGATAATGCGGTTATCTACATCTTCGTTTATGTTTTGGACACTCCTCGGTATAAAGTTACATTGAGAATGATTAAAGTTTCTATAATTCGGAGCTATGGGAAAATTTTGATTGGGCGTCTGGTTAGAGTTGTCGGTGTTGTATTCGACGTATTGAGAAACACCAGGGTTAGCGGTGCCGACAGCGTCGTTCGTGTTTAGCTGTGAAGGAGTTTGTGCTTGTGGGTCAGGAGGCATCGCTAGATGAGCGGAAATCAAGTCAGCCTTGCGCATGTCAGTATTAGTGGGCTCGACATGTTGATTCTAACGAGAGAAGTAATCAAAAATCTTTTTGCAAAATAATTATTTTCGACCTATATAAAATCTCAAACTCAAAATTTTTTTTTACAGATTGGGTACGGGTTTAAGTAATATGTATTGGTAACATAAAGACTTGGGATTCGTCTTAGTTATTAAAAATTCTTTTAACGGTTCGTAATAAACAATCTTTCTCGGTGGATTTTCTAATTTAATAGATTTTAAGGAAATAGATTTGTTTTCCTGAACTGATAACAGAGAGACTGTCGTTTCAAAAAGATTGTATTGCATAAAACACACTGAATTCGCGCCTTGTATACTTAGCTGTTCTGTTTCTGATCGTGTGTCCAACTGAATAAGCTGTGTAATCTTTGCTTTTTCAGGACTATGTATATTTTCAAAAGATAAAAGTGTTACGTCATTTCTGGTTTTTAAGAATAGTATATAGTTGTTAGCAGCATATCCAATCATGGAATCCACTATTGTATAGTCGAATGTTTTTTCCAGTATAAGTTCGACCTTTATTTTAGCTAGATTAATTCGATAAATGTTGACTTGAGATGTATTGTCAGATTTCGTTGATGACACAAGAAGCAAGCTGTTTAAAAAAGAAACCTTGACTGCGTTTTTTAGGCTTAATTCTTGTTTGAATACTAGAGAGTTATCTAAAGAATATATATACATAAACGTTCTTTCTCCCGATGAAACTATTAAATTATACGACACAAAGTCAATACTAATCGGGTTAAAACAAATAGGTGTTTCTTCGACTTGATCACTCACATCTTTAAACTGTGTATTCAAACTTCCTAGCATAAGTTTATTGTCGTATGCTGCTAAGACATAAATGTTTTTTTTGATATCTTCCAAAATTTTTGTCTTAGCTGCTTTTAGAGCATTACTACGTGCTGCTTCGTCTTTCCTGCTTAAATTAAATTTGTTTTTTATCGGTGTTTGCGATTGTCTACTAAAAAAATTTATTTTTTTTGATATGGACAGTGGTTTAGTTGACCATGATCCCGATCTATCGATTTCAGGAGTTAGAATTGTTAGTGGTAAAGTTGAATTGGAAACGTGTTTTTTAACGAAACTATTATTTGGCGTGCAAGGCTCTGATATGAAGTCTATGTGACTTTTTTCGTAAATTTTATTGTAACAAGAAAATGCTTTATTAGGTTTTTCAGCAATATTATTATTGATATTTAGCAAATGAAAAAAACTTTCGGAGTGAACATCCACAATTTTGTACAGTTTTTCTTTTTTCTTCTTGAGAGCAAAGAATTTCACTTCCAGGGATTCAAACACTTGAACAAATGTGTCTTGATTGATCTGTTGTAACAAAAGCGACGGCGAAGAATTTTTTGAAACTTTCCCAGTAATGATGTTTTCCTCAAAAAATAATCTGCATGATTTTTTATAGTCTTTAATATTGCAACAGTTTTTGATGTTAGTTTCAATCAGACGAGAATCACTGGGCTCATTTATCGTATGATCAAAATAAGACACGTACTGAGGTTCGTTTCTTGAGTATGGAAACGATGTTGAGTTTATTGTGCTCAAAGTTTCATCACCAAACTGCTTGAGATTTTCTTGCTCTGGCTGTATTTCGCTTAAGTTACTGTTTGACCTGTTTCTGAGAAAGCTATTTGTGAAATATTTAAATAAATTCGCTGCAGGTTTTACGATTGATGCCATAAGAGTTTCAGAAGTTTGTTGCTTATCATGCTTTTGTTCGCTGGGTTTATATCTAACGATTATGTCGTGAATCATAAAATTGATGATGGTTTTTTTGTCAATGTTATTACAACATGAGACAGTTTTAAGGTTAGATTTTAATACGTTTGATGTAACAATAAGTTTAGCGAACTGTTCTTCTTCGTCAGGGTTTAGAATAAATAGTATTTTGGACGCTTTGGTAACTAGGTCCTCGAGATAAGCAAGATCTAAGTTTGGATTTTTAACAATCATACGAGCAGATTTGCTAAGGTTTTGAGTTTGGTCAAATACAGTCACTAAGTATTTGTTTTGGATCCAAAATAACCAGCAGTTTTTACCTATAGAAACATTTGATGTTGAAACTTTTTTGAGAGTAGAAATAGCATTAAAAGTGTATATACGATTAGTTGCAGGTAGAGCTTTTAGTGGATTTGCATATTTAGAAGTGGGTGAACCAAGACAGTCTCTGGCGTCAAAACTTAGCGAAAACTTTTTATTGATTAGTTGCCGACGCGACAAAATTTTAAAAGAAATGTCAGAAGTTAAAAGTTCTAAGTGGTTTGACTTTTTCGTATGAAACTTTGAACCAGGTTCACAGCCTTTCTGCCAAGCATGGATGTTTTTTAGATTCAAATTTTCATTATTGACTTCGTCAGTAAAGCTAATTTCAGTCAAATGTTCTACGTCAGATTTAGCCAGTATCACCGTCCGTTTTAGAATTTTCGGCTTTATTTTCGTTTTAAAAACACGTTGTATGTACTTAATTGCAGCTATTTTTTTTAGATATTTGTTTCTTGTAATTCTCATTCTGCAAACATTTTGAATACGAACTGCTTGTAAATCTTTTACTCGGTGGTACTGTGTAATTAATGTTGTTAAATTTTTAACGTTAGAATCGATTTTATAAAACTTTCGTAAGTTACAATTAGAAATACACATTAAACAAAAGTTTTGGAGACGAGCTACTGCTTTTAACTTTGAAATGAAAGCGGTCTTAATTAAATGTCTACGACTATATTTTTGAATTACCAGGATCGAGCTTATTTTTGTGCGCACAGCTCTTTGCTGTAGAATTTGTTTTATTTTTGTGTTAATACGAGTAGCTGCATAAGCGAAACTAAACTTTACGGCGGACCAATAAACTTTGTACGCTTCGTTTGTTAAAAAAACCAAAGTTTTGCCAAGCAAAAAATCGTATTCATTATTTTTCAAGTGTTTCTTAACTTCGTTAAGCGCTTCGTAGTATTGCTCTAATTTGATCTTGTGTAGCACTAAACTTCTTGATTCACGTGATAACACTTCAACAGACTGTTTTGTAATTGGACTTGTACTAAGTCCTAATAATAAAATGGGTTTGACAAAATTAATAAAAAACTTGTGTTCATATTTATAAGTGTACCCATTCTTACATAAGTTTGTGATAGTAAAAATGCTGTTATTTTTGATCTGCTCTGAAAAAATCGTTTCATCAATATGAAAGGGGGTGAAACTGTGGTTAGGATTGATGCAACGAATAAACTGGATGTTAGTGCTTTGTATTATTTCAATGAGCGAGTCCAATTGCTGTTTAAACTGACTACTGATTGTTTTGACGGAATGTTTTTTCTTGTTCATTGGCGCATCGATAATATCTAAACTAAAATTTAGCTTTTTTTCCAAGCTAGACTGACGTAGAAAATTAATTATTGAAGTCTTATAGTGGTTGTGGTTTTTTTTTAAGAAATTAGTACTATCATATTTAACCGCACCGATGGTATGGCATACGATAAATTCAGTATCTTGTAGGAACTTTTTGTTTATTTCAAATTGAATAACCGGATGAAAGTCGCGGTTTGTTTTAAGATGTTCAATGAACCGCTGATCGTTTCCGCCGGGAAGTCGCCCTTCATCTTCTAATAAAATAAACAAGTTGTTTGGCTGATTAAACACCTTAATAATGCTCGAGTTGTCAAGTCTATTTGAAGCAACTGAGACGTTCTCATTGAGATATAAGGTTTCTTCATATCTGTTAACTTGCTCATTAAAAATATCTTGAAGTCGCTCGTTTGTGTAGTTAATGCAAAGTTGTTCTAACGAATTTTTTGTAAAAATTTCAAACCCAAAAATGTCGAGTATCCCAAAGAAAGGATATTCATTCATTGTAACATTTCCAGAGCTGAACCTTTTGTTGATTTTATAGACAATAAACTCAAAAAGATATTGGTACAATATCTGAGCCAGCGTGTCTCTGATAAAGTATGCTTGTTTGGTGTCAAGTTCCTTGATGAAATTAGAACTGCCGGCAGCTAGTTGGTGTTTTGTCAGCAGCTCAGTGAAACTTAGTGGAAAAACTTCTAACAGAAAAGAAATGTTCTGTATGATTTGTTCAGACTCTTTAGTTAAAGTAGAAGAACTTGTCTTTTGTTGGAGTTTTATAGATCCGATCAATAATATAGCGATAATAAGTTGTAAAATGGTTATGAATTCGTTTTTAATATCAACCAAAGAACTCAGCAGCTGGCATACCTGAGTGAATTCCTGTGCTTCTTCCGTTACTTGCTTTTCATCATATTCATAATTGCTTATATAGTCGGACTTGATAATCTTGTCTAAGTTTATCTCGGATGGATGCAGGTTCAACAATGAGTAAAGTTTGAGCCTCACCTGTTTTTTGTGCATTTCGGATGTTTGCTGAACGCCGTAAGAAAATAACTTATAAAAAACATGAAATGTGTTTTCATTTCGGTTCTGAATACAAACCCTTGTGGTCTCCAAGAGATACGTTTTTATTTTAATATTGTTAATCGTTTTTTTTTCAGGATCGTAGTAAAATTGTATGAACTTGCCAAAACGCGACGAATTGTGGTTCTGAATTGTTTTGGCGTTACCAAACATTTCAAAAACATCATTGTATTTGATGATTAAGGATTCTAAGTTGGAGTTCACTCCGATCGACCTGTTTAAGTTTGATAAAAACGATATAATTGCTTTAGAAGTTTCTGTTTTACCCGAACCGCTTTCTCCATTGATGATGATTGATTGAGATCGATTTTCCGCAAACATATTAAACAAAGCTTTAGTGGTCATTTTGTACACGTGAGGTTTGATCGAAACCAGATTTTTTTCAGAAAAGTTTTTCTGGATTTCAGCAAAATAAGTTTTTTGCAATTCGTCCGTGTATAGAGACGCAACTTCTCTGTGAGGATTGATAGCTATTAAAATAGGTCCACATTCAGTATATATTTCGTTATAAAGATAACGTGTTTTTAAACAGTTAATTATGCTGTTTTGGGTTATTTCGCTGAGATGTACCAAATTCGAAGGAACTTGTTCAAAGTTTTGAAAACGCGTCGACTCTTGTGAATCATTGCTAAAAGAGTCGTTCATTTTTGGTCCATTAGAATTTTTATTACGAGTTTTATTATTATGAATGCGTAACAAACTTAGTTTATGTTTGTGTGGTTGCTCCTTTTTTCCGCTGTGATTCTTCTCGTAATACTTAGATTAATTTAATATTGGTTGTAGTTTACTTGAAAAGTTTATTTTTCTAAATCCATAAACCTCGATTATGTGAATTTCTTATTATTAATTTTTGTCAAATTAGACAAAACTCAATTTCTAATAATAAACAACTGTCAACGTAAGCGAAATTCAGCTCGATCTAGTCACATGGACTTATGATAAAAGTTACTGCTAATTAACAGAGTTAAAATTGAAAACAATCTTGCGGTTTTTAGATCATTAAATAACGTAGAAGTTTCAGATCGCTCAGAGTTTGCGGCCAGAGTTTTGTATTTGAATTCCAATAATGTTTTATTTTTTATGACCGCATACGTTTCAAGCAATAGAAGTAACGAGCTGCATACGCAACATAAAACTGATAGCGCGAAAATTGGGTTAATGAACAAATTAATCAGTTTTGCGAACGGTTTATGGGTTATTGCATCTTTGTTTTTTGCTAAAAAAAATATTGCAGTGCGCAATGTGAGACTCACGCTCAATGAGCTGAGAAAAGCCCAGTACAGAAATTGAAAAAAGTAAGCCAAGTTTCCTTTTCCAATACATTTTCCAATAAAAAAACAATGATGATCTAAGCTGATAACGCAACGTTTGCAACAAGAACAATGATGCGCTCGCTTTACTTTAACGACGGGCTGTGGGTCAAAATAGCAAGCCCGATAGATCTCGTCCATTGTGACAAGTAAAGGGCACTTTGCAAGCGGTCTTTTCAAAAGTAAAAAATAAGAAGTAAGAAAGTTGAATATTAAGTATACAGTTAAGAGCAGCTTCCAGGCTTTTAGTGTTTTCAATACTAAAAAAATATAAATTACAAGACATAAAGCAATCCCTACTGCAGAAGTAAATGAAAATGCTAAAACATAATGTATTTGTAAAAGGTTCATTGAAGTAGTTTCACGTCATGTTGGTGACGAGGTAGTGGGAAGGCTTATAATTAGTTTTTAAATATTAAAATTATTAGGTCTCAAAAAATGCGCCGAAGGATTTTATGAATTCAAGTTGTTGATGAAAATGAACAGCGGTTAATCAACAGTCAAGACTAGTGATTAACCGCTGTAGTAATATAAAAGAGGTATTATGGTTTTGATGTCAATAACGTTATACTAGGTGCAATGAAACATGCAAGAGCGGTCATTAAAAACATGATCAAATGAACAAAACTACAGATAATTTAAATGATTATAATGAGATAAAAGAAGTTTCATTGTCGAAATCTAAATATGATGTGGACAATGGCTCCGAACTTAATTTTGCTAATAAAAATAATTATGAGCCCAGCGATACTTTACATGACAGAGTAGATGAGGCTTCTAAAAAGCAACCTGGAAAAAATTTTCTCAAGTCAGTTGTTTTACCTAAGTTAAAACCATCACTAGATAAGCTCATCGAATCTGAGTTGAAAAAATCGATGCAATTGCAAGGTTTGGATAATTCAAACAAAACGGCCCCAAATCGTGTCGATGAACAAGAAAATAAAAATGAAAATGCTTTTGACAAAAACACAGAAAAAAATGATGCATACGATAAGCTTGATAACTCTAGCATGCCGGTGGCTAATACAACTAATACGGATCAACTTCTGGCGCTATTGATAGAAGAAAGAGAAAATAACAAAAGAATATGTGAGGCTTATGAAGAACGTTTAGAAAAAGCTCGTAATGATGTCGTTCAAGAAAATTTAGTTTACAGAGAAAAACTCGTGCATAAATTCGAAGAAATTTTAAATAAATACAAGTCGGTTTCGCAGGAAGCTATGAACATTGCAAAAAAAGCGCGAGCGTATGCGAACCAGTTAGAGAAACAAATATATGACAACAGCCAAAAAGCTTGTAAAGCTTTTGAAAAAGATTGTAAAGATAAAATTAAAGACATCATAGTTGGGTATCGTTATCTTGCCAACAAAGCGCAAGAAGACTCAAACCAGAAAATAAAAGAGCTGAGCGATCGATATGTGAAATTAGAAGTTGAGCTCAAAAAACTCAAAGACGAGCGGGATACACAGGTGAGCGAAATGGTCGAGGAAAAGTTGTATGACTACGCCAACGAATTCGCCTCCTTGAAACAAGAGAACAAAATGCTTAAATTTGAATATGAAAATTCTGTAAGCTCGATTCGAGTCGAATTTTTAAGTGAAATGCGAAGATTTGAAGCTCAACTTATTGCAGTTACACTCAAGTTGTTGTGGGACTACAATATCCTTATTAGTGAGGCTAATCTGCGAACTTCGTTATTTAACGAGTTAGAGGAGGAAGAGCAACAACAGGCTACGCTTACTGATTAAACTAATAAAACTTAAAAATATATCTTTAACCAGACTATTCCTTCTCGGTGCCAATTTTGCCTTTAGGCTTGTAATATGTACTAATACGTATGTATTTCCCTTTTAGCTGGAAGCCGTTCAAATGTTTAGAAGCTCTGTGCGCGTATAGCACATCGTCGAAAACTACGATGGCTGTGCCTGCTGTGTTTTTGGAATTTGCTTTTCGAATTTGCGTTATTGAGCCGTAAGGAGAAAACAAATCATAATACTCGTGGTCCTTGAGATTATGCGGTAAACCACTAATAAACAAAAATCGAGAGCAGTTTGGTGCTATGATAAGTCTTTCAATCAGTTCATTTTGATTAGACATTTGTACTTTTACACAAACATGGCGTTGCTCGTGCTGTCAAGCTGATAATTTTTGAAAATATAAAAATTAACTAATTACAATAAATAATAGGACTGACTACACACGTGGACTTTATAATATTAAGAGGCGTAAGAGCTCTTTTATTTATTAAAAATTAAATGCAGAGTACTGCATGGCTGGAACACTAGGGTGCGTAACTTCTTTAAACTCGATTATTTCTGGTTCGACCTGCCAGTTTTTGTCGTGCAATTTGCTGAACGAGAACTTTAAGTAAGCGCCGAGATTTTGCATTGTGTCGCAGTAGTTGGGCGCACTGAAAATCGTATATAGCTTGTCATTGTGCATTTTTTCCCAGCCCGAGTTTTTGACTTCGTGGGATCTGATTACGAGATCCAAGTTGTTTGTTTTCAAAAACTCTTCAGTATAATCCGGACCGAAAACGTGGCTCACACCGCGCTGGCTTGCACTGGTTCCTTCTGCAACACCTGGGTCAGCCCACAATAAATCAGTGATAATAGGATCGGAATTTTTAACTCGTAAGAGTGAATTTATTTTATCTATTGTGACGCCTTTAGTAGAAGGCAACCCACCGTGCACCACAAATATACGTTCGCTGATAATGTGAGCTAAAGGCAAGTATTCGAACGATTCAATAAATAAATTATAAATACTGCTATTAGTTTTTTTCTCGGTTTCGTGTTTAAATCCATACAGTTGAGTCATGTCTTTTGATTCATGGTTACCGCGGGTAAGGTGGATAAATTTAGGCCAGATAAGTCTGCACACATACAAAGTAATAATAACTTCTAAACTAAAACTGCCCCTGTCGACGAAATCTCCATTGAAAACATAGTAGTTAGTTTCAGATGGCTTGCCATTTAGCTTGAAAATGTTGAGCAAATCGTAGTATTGTCCATGAATGTCTCCACACACGGTGACTGTTGCTTTAGCAACATCTGAATTAATTCTAACTACATTCGGTAGAGTTTTACTGAATTGTGTGGCTTTCGCTATTATTTTTGCAACCAGTTGGTCTGGCATTTTGTAATCGATTTTTCCGTTGAAAAAATCTGCTAGTTTGTCAAAAAAAGCCTCATTGCCCTCTAAGTTTTCCGGTAGTTTCGGACCTTTATACCAACTAGGATAATTTATTGTCTCGTCTAAAAACTTTTCGTAAAGTGGTGCCGCATCTGGGTATACAATACTTTTGTTAAAGAGTTGTTGTTTATATTCAGCCAATATTGAATTGTACAATTGACGGATTGCTGTGTTTTCTGGATCCAAACTGAGCGCGGTTTTAATAGGGTCAAGTGCATTTTCTGGTTTATTTAAATATATCAACGCTAAAGCCTTTCTGTAATAAGCTTTAACGTATGTATGGTCAAGGTTGATGGCAGTATTAGCGGTCTGCAATGCGTTTCCGAATTTTTCGAGCTTGAGTTCGCAAATAGCTTTATTGCAATATATTTTGGCTATTTCTTTATCGTCGAGATTTACAGTTTTGACTAACTCTTCGTAAATGTTAATGGCCTCATTATATTTCGCATCAGTCGTTAACTTTGCAGCTTCTGCTTTTTTGGCAAAGAATTCTGCAAGGATATTGTTTTCCGAGTTCGACATGTTGAATACTGTCTATAAAAAAATATAATTAGAAAATTTGTAAAAAAATCTTCTCTAAAGTAAGTGTACGTATATTGCGAAATAAATTTAACTATGCGAAAAACTAGCACTAATGATGAGGAGTATATAAAGTTGATTTACGAGCAAGATGCAGCAGTAATAATACGCAAATGGGAATACTTGTACGTTAATAAAGCTATTTAACTTTTTAGTTCAGACGCTCAACTTGATTATAAAAATAAAATCACCGGAGCGAATTTACTTTTTTATTGTGTTCAAAAAAAAAATTTTGAAGACGGTTTAAAGCTGCTACAGTACTTATGTTGTGATCGGGAATGCTGTGACGCTAACCACACTGATTTAAATTGTCAAACTCCTTTGTTTTTCGCAGCAAGAGACGGAAATTTTCCGTGCGTCAAATTTTTAATCGAGCACGGCTGTAAGGTTAATCAGTTGGACAACGCTAAACAGACAGCGTTATTTTACGCTGCTCGTGAAGGACACTGTGAGGTGATCAAAGAACTTATTAAACACGGCGTCGACCCAAACATAAGAGATTTTTACAATCAAACAGCTTTATTCTATGCAGCCCGCGAAGGTTATTTTGATGCAGTTAAATGCTTAGTTTCACTAGGCGCGAATGTCATGATTAGAGACAATCAACGACGTTCAGCCCAGTTTTTTGCCTCGTTACGCAATTACAAAGACATCGTCAATTTTCTGCGAAGCGTAACTCAAAATTCAAAGGAAGGACAGAAGTTAAATTTCGTACTGACAAAAATTTTGACGATAAAGAACAAAGATTACAAAGTAATAGCCACCAAAACAGAGAGAGAACAATTTTTACAAGAGTTTGGTCTACCTGACGTCTGGAAAGAAAAAGAAGAGAGAGATTTTCGACGGTGCCCTGATTTTTTGGACAGTTGGCTAACAGCAGCAAACGACATCGTCAATCAGCTGGCTTCAAGCGAACACGGTTTTTGGTTTGCTAAACCGGTTGATGTTGTTTTATGCAATTGTCCAGATTATTATACAGTAATTACACATCCGATGGATTTCGAAACAATAAAACGCAATATTAAACAAAAAAGTTACAATAAAATTTGTGAGTTTGAAGCCGACGTAGAACTTATTTTTTCAAACTGCAAGCTTTACAACGATCCTAAAGCACCAGTGTATCAAGCTTCAATTGTAATTAAAGATTTATACGATTCACTTTGTAAAACTAAGCAAATAGATGAATTAAAAAGCATAGAACAAGAAATATTTGCAGCTATGGAACAGCCTCTACAGACTCCTGCTTGAGATTAAAAATGTCATAATGGGTACATAGCTCAGCGGTAGAGCAACTGACTGCAGATCAGTAGGTCCTCGGTTCAATTCCGAGTGTGCCCTTTTTTTAAAATGATGTAATATCAGAATCATTATTTTCTAATGTTTCACTTGCTAAAATGTTACTTCATTTTGCAAAACTAAACGTTTATTGAAGTCGTAAGAGAGGATATACTTCTTATGATTTTTTGTTAAGTAGGCGCTTCCGTAAATAAATTTATTATCGTCAGCAGGTAGTATGGTTTGAGCGTTTGAAAATTCAGAATCAAAAACGTGCACACCACCGCGAATTGAAGGCACGACATAATAATTTTCCATTGGAAAATAACTCCAAGGAGCTCCTTGGAGCTGGATACGTTTGAGCGGAGTGAATGGTGATCTCATGTCGTATACGTGACAACAGTCTTCATACGTTCCTACTGCTATATAGTTTTCGTCATAGTTGAAAAGACTGACAACTGCTTCTTTGATGTAGCCTGAGCCCACGCAGGCAACTTTTTTCGGGATCCGAATATCCCAAATGTTTACACAGCATTCTTCACTGCCAGATAAAACAGTGGAAGAATTATAAAACTCACAACAAAAAGTTTCGCGTGATGAGCATTTGAACTGAGTTTTTATTGAGCCTGTTACGTCGTAAACTATGAGTTGTCCGTTAAACATCGTCAAAGCTATTAAATTGTTTTGTTCATTAGTTTTAATGCTCGTTCCTGTAGAAGAGGGGTCAATGGATTTGAATTTGGTCAGTATTGGATGTTCTTCAAGCGTGAGATCTAAACAAATAACTGTTGAATCTGTTGTACATGCGTAGTAATAGTTGCCCATACGAGCTATGTTGTAAATTCCTGCATTTTCTGTATGAATGACAACTTCAGTTAATTCACCACTATCCGTTAGAGTGGTTTTGCTGAGTGTACCCCAGCACGTCCCGTTTTCATTATTGTAACTACAAGTTATTACAGTGTCATTCTTATAAGGAGCTACGCCACAAATGTTATCCTTGCCGATGAACTCTCTTGGGGGGCTAACTCGTCTGACTATATGATTGTCGCTCATATCTGTGATAGGTGTGATCATTTGAACACGGTTTGTCGAGTATTTGTTTAAGCTTTCTCTGATATTCATTTTCAAAACGAAATATTAATGTTCTAACTGACTAATTATCTACGCTCCGTTGTTATAGTATACGTTTTACTGCTTAAATATTATCTTTGTAAATATGCTTTCTTGTGCAAACAAACTAAAAATTAAACCTGTTGCACAACGTCTCAAGATTCATTTTTTTAGGATAAGTTGACAAAAAAATAATATTTGATAAAAAACAAAAATAATTTCGAATGGCCGATCTTTACCAACGTGTACAGTTTGTACCCATATATTGGGATAAAAAAACCTGTAAGTTTGTCACTCAGTATTGTTTTAGGTACTAACCCCTACCAGTGGTTCTCTAGACTCGCCCATTCAAATGTTTTGTATGTTGGAAACCTTCCACGCAACGTCACCGAAGAAGACATAATACTTTTATTTTCGAAATGTGGAATAGTTATCAGAGTAGTCTTAGGATTCAACCGACAAAAAGAAAATGCTCAATGTGGATTTGGCTTTATCCAGTTCTCATCGCACGCCGAAGCCTCATTTGCAATGACCTGCTTAAACGGAACTAAATTCAAGGGCAACATTATAAGATGTGATTGGGATTCCGGCGAAGGTATTTTGATTGACAGGAAATTTGGCAGAGCTACAGACGGAAATCAACGCCGTGACTGTAGAAATAACCCGGATCAATAATCGTGAATATATAACTGCTTCTTACGAATCGGTTTTTACTTTAATAGATTGTAACAGTTTTTTATTTATACTTTTCTTAGGCAAAGTTTTAAATACTCGATTTTTTGGCGGCTGGAACACTCCAGCTGCCAGCAACGTGTAGCACGGCTCATAGCTAAGCCTGTGAATTTTTTGAGGGCCCAATTCTACAATTTTTTTTCTATGTTCGGCCGTGCCATAGCCTTTATTTACATCCAATAAAAATTCAGGATACTTTGCTGCGATTTTTCGCATGTATCCGTCACGATTTACTTTGGCAACAATAGAGGCTGCTGCAACACTAACTATTTTTTCATCTCCTTTTACAATAGAAAGTGCTTCAATGGCGAAGTTTTTACCTCCTTTAGATTGGTCACACATTACTGTTGAATCAAAGTTGGAGGGAAGTTTGTTTCCGTCAATTAAAACTAAGACTACGATTTTTTGTATCTTTGGCACGTCCTTTATTGAATGATAACTGATTTTCTCTCGATTTACAGAATGCTGGACTATTTTCTGTTCGTATATATGCAGCAGCAGCTTAAAGACGCAATTTTTCATCGTCTCGAGCGTAATCACCAAAATATTGGATTGATCAATCAAGTCTTCTCCGACCTTAGCAAAAGCATATGCAAATTTTTCTGATACAACAATTGTATACTCCACTGAATCTTCATCAATTTCAGTAAACACTTGCTTGTGTTCTTCATCTAAAAATCGTTTTGAACTTCACCTACCAATCTGTTTATAAAGTTTTTCACGATGTTTTTCAGAAATAATTTTACTATTATCTAAATTTTCAATCCACTTGAGGATTTCTTTTTTATGCTCAAAAAAACTAAAAGCAGAAACATATAAAGGACCAGCCAAGGGACCTCGTCCTGCTTCGTCCACACCTATTATGTAATCAACATCATGTTGAGATTCAAAATCAAAAATAGCAATTTTGCTTTTGTTCATACCAATGAGAATAAAATCGTAAAACCGAGAGCCGACACATTCAAATAAATTTAATAAAAATAATTATAAAAATTTAATTACAAAACTTGTCTGCGTTGGTAAATACAAGTAGAATAGTTTGGTGCAAATAACCTAAAGCAGTCTTGCTAGAAGCAGAGATATAAAGTGAAATAACAAATATGAAATTTATATAGTTTATGAATTAGGTTTTCGACATAACAACATTCACAAAAATATTTTTAAAAAGTCTAGAGATAAAAAATGTTGAGTGTTAAGGTTCCAGGAAACAGCAGAGTGACTGGTGTGAAGGACGTCAGTGCTGACCTTTTTATTAAACAGACTGCCAAATTACTTTCGGAATGTGACTCTTTCGAAGTCCCTGACTGGCTCGATTTGTGCAAGAGCGCCTCCGCTCGCGAATTGGCTCCATACGACAAGAACTTCATCTACATCAGAGCCGCTTCCATATTGAGAAAACTCGCTTGTGAAAAATCATACGGAGTCGGCATTTTGGCCAGATTTTATGGAGGCAAGAAGAGAAACGGAGTAGCCCCAAACCACGCCGCCACTGCTTCTAAGAAAATAATTAGACACTGTCTGCAACAACTCGAAAAAATGAACTTCGTCGAACAAAGAGGACCCACTAAAAACAGATTCCTCACCCCTAAAGGACAAACTGCTGTCGATCAAATCGCCAGACAATGTGTCTTGAACTAAATATTTGATAGTTAAATTGCTTGTTTTATTGTTTTTTATATTTGTTCTGAATGCTCAATAACACGAGTTTTTATTTTTCATAAATTATCTATTATAACTTTGTTAACTCTGCTTGCATACTGTAAAAGTGCTTTTGGTTGTTATATATATATAATGAAAGCTTACAGAGACATGATATAGAATTTTTATTTTGAAAGGTTTCTTTGCTTATCAGCAGAGCCAGACACGATTTTCTCGTCTGTAGGCAACCCTTTAATTTTTCTAATATTTATTATCATGCTTTTTAACTTATGCGCAAAGGTTGAATTGTCATTTTCACCACTTAAATCTTGAGTTGTTTCCATGAAAGGGTCTACGTCGCATAGGCTCCAATATGAGGTGAGTACCTGAACGGAACATTGACCAGATGTTTTGACGGCGAGCTCTGACTGTAATGAGTTGAGATTGGCGTTGGGCACGATTACAACAATAATCCAGTCCATTGTAAACGCGTTGACATCTGTTTCAATGACGACACCTTGTTTGGCATTAATCGTCTGAGTTGCCTGTTTGAAAACTTTTTGTTGACAAGTCACTCTTATTTTACTAACTAATTCATAAATTCGTGGATATCCGGGCGAAGCAAGTGAGTTTCTAAGTGCGGTATAAATACAGTTTATAATAGCGCCTGAGAATAATCCAGGTGTATTTTTGGCCCAAAAACTGGTTACAACAAATATTACGTTCCATAAAGGTTCTTCACAAAGCACACCTTTTGTACTGATTTTTTCAAAAGCTTTTAGTAAGAAAGGTGTCAGCCTTTCTAACGATGTATCAAGCAAGTCATCAGTGCAGTCAAAAAGATCAAGTTGTTCTACGGACCTAGATAATGTAATACTGCTTATTTCTTCGCATTTCACATCTAAAATAGTTTCTAAACTGTTTAAATCTATGGCATTATTTTCTTTTGTATTTATGGTTGAATCTTTTTTACTAGTAATAAAATATTTGTGTCGTATGTCTTTAGGAACGTTTTCAAATATCTCATCTATCGACCTAGATTTAGAGGCGACATATAAAGCGCAAAAAGCGTCGTTATCAGATGTCTTGGCCAAAAATTTGACATTTCGAAGTAAAGTGGGTTTTTCAATGTACTGAGAAACAGTTTCCACGTCAGTTAAATCTAAAATTAAATTTAAACTAACATTTGTTTCTTCGCTGTGTACTTTCAAGGCATCACTAATACCAATGGCTTTTATAGATACAAAACAGTTTGCGTTAAAATGGAACGAGAAAGCTTGTTCACTGTATATTGGATTAGAAATCCAAGGAATATTAAAAGAACCTTGCGCTTGCGAGGCTTCATATGGGGATATAGACTCTTTTATGGAAAAAATAGGCATACTTATGATCAATGGAATGTTATGACAGAATAACTTCTGAATGTCGTTGCAAATTCGTTCAAAGTGTACTTCTCCTCTGCAGCTCACGTAAATAGCACTTGACTCTTCGGCATACTTAATTGCAATAGCAGGATCAAAAGCAGCTAGTAATGAAATACCTTGACAGAAATTATCCCAGTCAGAAATGTTTTTTGGAACTATCATAAATCGCAAGTTCAAATTTGTTTTTTCGAGCGATTTTATCAAAACAAACGAATGAGGCTGGTTTGAAACGCTTAGTCCGCTTCCACACATGTGAAAACTGTCTAAATTAAGTTTAATATTTGTTGTAATTTCTTCATTTTCAGTTTGAACTTTTTCTAGACAAATGCAGTAAACATCTCCTGATTGAATTGAATCAATAGGTTCAACGGAAGAACCTTGTAAGTAGTATAAAGACTTTATTATGCAAGGTTCGGAATATCCTGCCGCATAAATTAAGTCACCTACTTTGAAAGATCCAACGAACTGCCTTCCAATTGAGCAAAACTCGTAAAAGTCATTGTTTTCTAATGAGTCTTCGCATTCTAGCTGAAGTGATCTTTTATTTACTTTAAGAATACGAAGTAACATAGCCAAACATAATTCTTTCTCTACTAGCTCAGTATAAAATGGCATGGCGTGTATTTCAGATTTATTCAGTTCGTGTCTAAACAAAAAGTCTTTTCTTTTATTATAACTTTCTATTGGATTTGGAATCAGACTCACAAAACTTTCTATTAATACCTCTGACAATGGAAAAACAGCTCCAAGAATTAGCGTAACGATGTTATTGCGAAGTGAAATTTTCTCACCTAAACCTTCGAATAGATTTGTCAAATTAAGTTTTGCCGCAAGCTTTGCCAATTTAACGGAATTATTCAAGTCTTTTTCATCTTTTAATGTATATACGTGGCATAATAAATTTAACAACACGGATACTGAAAGTGAAGATTTGATAGACTTGGTTTCGACAATCTTTCTATTACTTATTTTGTATTTACCCCAAGATGCAGATATAAGCTCTGAATCTGATAAATTCCCGCAGTCAAGCCATTGGCGCAAGTAAGGAACTAATTTAGGCAAACTGACTGCCCAACCGTCTGCTGCACTTGTCAGTATTACGTTCCCGTCAGTGAGTGAAAACTGAGTTTCAAACGCTTCGGTATCTTTATGATGCTCAGTTATAAGAATACTGTATTCAGCATTTACCAACTCAATACACTGATTGATATGATCGTAAATTGCTTCAGGCTCTAAGTTTAACTCGTTAAATAATCTGTCAATTTTGGTCAGGACCAAAATTACCTTCAAACCAGCTTTGATTGCTTCGCTTAATACGGTTCTAGTTTGAGGCTGCAAGCGCTCAACAACATCTACAAGAAGAATAGCACCATCGCTAACGTTCGTCGCGATCGAAACCTCGATTCCAAAGTCGATATGACCGGGAGAATCAATCAAATTTATCTTATAAGTGTTATCCCCATTTTCTGGCGTATACTCAAAAAAAATAGCGCTATTCTGAATAGTAATCAACCTTTGCTGCTCGTCAGTTCGATAATCTAAATATTTCATTTGGCCAGCAACCCTCTTGGGTATTAGACCAGAATATGCTATTAAGTGATCACATAGAGAGGTCTTTCCTAAAAAATTTTTTTTATTTTTTACGTCGAAATTATAATTATCAAAAAACACAAGAGAGTATCTGGTTTCTCGTTATCTGTTGTGTCCCGTATCATGTCGTAGTAACCATTGACAAACAGCCATGTTTAGAAATTTTTATTAATCTTGCTCATCTCAAGTTTTTTATTGTTTATGTCACTGTTTCAACGTGATTACAGATGTTTAAAAAGATTCCATAACACCTTTTTAAAATTTTTAACACTTACCATGGTCTATATGAGCGATAATACAAATATTTCTCGTATTTGTCACCACTAACATAATTTCTTGAAATTATCTCTTACTTTAATAAATGTTTTCAAGTGTGGAAAATGAAATTTCTCAATTACAAGAACCAATAGGTAATATAGCCGTAAGTCGATACTACAATGTTGCAAAAACAAGAAAAAAAATTTATAGGACAAATGGCAGCTTTTACCCGCTTTCTTGCGAGCGAAAGGATTTATTAAACAGCACATCGATTCTTATGCACATTTTATCAACGTAGAAGTTGCTGAAATCGTGACATGCGACGTCAACCGTAGTATTTACTCAGACATTGATCCGAAATTCTATCTGCATTTCACCAACTGTGTAATTGGTAAGCCAAAAATAATTGAAGGGAATTCTGTAACCCATTTGACTCCTATGCAGTGCAGGCAAAGAGATTTAACCTACAGTGCTCCAATCTTACTCGATATGGAATACTATTGCGGTGGAAAGATTATTCGTAGACTACAAGAAGAAATTGGCCGTATGCCAGTTATGCTTAAGTCGCCAGCTTGTTGGATGTGGCAAAAATCAGACGACGAAATCATAAAATTAGGAGAGTGCCCCAGAGATCCTGGTGGATATTTTATCATTAATGGAAGCGAAAAAGTAATATTAATGCAGGAACAACTCAGTAAAAATAGAATAATCATTGAACAAGACCACAAAAAATGCTACTGTGCAACCGTTAGCAGTGTGACCAACCAAAACAAGAGCAGAACTCAAGTATTGTGGCACAACAACAAATTATATGTTCGACATAATTCCTTCAATCAACTCATCCCTTTTTTTATCATTTTAAAAGCGCTAAGTATCGAGTCTGATCAGGAGTCATTCCAACTTATCGGGAATACGCAAAAGCTGTTCGATCTTTTACAGTTCTCTATTCAAGATATTATAGAGGCTAATATTGTAACTCAAACTGATGCTTTGCTTTATATAGGGAACAGAATGAACCTCAAAAGCTGGCAAGTAGAAAGCACAACTCGTCTAAAGGAAAACATTATCAGCGACGCATATGAACTGATTGATAAAATTCTACTGTCACACATACCGGTGATTGACAACAATTTTAGACCTAAAGCCATTTTTTTATGTTTAATGACTCAAAGATTGTTGAAAGTAGTTTATGGAGATTGTTCTATTGACGATAAAGATTACTATGGAAATAAAAGGTTAGAGTTAGCCGGGCAATTATTGGCGTTACAATTCGAAGATAAATTTAAATTGTGGAGAGATGAGTATAAAAAACGCATTGAGGAAACTTTGAAAAGATATTTCAGTAAGTCTCACGACGCTTCCAGCAACTTGAATTCTTATCCAGACATTGTCAGAGATAAACCACTAGATACCATAACAAGAGGAATAAAACAAGCCTTATCAACCGGTAACTGGAATATCAAACGTTTCAGAATGGAGAAGAGCGGCGTTTCTCAGGTTTTAACTCGGTATTCATATTTAGGTTCACTCGGAATGATGACTAGACTTGTTGCTGGAGTTGAAAAAAGCATGAAACTTGCTAGACCCAGATGGCTACAGCCCAGTCAATGGGGGATGATTTGTCCTTGTGATACGCCAGAAGGAGAAAGCATCGGTTTAGTTTTGAACTTAAGTTTGATGACATTAGTCACCACCGATGAAAACGATACCCAATTAATAGGCCTCGCCTATTCTTTAGGTATTGAATCTATCGAAACTTTGTCAGGAGAAGAACTACATAATAAAAACGCTTACACCATATTCTTGAACGGACTTGTGTTAGGAATTCATTCGAATCCCAACCATTTTATTAGTAATTGGAGAAAACTTAGACGCACTGGAAAAATCGGTGGTTTCGTTTCGATTTACTTAAACCGACAATATAAGTCAATTCACATCTCTTCTGATGGAGGTCGGCTTTGTAGACCTTTAATCATTGTTGAAAATTGCAGACCGCGGTTAACTCAAAAACACTTGCAGATGATTAAAGACCAAGAACTGAATTTTTTTGATCTTATTCAGATGGGAATTGTAGAATGGATTGATGTCAATGAACATAACGATACTGTCATCGCTTTATTTACTGACAAAATTGACGAGCACACCACTCATTTAGAAATCGATCCATTTACGATTATGGGAATCGTCAGCGGTCTTATTCCTTTCCCTCATCACAATCAATCACCAAGAAATACTTATCAATGCGCTATGAGCAAACAATCTATGGGAGTTTTGAGTTACAATCAGTTTTGCCGCGTCGACAACGTATTATACCTGTTAGTGTACCCGCAGAGACAATTGTGTAAAACTCGGACAATTGAGTTGGCAGGTTTAGACAAACTTCCTGCAGGTCACAATGCTTCTGTTGCTATTATGAGTTTTCAGGGTTACGATATTGAAGATGCCTTGATATTTAACCAAGCATCTATTGACAGAGGTTTTGGACGATGCATCGTGCAAAAAAGATTCATGGTAGAACTGGCTCGCAATAGCGATTTAAAAGACGTAACTTTGGCGCCTCCAGAAAACAAAGCATCAAACAACAATTCCAGACCCAAGTTTGATTACAGACACGAAATTTTGGAAAATGACGGAGTTGCTAGAGTAGGCGCTTTAATTTGTCAAGATCAAATTTACTGCAACAAGGCAGTTTCCGTTGGCGTTGTCGAAGATCTTAGTATGAACTCTGTTAAAAAAGTTACATATCAAGCTCAGCCTGTCAAGTACAAAAGTCCCAATCCTGCTTACATTGAGCGAATTATATTGACTGAAAACGTAGAAGAAACTCGCTTGCTAAAATTTATTTTTCGTCAGGTTCGAAGTCCGGAGCTAGGTGATAAGTTTAGTTCGCGACATGGGCAGAAAGGTGTTGTCGGATATATTTCTCCGGCAGAAGATTTACCTTTTGCAGAAGACGGTTGGACCCCTGATATTATCATGAACCCGCATGGTTTCCCATCAAGAATGACTGTAGGAAAAATGCTTGAATTGTTAGCAAGTAAAAGCGCCGTTTGTTCTGGCCGACTAGAGTACGGTACAGCGTTTCAAAAACCAAACATAGATTTTATAGCAAAAACACTTACAAAACATGGATATCACTACGGTGGTAAAGACTACTTAACGCTAGGTACAACCGGTGAAGCTTTACAAACTTATATATTCAACGGGCCCATATTCTATCAAAAATTAAAACACATGGTACAAGACAAAATTCACGCGCGAGGTATTGGACCTCGACAACTTTTGACCAGACAACCAACAGAAGGTCGAGCGAAACTTGGAGGACTACGTCTTGGAGAAATGGAAAGAGATTGTTTGGTAGCATATGGCGCGTCAAACATGCTCATTGAACGATTATTATTATCTTCAGATGCGTTCAATGCTGACATCTGCAGTGAATGTGGCCTTATTGGATACAACAGCTATTGCTCGTTTTGCAAATCAAAGTCTAACGTTCGAAACATTACAATCCCTTACGCTTGCAAACTTCTGTTCCAAGAGTTAATGTCTATGAACATTGTTCCACGCTTATTAATCAAACAAATTAATTCACAATAAAGTAACTCTGACGCATCACATCAGATTTACAAATTTTTTTATTTTGCTTTTTACGAGCTTGACGCTCAATATTCAAATTTAACTATAATAATGTAGATTTGATTAATAAAAATATCTAGTTAGTCATAGTTCGATGTGTTATAAATCAATTTTTTTAGTTTGTCCCAACAATATTGTATGCCTCCTAAAACTGATCTTTATAATAACGAAAACATAGAGATAGAACAAGTAAAAACGCTAAATACGGTCAACTCAATTTGTTGTTTTCCTAATTTGCTTCGAAACACAAAGTATCAAACGACTCCCAAACTAGTCACAAGCAATTTAAGCGAAGAAAAGTTACATAATTTAAAAAAGAAACAAAATTTTTCGAATCGCCTTCGAAAAAAATTGACTAGATACTTTTCGTCCGAATCGAGCTATAAACTTCGCTCAGTAACCAATTTTGCGAGCTTGTCAAGTTCTTTTGAGTCATTTGATTCTGATGAAAAAACCTCAGAAATGTGTTTGTCTGATCCGCCAGGACAATTTCATTATTGTGACTTTCCATCTGGAAAAACATTTACAGGAACGATTGATGAACTTAGAGTGCTTCTAGCAACGTATATCGATCCCGAAGATAAGAGAGAGTACACTTCCATAGGAAAATGGTTTGTGCCCCGACCTAATTACATAAATGAGACAATCAAAAATTTTACCCAAACAGCGGTTCAAAATCTTTATCAACTTTTTACAGATCAAAATATGCTTTGGACAACATATAAAGTACACAAGGAGTACACGATAGAAACTCATGCCGATCCTCAAACAAAACGAACCATTGGCAAAAGTATTTGTGAATTTACGCCAAGCAAAGAGACACCGTTAACGATGGATTTCGTAAGCGACGCTATGTGGCAAGAGCATTACAAACAAGAATACGACGAGTTTAGCGAAAATGTATACGTAAGTTTTAAGTATTCAAAATATATTAGTGTTATTTTGAGATCAGCCCAAATATTAACGTTTCTAGTTTAGTTTTCAAGTCTCGATTTGGCATTGCCGGACGCGAGTTTGTGGTAGCCATGCAAAGAGAACGTTTTGATGACGAAGACTTTGAACGATTAGTCATAGCCACGGCGAGCTTGCCTGATTCACTAGTTAACATTCTCGAATCACACATTGATAGACCTGATATTTATGAAACCTATAAAAAGGTAGCAGCCAAGGTCGTTCGAGCTAAAATATTTCTCGCCGGGTTTTATTTTGAGCACAACAAAAAAACCAATCAGTGGAAAATTATGTTTTTAAATGACGTAGATCCTGAAACGACGGCTGTCCCGAAATGGATCGTTAATAGAGTCAAAACAGATCAGTTGAAAATAGTCAAAAATATCCCTAGTGTTCTTGCCAAAACGTTTGAAGAGACGAGTGGTAAAATAATTTTAAAACCATATAAATCACAGCTCCAATCAATTGTTAAATGACATAGATCCCCGTAAAAAAGTGATTATCTAAATTGGAACGCAAAACACTGTGATAGAAAAAAAATCTGAATTGTGGCCTGGTAAACACACTCGTGTTTTATTTGTTCATGAAAATAAATACGAGCAAATTAATTTTGGTATTAATATGCAGTAGGTGTTTAGGCGTTGCAACGTTGCTGTTTGAAGGCAAAAATGGTTCAAAGTCTTCTTTGTTAAGCAAATTAAACACAAGTCGTGAATCTAAGTTAGCTCTGAAGTCGGCTGAGCTGCGAAGCAACATAAATCCGAAACAAGATTACAACAAGAAAACATTTTTAGAAGAAAGAAGACGTAAACAGAAATCGAGCGAAGCGGATCCAAACGAGCTTGGGCACTTAGACTTGATAGACGAACTCTTCGCAAACGAACTAGAGTCGGCTTTAAACGAGTCAAATTCTAAAGTTTATGTGCACGACATAGACGAACTGCTTTCGTTAAAGAAGATGTCGCTAAAACCTGCTGAACAAACAAAGAACATAAAAAACGGGAAAATAGTAAACGAGAGCAACGACGAACTACAACAAGAAGACAGTATATTTGATCTAGCTACGAACGCGCTCAAACGAAAACGACAAAAAAAACTGCTAGAAAAAGGCATTGTGTATGATGAAGAATCTAACGGTTTCGTGGACCCTTTAGGTATGCCTTGCTATAAGTCTCTTTCACTACTTCCATGCAGACGAACAGTAGTGCCTTACAAGCCTGCAGACACGATAGAAGAAGAAAAGATGCGATATCGTCGCGAAAAGCAAAATAAATAAGGCGTGGACATACAAGGGCGGCTCGGACGTAAATTCAGCGAATGAAACAAAACATATAGTAATGACAATAACAAAACGTATTACTGTGATTTATTCATCTGTTGCAAACTCAGCTTCAGAATTGATTAGGGTTTGGATGAATTTCGATTTGTAGAAGTGGTTGATGGGCCCGTTTTGCATACTGAAATTATTATTTTCCATGTAGTACTTGTAAAAGTCTGCTGGCGAACTGAAAGTCTTGTTGAAAGGCACGATTCGCAAAGCTCTGCTTATTGTATAGAGGGTGGAAATCAAAAACAGCCCGAGTATTAAATAATTTTTACCTGAACTAGAAATATTTAAATAAAAAACCTACAAAGAGTAAAACAAAGCTCCATAAACGGAAATAGCAAGAACAAAGCAAGAAAGTTTGGTGTTGGTGTAATTCATTATTGGACGTTTCTTTAGCAAACAATAAATGACTGAGATCAAATTATAACTAGGTTATATATTTAAAGTCTTTATATTATTTTTTATATTTTTTTATTCAAAAAAAGTTTTGAGTAAGGACTTTCTCTGTCGAATGTAGAAAAATCGTCAAAAAATAAATAAGGAAAAAACAATATCAATGCGAGAAGTGAATAAGAAAGAATTAGAACTCATAAAAGCAAAGCTAGAGCAATTGTAAGTAGCGTAATTTCAATGTTTATTAGCATGGGCGCGAATATGCGTCTGTTATTTGAGTCAGACCCTAAACCAATTTTTTTACTGAAGAGAAACAGAGTTTCAATAGCCAACGAGAAGTTAGTGCGGTTTTTGTCTAGCGTTCCGCACAAGAAATTAATTGGTATGGGTACATACATTGGTAAATTCACAAAGAGCAACAAGTTTAAGTTGCAAATAACGGCGCTTGATTATTTGGCTCACTACGGGAACCACAAGATGTGGTTGAAACAGCAGTCTGAAGGTTCGTTTTTGTATGGAAACCACGTATTGAAACGTCAAATTGCACAAATGACCGAGGGGGCGGAGGCCAAATTAGGTGTCATTGTCTACTCAGCGTTCGACTTTCCCATAGGTTTTGGATTGATAAACAAATCGACAACCGATGTTCGCAATTCAGACGGGGACGCTGTGGCTTTGTTGAACCTGGCTGACTGTGGTTTGTACGTGCGTGAAGAGCGAGAAATTTTCGGTCTTGCAGGAACCCAAGAGCTCAAAGAACAGTTTAACAACTAGTATGTTGCAGACGTTAGATTTAGATAAACAAAGAAAATAACACCGTAGTTGTGTACATATATAGAATTCTTTGCATAAATAAAGAATACACTTTGAATAAGTTGTATAAATAATTTATATATAAAGCAAATAAACTTTTGCATATTTAGCATCTAGCCGCGTAGCTAAGAATTTATGATTATTCCGTCTTTGAACTAGATTGGGAGTATCAAAGGTGATGAAATTTGTTTATTGTTATTGTGAGATTTTCGTTATTTTTGAACAATGTTTTGCCAATGTTTAGGGCGGGGGAGCGGACTTCCTCCGCTGACTGGGAGGAAGTTGGGTGCTAAGTTAGACATGTACATATAGGTGACAACTCTATTGGCAGAATCCATGGGGACTTGTTTGATTTGCTTGACTTCGTCAGTAATTTGTTTAACATAATCGTCGCATTGCGTGATGAGTTTGCGGTTGATAAAGTTTTTGGCGGTTTGTCTGTTCATTTGCTCGATATAGTTCATTTGTTTGTTTTGGAATTTTTCTCTAATAGCCTTTTCAGCTATCCACTTTTGCTTGAGACGGTGTTCCTCGCGCGCATCTTCGCTAATGACGCGGTGATAAGTATCAATTTGATCGACGTAACTTAATTTGAACGCTTCGAGCGCAGCTTCAAATTTGGCTTGCTGTTCGAGTTGCATCTGAGTGAGCTTGTCGCTCCAGATGTTGATTTCTTCGATTTGCATTATTTGGAATTTGCGTACCCAGGCCAGAATAAGAATTTTCCAGTCGTCAAGATTAAGTGGTTTGCTCAGGTCTATTCTGAGACCAATGGAAGCAAGCAAGTCGTCCAGATACCTTACTTGAAGTGCACCAGCTTCGTCCACCACGAGAGGCAAAAACTCACCATACCCAATGACGAACAAGAAATGCCTGATCAAAGGTTCAACGGCAGGATACATTTTAGCTTCTTCATCTTCCCCAAAATTAGTACACGTGTCGTACGCAGTCTAAAGAAAGCTGTGATAGCGGAAAACTTACTTCGAGTTCAGTTTCGATTTCAGGGAAAATAACAGCTAGATCATTTAAATAGTCGTCTAAACATACAGATGTATTGTTTCCCATAGTTAAAATTATGCTACGTGTTTATATTTGAACGATCAAGCATGCACTTTTACATGTAGCAATAAGGTGTACTATAATGCGGGTGAAATATTAGCGTTGCAAAACACCGCTGTCGAGCAAGCCGAGCAGCTACATTAAATATATACACAAAAAATAACATAAACACATTATATAATACACTTTATGCTTCTGAAAACAATTAGGGCTTTTCGCCACGCACTTAAACCCTTTGCAAAGGATTTTACTTAGCAAGCAGTTTCTGCAACATGTTTAATTGGAATGTTCGTTGTTGGTTCTGCAGCAGGAGTCGGCGCAGCACTCTGAAGTTCCGCAGCACTCGTCTTCTTGGCAACATTCTGATCCTTTACAGCAGTCGTTATCTCCACAGAATTTATCGTCTTTAGCGCCATTGAAGTTCATGGACGAAAGGTCGCCCATACCGGGCATACCGTCGAGATTTGACATGTCAGGCATACCGCCCATACCGGGCATGCCACCCATGTTGCCAAACTTCGAAAAGTCGAGACCGTCCATGTTGAAATCGCCAGCCTCGTTCTTTTCGTCTTCATCGTCTGAGTCAACCCATCGACTCCAGTCGATCTTTATGTATCTTCTTTTGTCGTTTACAGGGGTTAAGCTTTCCCAGCTTTTAGCTTCTTTCTTAACCAGAATAAGAGAAATTCCGCGAGATTTCACGTATTTGCTCTCGTTGACATCTATTTCGCTGTACAGAGGCACTTCGAGAGTTTTTTCGTCTGAATTTACATGGTAGTGAACAACAAATGATTTTTCAGTAATTTTTACCGAAGCCTTATCGTCATCTACCGTGTTAACCGTAACGTACAAGGAGGTGGGTCTTTGTGCCCATGTGATTTCAATGTTGTTGCTAAAATGAGATCTCCACTAGTTTTCACACTTACCTCATAGTTATCTTTTTTAAAAAAATTTTTTATTATATTCAAATTTAATATTTTATGTTACGATCAAATCATAAATAAATTTAAAATAATATTTAATCGTCTGATTTTAAAATATCGCCTAATTTTGCACAAAAAGTTCATGGTCTTTTAAAATCGTGAACATCTATTTTTTATAAAGGCGGTTATTATCGATAATTAAGAAGAATTCTTAGTTTTAAGCTTAATAAAAATATTATAATATTGAAAACTCCAGACAAACATCATGTCACGAGTAGCCCGAGTTTTGCGTTCGTTGATAGGACGTGTGTCCTCCGAAATCGGATTGGGTTCAATTCCCCAGTCCGATACTTCCGAAAAAGTAAGTTGCAGCGACGTATATATAGTTATTAGATCATTCTGTCGTCGCTTGCCTTAATTAAAATTTTGAAGCACGGTCGAGCCGGGATTCCCATGGAAGTCATGGGGCTGATGCTCGGTGAATACGTGGATGAATTCACCATCAGCGTTGTGGATGTGTTTTCCATGCCTCAGTGCGGTAATTCTGTGTCTGTCGAATCTATAGATCCTGTGTACCAAGCAACAATGCTGGACATGATTCGCAGAGTCAACAGACCGGAAACCGTAGTCGGTTGGTATCACAGTCACCCAGGCTTCGGATGTTGGCTGTCAGGAATCGATATCAGCACTCAGGAGTCGTTTGAGCGCCTCGATGAACGAGCTGTCGGACTTGTAATTGATCCCATTCAATCTGTCAAAGGAACTGTGGTAATCGACTGTTTCAGACTGATTCACAAAAGCTTTATGTTTTTAAACCTCGATCCACGCCAAATCAATTCCAACATTGGAAATTGCGTTCGTCCTAATGTTACTGCTCTTATACATGGACTCAACAAACACTACTTCAGTCTTGTCATTTCGTACAACAGAAACAAACTCGAGCAGAACTTGCTCTTGGCACTGATGAAAAACTCGTGGATTGACGACTTGAAAACCAAGCCGATAAACGAAGCGAAAGAAGAAAATATCGACTTTTTGGAAAGACTCGAAGCTTCAAGCAAGGCCTACATCAGCCAAATAGAAGAAATTACTCTGTCACAAAGCGAAATAGTCATGAAGCAGGTCGAGAGAGAATGTGCTAAGAAAAAGATTCTGCACATAGCGGATCAAATGATCGACAATATTACAATTGACTCCATGAGACATTCCATTTTATATCAAATATTTTAGCTTAATCTACGAATAGTTATAAATGTACGTTTACGATGTAAAAATTTAAGAAGGCACGCTATTTTCCTATGTCGAACGCTAGGTAAGCAATTGAAATGTTCCATAGGGCGCAGTGCTCGTACGCTTCTGAGATCGAAGTTTTCAGCTTCAAACAGCGCGTAACTTCTTTCATGTACTGGCGGTATTCCGGCTTCATCTCATCTCCGTCAAAAGTGTCGAGCAAATTAGCGAGGTCTTTGAATACATTGTTCCGGAATTCTCGCAATTTGTCATTCTTGTTGCAACTAATTAACACAAGGATGTTTATGACGATCAGAACAGTGAGAAACGTTGTGTAGTCGTCTTTTTTTTCAAAAGCTATATTCATCAGGTATTTCGTGTCATAAAGGTATTTAGACTTTATTTCTATTTTTTGGCACAGCAAATATGCCAGCAGTACGAATTCATATTTTGACCTAGCGTTTTGCATTAGAACCGGCACGTAGTAAGCCAATTTTTTAACATTTAGTTTGGCACTTGCCCACAACGGAATGCTCCGATTCTTTTTGATCCGATCGATTAGAGGAACAAATGGCTCGTTAGGAACCTCAGAAAAGCTGTCTTCCGGCCTAATAAACTTTTTTTCTACCACATCGTCTTGTGTTTCTGTTTCTCCGTACACGCGCTTTCTAATCTCTTCCACAGTTAAACGCTTCAATAAAATTGCAGTTAGCACTGTGTAATTTTTTTTTGTGAAATCAATTTCTGCTACGATGCGCTGACAAAGCTTAGAAAAATATTGAAGTTGCAATTTTGCCTCTTCGTGTGTGCCACACGTAAGTGTCAGAGACACAGAAATGTCGTTCATGTATTTAGGAAGCAGTGTATAAAATACTTCGTTTACCACTCTCTCTAAAGTTTTCAAGCAAATAGTAAGGTTTCTCACGCAAAGAGTAGCTTTCAACGTTACGTGCACTGGTAACTGCAAATCTTCTACGCGTTCCAACCGAGCTTGGTCTAAATAGTCGATTCGTTTTTTTTCTAGCGGGTACAGTTCATTGATAATATCGACAGAATTTGCTCTCAACTGCTTGTCTAATATTTCCACGATTTGTTTTTTGCAGCTTGAGTATTTTTTATACAACATGAACAAACATTTGATTTCGTTCGTTATAAATGGGTGGCAGATGAGTTCTCGGATGATATTAGCTTCAAATGTTTGTTCTGACGCTAACAAGTCTACCAATTCGTACCTTGATTTTTCTAATTTTTTGTTTAGCTCAGGAAGCACCAAAGAAATTTTTAAAATCTGGTTTATTTCGTAAACATTTAACAAATGCTTCTCAGCTAATATTTTCTGATATCTTTCAAACAGTAAAGTCATCATCTTGTTTCTTGATGTTTCACTGATTAGAGAACTCTGTAACAACAACAGCACAGATTTTAAAATTAAAACAGGATTTTCTTCTATTTGACTTATCAACTTATGCATCAATTCGTCTGACGACATTAATTCTTTACCACCTTCTTTCACAACTTGAATAAATACTTTTACAGCTATAATGACGTATTTATTAGAATGCAAAAGTTTTGTGAAATGTTGCTCGTCAGATAAGGTTTTGTAGTCTGTCAAGAAAATTTTTTCTAAGAAATCTGAAATCTCTTCTGTAATGCAAACTGTTTTCATCAAATCCGGCAACCATTTTTTCACGACCCATATTTCTTGTTTTGTAAGTTTTTTCGTTAAAAGATTAAGTAGAGCGACAAAGTACAAAACAAATACGTCTTTGTGATAATTTTTGAAAAATTTGCTTTTTATATTAGTAATCTTCTCGAGATTGAAATCAGGAAGCGCCGCAGTAATTATTGACAAATCAAACTTATTTTCAACTCTTGTAAGAAACTTAAACACGATTGTCGTTGTATCAGAAATATCAGTGAAATTGGTGGCCAGCAAGCTTGATAGCTCAGTCGTTGATAGCTTCCAGACTGCTGAAATGGCCAATGGCGATTTTTCGCCGATAGTATATATTAACTCATATAATGCACTTTTAGACAATTTCAAATGTTCAATATCAAGACAAGTTAAAAATGGTTGTGATATATTCATCTGTTCATGATCTAGCATTGCTAAAATACTGAGCTTGTGTATAATGTCAGCTGGATCAATCAAATTTAATTCAGAACTTGAGAGTAACTTCATGAGTATGTTCAGAAAATAACTAATTGTACTGGCTACTACATCGTTAACATCTGAATTTAAAGTAATATTATTGTAAAATTCAATCTTCCACTTAAGTTCGATTTCATCTATCTCTTCTAAAATTTCTTTAGTTTTTTCAGGAATATTTTGATATTTGTTAAGCTTAAAGTAATCCACAACCGAGATAAATAATTCATTTTTTTTTAGTAAACTGGAAACATGATTATTTTCTAACAAAGCTTTAGCAAGATTATTAAGTAGTATATATTCTTCAATTTTAAGCCTATGAACCATTGGAAGAGTTAAATCAACGTGAGAAAAAAAGCTGAAAAATATCTGTTCCACTAGTACGCTAAAGTCTTGTTCATGCATATTATCAAACTTAGACAAAATCTTTAAAAGTAATTCTGAGAGTTTTTTATATAGATCAGGATTTAAACCAAGTTTCTGAATTCCCGCATTTACTATATCAAACCCATTAGCTAACTTAAACAATTGTTTTATATCACTGATTTCAGCAAGAGCTTCAATAACATTGATTATAACTTCCGTTATTTCAACTAGGCTATAACTATTGCTTTCAATGTTGATGGCAATTTGATCAAGAATTTTTGAAATTTCTTCAATCTTACTTTCGTTCGGATTTTTATTATAACTTGCTACTAATACATTAATAATAGCAGAAAGAATTATAGGTTTTTTATCTTTAGCCCAATTAAACAATTCTACTAATTTATTTGCTTTATTTGAATATAAAACTGAAGCATCGACTTTAGTAATAACTAATGAAATAACTTTTATTAATTTAGAAGCGTATAAAGATTCATTTTTGTCAATTAGTAAAATATTGTTAACCAAAACAGTAATTAAGCAGTTATCAGATTGATTAGTATTGACTAATAAATTTAACAATAATTGACAACCTAGTGCACTTTTTGAAAATTTTTCTACAAGACTTGGGCAGCCAATTCCCGCTTGTTCATCAATTTTTTTCTGTAACAATTGTTTAAATAAATCATTGGAAACTAAATAATTGTAACAACAGTCACTGAATTCTGGAAGAACTGCAACATCTAGTATCAAATTGTAAAATTTAAACTTGAATGAGTGTGGTAATAATTGTTCAATCAATTTAATGTTTTCCACAGAAAATAAATATTTAAAAGTGTTTAAAAGTGAAAGATTGCTGTTGTCAAATTCTTGTATTGCTCGTAATTGTGTCGAAACATCGTTTTCATCTTGAATATATAAGTCATCTTTTAAACTTAATCTATTATTTCTTAAATTTAATTTAAAATTTTCTACGAATATTATATCGAAATCTAAAATTAACCTCGCAAAGAATTCTTTAAGATCGGTTTGTTTTTCCACATGATTAATCAAACTATGGATAATGAGTACTAACAAACAATATATCTGTCTTGTATCATTTAATATCAGCTTGAAATACAGCTTTAGTTTAGATAAAGATTTATTTATTATGTGTATATAGTATTCGTGCACAGGCTCTAATACCAATATTGATTGAATTTTTTTTAATTTCGACAAGACCAACGTGGATAATGGGATAATTTGAGAAAATATCAGGAGTTCGAAATTGCTCTGCTCTGTTAAACAAAACTTGTCTTCGAATTTTTGGAAGGCAGCTAAGATTGTGTCGTTCGTATTTATTTTATTTTGACATGGAGCATTTTTTATTAGTTTTACGATCAGCGTAACACAAAGATTAATTACTTCACGATCAGTCGATGAAATAATCAGTCTGCACGTTGTAGTAATATAATCATTGATTTTTATTTCGCATTTATACTTATGTCGATCTTCCAAGCTTATTAACAGTGATAATATAGATTTGGTCCAAGTTTTATCTTTGTTTAAAATGTTGTAAAAATTCTTCTCTATACCGTGACGAATTAAATATTCAGCTAACTTTTTGTTCTTTAGCAATAAAATATTTTTGTTGCATTTTTCAACAATGTCAGCGTTCATTGATTTATGCGATTCTTTTAAAGTTGCATAAAACAATTCAAATTCCGGCAACGTTTTAAGTATTACAAATGGAACGGATGCAATATGTTTGTATATTGCATATTTTATTTCTACTTCACTAGGAGATAAAGTTAAAATTTTAAACCCAAGTAACAAAACTTCTAAATTTCGTGTATCATATATTTTTCTGTTCGTGTTTATGATTGTTATTATATCAAATAATTTTGCTATATACAAATCGAATTCTTCTTTTTTGTCCACTTCATTCACTAACTTGATTAAAAGATTGTTTATTTCTAACTCGAGATTTATTTTTTGTGACAGCGTTTTATATATTTTACTAAAGTTTTCACCAAAATCTAAAGCCATCATAAAGAGTTTGAATGCGTTTTTATATCTTGTTGTATTTTTGTGAACTTCGATTTCTTTAAGCATAGTGGTTAACAACGATTCAAGTACTAATTGATTTAAAACTTCGGTTGTATCGATACTACTAATAAATGAAACCACTTTTTGAAGTAATGAAGAAGCTTTATTATATTTTTCAGCTTCATAGAAACTGAGAACAGTGTTAAAGCTTCCGTTAATTCTAGTAATTAAATTTTTAATCATGTTTCGTTTTTTTTCAAAGTGTATCATTATTGCTAAATTAACTTCTGAATCAACAATATTTTTGAGTTTATCGATTAAATATGTGTATATTATATTATATTTCTCTTCTTTCATTTCTACTGTATCGATAGCTAGCACGATAGTATTACATAACATCTCTCTTGCTTCGAACCACATTGGAAATAAAGCCGTACACTTAAGCATTTCAATCATTGTATCGTTATCAACGACTAATACCTGATTGTTTTCTTTTACTTTTGCAAATATCGTATGCAAAATCTTATAACCTATCATAATTGCATCAGATTTTTTCGACCATGAATTAATTAGTTTAACCATAGCTTGAATAAATTCGCAAACTTCAAGTGACTTGAAATTTTTTAAAAGCTTAGTTCTATTATTGATGCTTTCATGTATAGCATTCAGACACACTTCTAATTTTTTAACAACTTGCACTTTCTCTAAATTTTGATTTAACTTCATTATTAGATAAGTGAAATTCGCAAAATTATCATCATATACTAAGTATAATTCAGTATAAAACGATAATAGTTCTGTTTGTTCGTTTTCTTCTGTTATTTTTACACCTTTAATTACTGAGTCAAGTAAAAACGCTCTAAAATCGGCTACAAGACCAGTATCGAACGCAAACAATTTAGGTTTCCGAAAGACGAAATAAAGAAACACTAGCTTTTTATATTCTTTATCCTCAGTCGTTAATTTTGTTAGATCATATTTTGATTTCAAAATATGATTTATTATATGAGTAAAATTGATAACTGGATTGTCTTCGTCTTCTAACAATTTATGAAGTGTTTTTTTCCTATGGGCTATTTCGAGTAGATTTAATAAAGTGTCGAACTTTGCATCACAAAACACATTTGCCAATGATTCATTTATGTAACTCAGTTGAAACATCAATCTACATCTTTCAATATGCATGAATTCGTTAGGTATTGAGCATAAACTCAAAACCAAATCAATAAACTTTGAAACTGTTACTTGATCAGAATTTAAAACTATTTTTAACAGTCTTTGAGTCAAAAAAGTACACAACTCAATATGAACCGATGGCATCTCGTGAGTAACCAGCTTTCTGATTAAACTTAAAACCACTCTAAGGTCTATTACGCGGCCTAATTGTTTAGTAGAGACGAAAGTACTATAAATAAACTCAAGAAACAATTTCATTAGTTTAACGGTACATTCTCTCATTTTTATCTTATCAATTACAAAAATGCAAAATTGTCGTTCAACGAGGTTATTAATAAATTGTGCATCTTTAAACAGTTTATCTGACAACAAGATAAAAATTCGTAGAATACATTCAAGCTTTTGTTCTTTATTTAACACTAGAGTATAAATTGTTTCCAAAGTGAACTTATATTTATTAAAATCATTAATATTAACTAATATCATAATGGCGCCTTCACAATTGTCAAGTAGCTTAGCATATTGGAGCACATTGAATAAGTAATCAATAGAATCAATTTGTTGAATTCTACTCATAAAATAAGGAGAATAAGAACACACCCAAAGGCGTTTGTTAAGCCACTGATCAAATCTAACTTTATTAACAATATCAATTATACAGTCATCGTAAAATTTTTCATCCAAGTAGTTATCGAATATATGAATTATACTCATGTATAACTCGTCTTTATAAAGCAAATCGTCAAATAAGATTACTAAATTGCACAAATCTTCTTTGCCAATAGATTTTAGTTTCACTAACTGTATAATTATATTGAGTAATTTTTCAAGCACTTCTTTGATATTAATTTGTGAGGTAATTTTAGTGAAGTAGTTTAAAACTTGAAGAATTTTTATTCTGTTAATGATTTGTATTGTATTCAGTTTATGAACAATCTTTGTGCTTAGATCTAGTAAATTTTCAAATTCATGTACGGTAAAAATTTCAGGTGTTTCAAATAAAAGATATATTACTTCCAAAATGGAATTTGAAATCGAAGTTTTATCGATCACACTTGCTATGAGATCACAGATAATTTTTTTACTTACATCCGGAGCAGAACTTTGAAGTAAATTTACAAGTGTGTCTAAACCTCCTTGTTCTACAAATATTAAGAAGTCACCTGAACTACACTTATTTAAAATCTTTTCAAATATACTTGTTGATAAATTAAAGACTGACGTTTTATTAACAAATTTATTTACATGATTCAGACACTTTCTAAGGTCATCTCCATTAATAAATTTTGAGGCATTTTCACCATATTTTACTTCTTTTACATTTAACTTAGTTATCAAATCTTTGAAAAAAATCTCAATAGGATCCAACATTAAAATTACCTAATCAAAATTAACAAGATTTTCTAAAAAACATTAGTAGCTGATACAAATTGTGAAAATGACACGAAACAACACACAATTTGCATGCATTTTAAAACGCATGTTCTGAAATTACATAACCTAAGTTTATTTTAATTAACGCATACGGATTTATTTAACAATTACATTTGCGTAGCGCTTGAACTATATTAATCATATTAAAATTTATATTTATATTTTCATAATCGCGTGTGTTAGTTCTTTTATATTAATACACCGATGTTAGAAAGTAGTTGCACTAATACTTAATGTTTTCTCAATCCAGTAACCATCTACGAGCTAGATTAGAAAATCTACAGAGTCAAATTCAACAGTTTGAACATAAAATCAGTTTTGGTGTAGAACAAAATTTAAAAGAACTTGATCTAAAATTTAAAGTAAGTAAACGAACTGAATTAATTTCAGAACTTATCTGAATGCTGTGACAACTTATATAACGATATTTTCAATGAGCAACAAGAACTTAGCATAAGCTGTCAAAATTTTCGAGCTCAACAAGAAGCTGAACTCGTTACTATTAAAAAAAAAACAGAGAATTTTTATTTGGATATTGAATATAAAAACAAGCAAAAACTTGAACATGCTTTTGAATCAGTTCAAGTTTTTACTGGCGTATTGGAGTCACTAGAACAGAATTCCACTGTTGAACTATTACGAGAAGAAGTACAAAAATTGATAAAAGTTCTGCAAGCTATGAACGACTATCTTCAAGAAAGAGCAGAGAAACAGCAAGATGTTCATGAAAAATTAATACTATACATCAAAAAAATAAACGACGAAATTCACGCTAGAACTAATAAAATGTATGCGCGGACGCTTGATTTCGGACAAATGATAACTAATTTTTATCGCGAAATGACAAAAAAGAACGAATCGAAAATTAATTTTGATAAAATAACACTAATGCTGCAAAACGGCGAAGTCGTAAGTGACGATGTATTTGAACACTACATTGATAAATATTTAAATAACTTAAAAGTCGAAATTGAAGAAGAAATTGCAACGCGAATAGTTGCAGACGAAGATATCATGGCGATCTCACAACAATACATACAAACGTTACAAAGATCTCTGGAAGCAAACGAAGCATTGCTTATTTTTACAGCCACTAATTCGAATTAGATGAATTTGCCCACTTCGAAGCAGCTTGAATAAGTTGTTGTATATTTACTTCTGACACGTTTGACGTTTCATTCGGCATGACATAAGATATTGTTTCTTCGTATGTTCCGTTAGATTCATGAACTGTAGATAATTTGATGGGCTTTATTTTTTCTAATTCAGCCACTTTTTCTGCGTTGCCTTTCTTAGCTTCAAAATCGATTTGCTTAGAAATAGTGTTATAGGCGGCTTCAAAACACCTTCGCTCGACTAGCATATCAAAAAGATTGGAATAAGCCGTGCTTACTCCAAACTTTGTAAACAATAATGGGAAACGGGACACAAGTTCAATAAATTCGTCAAGCATAGTAATCTTTGTTGCTGCATCAGCCAACACAATAAGAGCATTCAAGTATTTGTGATCTTGCAGATTTAAGTTAAATAATTTTTCCCAAAGCCTGAACAAACTAGATAAACTACTGCGCGACAATGCAATTTCCAATATTTTGATTGCAGAGGTAATATTGTCGATGCGAATTTCTAAATCTATTAGCATTTCCCAAGAAGTAGTATTTTCTGGTTCAAGTTCAATATACTTAGCAACAATTTTTCGTGCGTTGTCAATATAGCCAAGCGATAATTCAAATTCCATATATGAATTAAACAACTTACGGTTTTTAAAAAATCCTATAGCATGGCCAAATGATAATCGAGCATTTGACAAATTCCCATTTCGAAAAACGAACTCAGACTGCTTTATCCACAATTTAGAAATACAAATATTAGCTATCTTACTTTTTTCGACCAAATTCGAAAAATAAAAAGTACAGAGAGTATAATTTTCTTCGACCATTTCTAAATAAGCCAAATAAAAATAAACTATGATAAAAAAAGTTCGACATACAAGATCCTTCTTGGTAATGGTAAAATTGTCAATCAGCTTTATAAAAATTTTGTTTATCTCATTTTTAATAGGCTCGTTCAATTGAGACTTATATGGTTTAATCAGTTTAGCAAATAAAACTCTAAAGAGAAAGTAGTGGTTATGCAGACTGTTAGGATTTTCTTGTAATTTTCTAGAATAGTAAGTTTCAGACTCTTGTAGCAATAGTTTGTCTGACGCATTTAAACCACCTATTCGATATTTCAACTGAATAAGTTCTTTGTTGATGTTATGTAAAGCTGATCCGGATAACAAACCCGTTGCTTTTTGCAAAACAAACTCAGCTTCCTTAATCGACCGGTGCTCTTCTAAAAACCTTGCGTATGCGATAAAAAAAACGTCAGTCAATTCTTGTGGATAAAAATTTTCAGAACAGTTTTCGAACCAGTACTGTGCAAGATCAAATTTTTTTTGAGCAATGCAATATCGCGCAAGTTCTAAATAACTTGAAACATCAGGTCGATCATGCGTCAGCTGCGACATCAATTTTCGCACAGCGAACTTGTTGTTTAGTTTTTCTTCAAAATCGATAAAACGAAGATAAACAGAAGTATCAGGTTTGTATGCAATCCAACGCGAAAATACGCGTCTAACTGAATACTCATCCCCATAGGTCCTTTCAAATTCCACATAACTATTCCAGAAAGAGTTATAGAGCGGTAAGTAACGATTCACCCGTTCAAAAAGATTTCTACAGCTATTTAAAAATTTAAATTCTCTCTCCATACGAATGTAGGCTTTCCAGATAGTAGTTGACATTGGAATTAGTTCCAAAGCTCTTTCAAATATACTTCGCGCCATATCGATATTACCATGCAGGCATTCGAATTTGGCATATTGAACATAGACTCGTTCAGACTTCTTATGTTTTCGGAGCTCCTCTTCGTATTTAAACCGAATCTTCGCTATTTCAATAGGATCTGAAACTATTTTTTTCGCGTCTATATGAATCTTTTTTTGTATTTGCTCGTCTTGTTTGCTAATAAGAGAAGCATCATATAGTATTTGTTTCTCAGTAAGTTGAAATTCTGCAATTTTTTTTTCTATTACACGAAATGTTTGGCCTTCTGAATCGAACTGATTCATATTTAATCAAATTTTTAATTCATTTTAACCCTATCAACATTGAAAGCACAAGTAAATCTTTACTAAAACAGCAACGGTGACAATAATATCTATTAAATTATACTTAATTTGAATATTTAAAAATATAAATATTTAATAAGATTTGTAAATATGAACTTTAGCGGATAGTACGTACTGGCACTTGTTTTTCTGCGTATTCTTTCAATTGTAATTCCTCTTTTTTCTTCTTTTTATAATTTTCTTGTTCGGTCGACAGTATTCGATCAATAGGGAGAGTTTCACTCAAAACAAAATGCCTGATACTTGACCCACGAATAACTATACTTTCAACTGTTACGGGGGCTTTGTTTTTGGCGATTATACGAACGTTTTTTAGATGAGTATTCATTCGAATATCGACTTTCGTTATAATTCCAATAATAGTAGTAGAGTTTTTTAATTCTATGACGACGTTAACATTTGTCAACCTTTGCAGCAAACGAACTAACTTCATTTAAATTATGTTTAATTCATAGTTTTTAAAATTGGCGAAAATATTTTTTAATACAATTTTACTTCTGCTGGAGTTGATAATTATTTTAAATGGTAAAAAACTAATAAAAAAAAGATGAAAGAGCGTTATAAAAAAAAGGCAAAAAACAGCGCTTGTACAACGGCATACAAATAGTATCTCCATGTGTTACTTGTCGATCAAAAACACATTTTATATTTCCGTGTAGGCCAACGGTCTCTTTGATAAGTCCTTTGCTTTTTCGTTTAGTAAACAGATAAACATTGGAATAGTACTCAGCATCATCTTTATTGTTAAACATTTTTTTTACAATACAGCGCTTTTTGTTAATTTTATGTGGATAGCCTGTTAGTAGAATACACCTGAGAATAATTTTTTGGGGGTCTGACAATAGATATTCGCCATGAATAACACTCATATTTTTGCACGGTCTGATTTTAATTTGTGTATTAAGATCGTTTTCACTTGCTTTTACGATTTCGTCAACTTCGGTTTTGTAATTAGATTTGAAAGACTGAAACCAACCGATGTATGACTCTCTAAACTGCTGAATGTAGCCAGCAGCGCTACCAATAGTTCTATTATCTTTGGTCGAATCAAGATACCTTAATTCTTTCAATTTTCCATTAGAAGTTAATACGTCATTTGTTTTTCGAGTATGAGACCAAAGAAACGTAGTTTCGTACCGTCTGAGTCCTATTTGAATGAGGATATTTGACTTTCGAGCTATCACGACATTAGCTCTGTCGTCGAATCTGAAAGTTGAAAAATGATTGATAGATCTCATACGTTCAAGTGGTGTCAACGTGGAAGCAACTAAAGGGGTTCTTTGTTGTAATTTATTCATGATCGTGCTGGAAGAGAATTTACAAACAGATTCTAAATGCAAATAGGTGACCGGCAATTTAAAGTTAGCTACTATACTTTTGTACTTATCTTGAACTTTATGTAAGCTGTTTTTATACAGAGAAAGTGAAACACTTCTTATTTTAGGCATTTCGTTAAATATTGACAGCAATTTGTATTTTTCTGGCACTTCATCTGGAATTTCCCATTTAGAATTATGAAACGACCTAAGTGGGTGGTATTTAAAAAAGCGTTCTCGAACAGTAGTATCAGCTGGCGTGTCCACTTCGTCATCAAACTCACGTTCCCAAGGCTCTCTTGGTTGTAGTTCTAATGTAGATTCTAGGTCTTTTGAACCTATGCTACCGTCTGATTCATAATCTGAGTCTTCTATCGAAATTTCAGACTCGGAATCTTCGTTTGAAGAATGATTATATGTTTCATTTTCAAGTTTGTAATCGTCAATATCGTCGTAATTTTCAGTCACCTGTATATTTTGATTATTTGACTTTAAATTTTCAATATAATCAAAGAATTCGTTTCTTGAAATGTCTAGGAATGAACTCTTTAATTTAGAATAATTCTCTAAAGATATTTCTTCTAATGTTTCAGACTTATCGTTTGAAAACAGATCTTTAACGTAAATAGCTTTGCAGATGTAATCACCAACTCCAGTAATATGAACCAGTGACTCAGTTGTAAATCCTAAACCCTTCATAAACCCAGCAACAGTGATTTCTGTGTCTGAAATTGGCTGAGCGTCAAGTATTTGCATGTAGCCACGGTTAGTTTTTTTCCACACGATTTTATCAGAACAACTTTTTATTAAAGAACCGAAAAATACCATCATAGGTAGTTTGATTTTGTATAATTTTGATTTTTCAATATCTGAATTTGATTGATGGAAGGTATACATCAATTTGGTAATGTCAAAAATGTTGGCATCAGCGCCAAAAGTAGTAGTTGCACTACGTGTCACGTTAGAAAAATTTTTTTCTATCAACTTCAATGCATCTTTCTTGTGATATTTTGCAAGCATGGCGAAAGTTAAAGTCGAAAAAACAGAAAAACCAGATAAACCTTGTTTCATAAGCAAAGAAATAAGTTCATTAGAGTACACATTGTATCCGGCATCGTTTACATCACACTCTCCATAACAAATTAATACGTTATCTGCTATTTTCACTTTATCCATTACGTTAACGATGGACGAGTGAATACTAGGGGCATTCAAATCGGTACATTTGTAATATTCGTCAGGGGTTTCATCGAGTATTATTTTGAGATATTTGTTATTGGCTACAGTAGATGGCAGAGGTACAACAAACAAACATTCATTTTTTACTGATTGGTACAAATCATTCAATGGTTTCAGCATAAAACCGTATTTTTTCTTTTCAGTATCTGAATATTCAGAAATAACAAAACCCAGAATGGTTTTAACGACTAATTCTATGTTTACAGTTTCATTTAGCTTTATCAAAACCAAATTTATGGAAGTAAAATCAGACAAATGGCATTGCTGATACTTTTTCAATATCTCTTCTTTGTTTTTTTGTACCAAATGTTTTTTATTTTTGCGTTCTTGTTTACTTAAACATGTGTCTGCCTTCACTTTTAAAAAAACTTTACTCTTTTCTTTTTGTTTTTTATTAGATACAGGCATAAGTAATATAACAGTGCATTTTTATGTAAAACAATGAGTTTGTTTTGTATTAAAAAATTATAGAAGTAAAATAATTATCACTTTTAAAGAAACAAATTCCGTATAATAGTAAAGACCTTTACGAACATAATGACTACTAGTTTTGTATTTTATTTTTGCATGCATCGTATTATAAATAAATTAAATGTCTAGCCAATTATCTAATGTAGACGAAATCCAAAATGGATTAAATCAGCTTGCAAATCGTGACCTAAACACTTTGCTGTATCCTAGTAAATCAAAAGTTTATGATAAATATAATGAATACTACAGAAGCAAATCTGTAAATTCAAATGAAACCAGAAGACAAAGAATTAGTCAAATATTGACACAAAAATCAGATATAGAATTTCTGGACCAAATCAACCCAGATATGGCTCATTTCGACTGGCATTTAATTCAAACGCATAACATTCAAACTATAAACAGTTTCGACGCTGATGAAAATGTAGCCAATACACTTGACAGCATTGATTTACGATATGAAGAGGCTGTGATAATACCAGCAATTGCTTCTGATGATGAAGAATTTTTTAATAACACAACTAAAGAGAAATTAAATGCATCTAATATAGAAAGTTTCCGAAAAAATAAAGACAAAGATATAAATAACGAGTTGAAAAGATACATTCCTAATCTTGATTACAACTTTATATCTGCGTCCATTAAAGACCGTACTGGACGAAAATATATTAATTTCCCCACTAAATATTGTAGTGACATTTTTAGCTTACAACCAGTTAAATATAAAAACCAAGTCACTCACGATTTTAATTTAAATCCTAGGCTGTCGTACAAGCAAGGTACGTTATCAAAAAAGATGTTCAATACTGAAAATCCTATTTTGGCTGATTTACCTACAAGGAGAGAGGGTTTATATCAAGGCATTATTAAAAAGAAACACTTTAATCGCAAAAGTGATTCCCAGTTGATAGCTAGTGGGGGCCACTTTGGAGGAATTAATATGCCAAAATACAAAAGAAATTATTCCAAACCCAATACCAATTTTTCGTTTCAAGTTCAAACTACTAATTCAAGTAATTATTGTTTAAACACTCAGGAAAAATCAAAAACAGCAGAGTCAATCAAGTCAAATGTATTATCTACTCAAGTCAAAACTGATAACAGTCCAAACTCATCATTCATACTTAACAAAATGTCTAAGATAGAAAAAAAAGATATGCAATCAAATCTTCCGAAATCATTAGACTTGAGATACTCGGAGCCATTAGGAACGGAATTCAATGAAAACGATGACGTATCTAAAATAACTGATTCAATTGGTTTTAAAACACCACTCACTAATCAAAAGACATTAAGTAATCATCAAAACTCTACTTCTGATTTAACACAAAAAATTTCTGATGACCTAGAACCGATTGATCAGCCTGAGGGTGATGTTAACCCATATGTAATTGGTCAGGAGTTTGACATATCGCAATATGATAAAGACGTTCCTCCACAGCATTCATTTGAAAACATAGAAGTTAAAGTTAATTTAAATGAACATGATAATTTGACGGATATATTAAACAATATGAAGAAACTTAATACACTGAGCGTTGAACTCGAAAAAAAAATAGAAAAATTAGATTCTCTTGAAGAAAAAGTTAAAGATGTATTATCAACTTAGATTATGAAATCAAATCTACTCGTTTCTTTTAAAAAAAATTTTTTCTCTATGAAATATTATTTGCAACAAAAAGTTTACTACTAGAATTGCTTTAATGTTTTTTTGATAACTTTATAAATTAAGAAAAAAATAAGTCTTCAAAATTTTGAAAACTAATGAAGTATGCACAGCTTTATATTGGAGTGGCAGGTAGTGGAAAATCATCTTGTTGCAAGTATGTTCAAGAACACTTAAATTTACTTCAGCGAAAATGTTACGTTGTTAATTGGGATGTGGCAAGTGAAAACTTACCTTATGAAGCATATGCAGACGTAAGGGATGTCATTGATATCAAAGCTTATCAAAGTGATAATTTCCTGGGACCGAATGGGGCTTTAATCGAAGCAATGGAATCCATTTCTACTGAATACGATTATCTTTCAGACGTTTTTGAAGACATTGAAGATTCTTCGTTTGTTTTACTTGACTGCCCAGGACAACTGGAACTTTATTCTAATTCAATGGCAATTTTTAACTTGATAAAACGACTTATCCAATTTGATTATTCAGTTATATGCATTTTTTGCATGGATATCGCATTTCTAAGTGATTTAAACAAGCTGCTTGGCAGTGCCATATATGCTCTTTCATCCATGGTATTACTTGACGCTCCTTTTGTATGTGCTTTGACCAAATGGGATTTGTTGGATGAGTCAAGCGAGTATAATCAAGAAGACTTCAGCGTAAATTTTCAAGATTTAATTTCAATAACTCCAGGAAAACTTTCATTAAAACAGAAAAAGTACATTACCGCAATTCAAGAAACTTTGAACGATTGGAACATGTTATCTTTTAATAAATTGTCAATTGTTGATGATAATTTAATGTCTGAATTTCAAATTAAATGTGACTTAATTCACAATTATGAGCCCGCTAACAATAATTATTTATATGAAACAAGAGACGATAACGATTCAAGCTAAATTCGATTTTTTAATAAAATAGCAGACCATGGAATTAATAATAGTTTTTTTATTACCAGAAAAATCATATTGTTATGTTATCCTATCTATATTGAATAAGTTCAAGCAATTAGATAAATCAGATTTCGAGCTTCTTTGTTAGCGTAAATCAAATGCATTACTATTTTTTTTTATGTTTGATCAATAATCCATTCAGATCACTCGCCAAAGATATTATACATGAGCTTGAAAACAATAGCAATTTCAACGATTCAAACCCTAATATTTTTTTAGTAAGTTTTCGATTTATTTATTCTGTATTTTAGCAAGCGAAAATTCCATATATTATACCAAGAGCTAAATTCTCTTCGAACTCTAATACTCTTTCTCCAGAATCTACTTATCCAAAAATAAATTTTAATAAAGCTTATGGTGAAGATAATTTTAATGAGACAAATAGCAGTAAATCATCTTCAAAAAATACTATAAATCGAGCAAACAAAGATGGCACAGCTCAGTTTGACTCAGCCAATATCGGACATCAAAACAATTATTCTCATATTCAAGACGAAATTACAAACAAACTTAAAGCAGACGATGAAAACGAAAAAGAGTTAATAAATAGAGAGAAAATTGCCTTAGAATCTAGTTTGTCAAGCAATAGTGATGAAGTTGCTGACTTTGAAAAATCTATTGACAACAAATTTAGAAACAATATTCAAAAAAACCTACATGCTTCCAACAACGATTCTTTCGTCAAAGACATAATCAAAAATGAACACAAATTAGTTGATAAGTTACACAACTTTCAGCACAAAATTGATGTAGAAAACAAAAATGAAGAGAAAGAAAACGAAGAAAAATTAAAAGAAGAAGAAATGATGAATAGTTTTTCTAGCATTCCTAGTACACAATCTAAACCACAAGAATTTCCTTCAATTAACTACCAAGATCATAGCGATCATGACACTCATTGCGACAATTGTACCAATAATACACCAAATCTTGCTACGGAGTCGAACTCTAAAATTAATCCGTACAAAGATCCCGGATGCCCAACAAAAGAAGTGTATGACAAACTAAACTTAGTAAAACTTGAAACTAAGCCAACGTTACATTTAAGATATGAAAAAAGCGCAAATGATAACGCTATGAATGAAAATAACCATTCCAAAAAATCTTTCCTTGAAGTTACCAACGAACAAGCTGAAGTTTTAGATAAATATACGAAAGATCTAAATGATAGATTGAAACAGAATCAAAAAGTTAAAGATAAATAAACAGATAACACATAATGTGATCAATTAAAATCACAACTATAGATCATAAAGCTCAATTACATCAATAAAAAAAACTTAGTTCTGACTAAGAACTGAGCGGATTGGGGCTGGATCACCACCTGGTTTGTTGAAAATTATTTCGCTGTTTTTGTAAATAACGACATTTGGAATTGAAGTAATATCTAAACTCTCAGCAATCTCTTTCATCCCTTCGTCATCAATGTTTATCGTGTAGAAATTCCATGAGGAAAATTCATTAGCGAGTTTTTCGAGCTCAGGAGCGAATCTTCGGCAAGGACCACACCAATCGGCGTAGAAATCGACTACGCTTCGCCCAGAAACGACCTTGTTTTTGTAAGTGTTAGAATCTTGAATTCGTTCAACCATTGGATAATTAATAAATTATTTATTATTATGTGTGTAATAATAATCTATTTAATTTATTACATTTTTTTATTTTCGTATTAATATTTTGTAATTACCAATCATTTTTATAATGTATTTATTTTACAAATGGAAGAAAGTTTCTTTAAATACAAATGATTTAATTAATTGTCTTGAAAATGATTCAAAAACTCTTCTAGTTATTTTATCTAAAAACAAAATAATTTTCATTCCTATATTAAACAATGTTGAACCAACAGATCCCCTGATTCCAAGAATTTATTTCGAACCTAAATTTATTTCAATCGAACAAACCGACCTTAAACTTCAATTAATCGATGAAACAAACCAAAATTTTGCTTTCATTGAACGCGAAAACAATAACAAACAAACGTATCTAAATGCTAGTCAATTTTCTTTAGATTCTTCCACTATGGAAACTAATAATTGCAAAGTGTGGCGGAACGTTTTACATTCTCGTGCTGATATTGAGTTTGCAAATATATCTGATTTATTTTTTAACGCAAATTCAAGGAATTTATATTTTTGTCTGTTCATTTCATTTTTTGATAAAACTAACGAGTTGTTACTTTTTAATTATCATGATTTACTATACAAAATCCAACCAACGTTCTTAACATTGAACATTAATACTTATTCCAAAAAACAGCCTGATTACCTTTTTATACAATCATTAAATAGTACTTTTGAAAACAAAAACACTTACTCCAACATTGATATTGACCAATTGATGCAAAATACTGTTTGTTGCCAAAATTTGAAGTATTTTTACCACAAGGTGTACGACATAAATCAATATGATCGGCCAGACTTCTATTTTATGTGTTACGTAATAGATAATGTATTCTTATTTTATTCGTTAAATAATCTAGTCGATATTGAAACAGGCAGCAGTAATAATATCATGAAAATAATTGGTGGATTTGAAATATCATCACTATCGTACTGTACTTTTTCCTCATTCAGAGATTTGCTATTTGATATTTGCTCCATCAATCAAATTTTAACTGTTATCATTTTAACACCTAACATGGATTTCTTGCTTGTCAGTTTTGACAACCAATCAAGTAAATGGAAACTCGAATTTTCAAAACAACTAAGTCTCAAAATTCTTCCCATCGACGTTAAAATACTCTATTTTAACCATATTAATAAATCATTCGGATTGTTTATACTGTACATTGGAGTTTTAATATTTCCATTGTGTGACAATTCTTTTGAAAATATTGAAAACTTAATTTGCTTGAATGACAGTTTTAATACTTTTGATCTTTCGACCTTAAATATAAAGTTGGTTGACGAAACATTTACTATTGAAGTTTTTTCTCAAAGTCAAAGATACTCTTCTAAATTTGATATAAACAAATTAGCTACCTTAACTTATCAAAAATGGCAAGCGGTAGATTGTAAACCCGCTATTATAAAAGAGTCAAAAATCTGCATCAGAGATCTTTCTAAAATCTCATCGAATCTGAATTTAAGCAAAAAAAAATTTATGACATCTAGTTGTCTCGTTCACACAATTAACTCAAATCTACTGGAGATCGATATTAAAGTTATTCCAAGTAGAAAACATATAATTCAAACATTGTTGGAAGATTTAAACTCGTATTATAACAATATAAATAATCCAAGTTTAAAAAATCACATTTGTTTTAAAAATTTAAATTCCATTAAAAGAAATATTGGATTATATTATTTTCACCCCATATATTGGAAGCATATTAATTTCGAAAGTGGTATTAATGTTTTTCAGTTATTCTCATCATTCTTTAAAATTGTTTTTGACAAAGAAAATATCCAAGAATTGATAAGTGCTTTCAAAAATTGCACTAACGCAATTAAAAAACAAAATAACAATCTTTTATTTAAATTTTATATTTCTTTACTAGGTTGTTGGATTAATCAGGAATTGATTAGTACTGCTGAAACGAATGAATTAGAGAATATTTATAAATTTGTTTACCATATTGTCAAACAATGTAAAAAAACTGACGTCGTGTTTGATTCTAATTTTTTATTAATTGAATTTGACAGTTATTTATCCTATTTGATAGATAACCACGTTTATCAATTTTATGAAAAACATTATTGTAAGTTTAAGTTGAAAAATCATTTTAGATTGCCCGCATTGCTGTTCCATAAATAAAAATGAAATAAGGTGTATTTATTGCGATAGTCCGATTATTAATTTAGTCAATCAAATCAACTGTAGCTGAAACATTTTTATTTGCGTTGATAACAAGTTTAAGAACTAAAACTAGTTTATTAATCAAAACAAGAACTTTTTTTTTGTTAGATATTTTGTAATATTTTTTTGCTAGCATTAAGGCTGAAGAATAATCTTGAAGATACAACTTTCTTTTAAGAGCGATATTCCAAAAAGAGTCTTCGTGAGGAAACCGTAAAATTGAATCATTTACAATATAGTCAAACAAATCATTGTCTCCAGCACGTACTGCGTAGTCTAAAACTATATATATGATTTCTTTTTTGCTTTTATTAGCTCTCAAAATACGTCTGACGATCCTGCTCAAATAGTCTTTCATGGTTCGACGACAGGCCTTTATTTTTTCATAGAGCTTTTGGTTTTTTTTCGCAGCATTGTCGCTTAATAGAACATTAATTTTTTGTTCAAGCAGACAACACAGATTTACTAGAAAACAATACCACGAAATAGAAAAAACAATACTGTCGAATTTCGAGTTTTTAATCAAAAAATTTTGCTCCAGCTGACGGTTTTGATTGGAAAGCGCAGTAATAGCTTCTTTTGGTATTAAGTTCAACGAAGACGCCAAGAATAAAATCTTATTGTACTTAGAAGCATCGGTTTCACGATACCCTTGTACAACTTCGTATGGAGAAGCCATACGTTTTTCGTTTCAGAACTTAATTAATGTGGAAAAAATTTACTTGTCTTTATCAAAAATTAAGTAATTAATATGAATAAAGATTTTAGGGCGTCGGAAAAAAATATTTCGATTAAATATATTTAGTAAATTTAGCATTGTTTTTTTTATTTGCACCCTACGAATTCTTCGCTGATTAAATGACAAGTCAAATGAAATATGTCAACACATTCCGATAATCGATGGGACGGAATAAACACTTCAAATGATTCTACATACCAAGAATGTTATGAAGTTGCGTCAACTGATCCAATGAATGTGAGTTTCGTTAAGTCTTATTATTTATGATTAGCAAATGACTAATTCAAACAATGAGAGTTTGCAAATAAAAGAGTCTCCTTTAATGATGAATAAGTCAGAAGTCAGCCCGAGCATTGCAGAAATTCAGCCATACGAAACGGCAACTAATCAAAATATTGTCAAATTATTTTTTCCAAGAAGTTCTATAACGACTGAGTTGCATGTGATGAAAGCTAAGTCCATGAAAAACAACAATAACGAGCTGTTTCAAAACGAAAACGAGATCCCTTGGTGGCAAGGATGTGATTGGTTGTGGTCTTCACACGTTGTTAACGGAAATGTTGTTTGGCCAGACAGTGCTAACAATACTCCCGTTGAACTTGTTCCAGTCTATGAAATAGATCGAGAACACTACAATAAAAACGTTTTGAAAAACATTATGTAAATAAATATATTATAAAAAGGTTTTGATTTAATCTTGCGACTTTGAGAAGTTTTAATACTGAACATTTAATGAATAAATAAATAACTTAATTAGTTAATTAAACTTTAGTTATTTATTGTATTTTTTTAAAAATGTATACCAGAAGCTTTAATTCTTGTAAATATAAAAATGATTTAAAACACGAATTTGACACAATTGGGAAGTTTTCTGAACTTGATCAATCTCAGTTTTTCTCTCAGTCATATAATGTTTTTAGGAAGTTAACAAACCAAGAGATAGAAATACCGAAAAAATTTAGAACTAGTAATATTGTTTATTTGCGACAAAAATATAAAGCGGACTCGATTTCCAGATCGATGTCCAGTTTGTTTTACCGTAAAACAAACATCAATTCGAATAAATTGAATTTTACTAATTATATGTTTACTGATCAATTCGACGAATTATATAGTGCAACTTCTAAATCAAATTCTGTGACTAACAAGTCAGCTTGTACAATGGAACAAACGGATGGTACGTTTAACAGTAATTTTCTCGGTGGAACTGCACTTGAAAATCATAATACAAATAATTTTTGCACTTTGAATTCTTTTTCGAGTGATACCAAAACTGCTGAGACTGTTGACTTTCAACAGTTATCTTTTAAAGAACTTAAAGCTCAAATTGAATCTTTTACGATTGATGTTCATTTTTCTAATAGTTGTGATTTTAAAAAAATAAATAACAAATATTTATTGATTGATCAAATATCCGTCTCGAATTCTGCAGTTATCTACATCGCAAAAAATATATCAAAAAATACGCGTAACTCGTTATATTGTTTAAAAATCTTTGTTTCTGAAAAAAGTAGCCAAATGCTTGAAGAATTGATGCTAAGTTTAAAAGTATCAAAACTTAAGCATGTGGCAGAAGTATACGATTATTTTTATTACAATACCCAACTTTGTATTGTTATGCCTTATTTAGGAATTAATCTTTATGAATTCATCAATATTTTTAACGGTGAAGTGTCGCACGAATTACTTGTTGAGATTTTCAGACAAGTTGTAAAAGCGATTTTAGAACTTCACAAGAACAACATTGTTCATTGCGATATCAAACCTGAAAATATTTTAATAGATGTTATGGCAGACAAAGTTGAAGTCAATCTAATTGATTTTGGCGTCTCATATGAAATTAACCAACTAAAACAATTTATAAATAGTCAAAACCATCCAGATAAATTTTATATACAAACCAGGCCATATAGAGCTCCTGAACTACTCTTGATGACTTCCATCAATGAAACGATAGATTGGTGGTCATTAGGATGTGTTATACTTGAAATTTACGCTGGGTATTGTGTGACGAACGCTGATTCGATTCATGAACTAATTGCAATTATAGAAGCAATAACTGTTGGAATTCCAATTGAAATGTTTCAAAAAACCAAAAATAATCACATTAACTTTAATTATAATGGATCATTCGATAATTATGAAGCTAATGAAAGGATAACCCCTATAAAAACAAATCCTTGGTTTTTTCATATAAAAAATCTTCTATCGTACCAAATAAATTTAAATTCAAAGTATATTCAATCAATTATTGAACTTTTGGAAATTCTACTCCAACCTGATCCGAAACATCGCACTTCTAACGACGAAATCTTAGAAATCGATTATTTCAAACTAGCTAATTAGTTACATAGACTAAACTATTAATTAAAAATCCTTAAAGATATTTTAAGAGCGCTACTTTTTTAAAATATTTAATAGGTAAAAGGCCATTAATTCCCTCACTTAAAAGAACACCATTAGAACTAGTATAAAATACTATTCCATCTTCTACACAGGCTTTAGCGTCGACAAAAATAGCAATGTTACTGTTTTTCCGAACTCCACTTATTACGTTAATGGATCCTGGTAATCCTTTAGCAAAATGAATATTTAGACGATGCATTCTTCGCAGTCCGCCGTAAGCAAGTATATGTATTAGATTGATATGCGTTGTTCCGTGAATACAAGGATCTAAACAGATTGGATCTATTAATTTTTTATAAATCAATGATCGTTCAATTAAGTCCGAAGGGAAACTGTGACCCTGAGCGGCTCTAATGAAAATTTTTTTACAGTACTCATTATTTTTATAATATTCACATCGTTTTTCGTATGAACTGTTAATGGATTCTATGGAGTCTAAAATGCTTGAGGCTATATCCAAGTAAAAAAGATCATCTGAGCATACAAAGTTGTTTTTGTCAATTGGCTTAAATATTTGCACGTCCCAAACAGAAGCAGGAAGCTTGATTCGTTCAAAAGCAATGTTATATGATTTACACAAAGATGACAAAAATTTTCTTAAGGAGACTTTTCGGGGTCCACCGTGTACATTGGGCTTGTCATTAGAAACTATGTTTTTATTGTTTACGTCTGAATGTGTTAGTTGATTATTAATATCTGTTTGTTTGGAATCGTTACTAGTTTTTTTTGAGCACATAGAAATAGCGTCATCTAATTCGTCTATCAAATCATTGTTAATTTCATCGTTGTTTTGTATTGATGGATCAGTTCTAAAAATAGAATCTTCAGTAGACAATTCGTAAGGATCAAAATCTTTTTTACTATCCTGTTGTTCAAATTCACCCTCATCATGAAATGAGCTTTCGTCGCTATCATGCCCCGATTCAGAATTGCTTGACAAATATTCCGTCAGTTCAGGTATGTTAATGCTAGAAGAGGAATTGTTTAGTAAAGGATTTATAGACACATCTTCAAATTTTTTTTTAGACAGACTGTAAGACTTTTCTATTAAAATTACACTTTTTTCTTTTAAACCGTAATTTGTAGAATTAAATGCGAATGCATTACATGAGGCATTTAGTAACCGTTTGTCAGTAGTAGCAAGAATGTATCTCTGTTTATAATTAGTTCGTATTACATATAAAATATCTTGCCAACTATAATCAGCAAGTTCTTTAAGGACTAAGAAAATGTCGAGTCTGACAAATGCGTCTTTTCTTAATTGTAATACTTTAGGATCTCCATGCCGAAGTAAATATGAAAGCGATTTGCAACATAAATAATGTTTATGGCTCCATGACATATTTTTATTTTCTAAATTTTACATTTACATGTTGAATTAAAATTTATAATAGCATATTAAACAAATCTCAGAATTTGTATTAACAAAACTCGTTGCTTCATTTTTTAACATTCGACCCAGTGTGCCGTTGTTTTTTCTAAATTTTTTTATTTGATTCCCAATTTTCACTTATCGATAACTATTTCAAAATAATAGATAACATATGATCAAACATTTGATTATCTTTTCCAATTTAATTGTTTCTTGTATAGTAACAAATCATCTTGAGTATGCTCAACGTAAATCAGATTTTACGAAAAGTAGATTTAAGTCTTTTTATCAGAGCGAAACATTTAAAGAGATGGAATTGCAAAAACTAGGAATTAAAAATATGATTTCTAATTTCATTTTAACAAACGAGCTTAGACCAAACCAGCTTTTAAAAAACATTCAATCAGATTTGTGGGGAAATGATGAATCAAATATTAAATTTAAATTGATAAAGGAGAGTATTCGAAACGTTATCAAGGAAAACGAAAATATTACTATGGACGATAAGATTAAGTTTATTGATTGTTTCCAATTTAATTCCTTATTGTCTTGTGTGAATTTATTGGATAAAAAAGTACACAATATTGTTGAAGATATAGTGAAAATGCTGGAAGCTGACTTATTAGATACATATCTAAAAGCAAATTCACTTCCAAACACAAGACAAGGTAAAAAGAATTATCCAATTGAAAACGTTGTATACAACGTGGATTGGAATAATTTGGGAGGTGAGGATAATTATTTTGTGAATGTCAAAAATGATATGAGTATAAATTCAAATTCTAGCATGAGAGTTCCACAGAAAAATATAAATGGTAATTTTTTCTCTCATCAAGAACATAAACAGATTCGTCGACCTACGAATTTGGAATCAGAATATACAACCGGAAGCAATAAGGATAAAGATGTTGAAAATAAACAACTCGTCCAGTACAATTATGAATGTTATGATGAATATGATAAACTTATTGCTGATATTGAATTTACAACTAATTCTGTTCAAGTGGAGCAAGATGAACTAATGAATAAAGTCGTTCAACTTTGCAGAAATATTAACACTAGAGATAAATTAAATGACTCTAAAAAAAAAATCTCGATTAAGCTTGAATCTAATAACTCAGATGAAATCAAAACAAGCATCACTAATCAAACGTTTTATCCGAATGAAAATTTTGAAAAAATATTTGATAATTTTGAAGAGATGTTCGATTCATTCGATGACGATTCGATGTACACAGATGACTTAGAGTTTCCAGTGAAAAACCAATTTTTTAAAGGTCAGGAAAATGAAAGCAAATTGAAAAACTTCAATACTTTCGATAATTATATAAACAATTTCGAACACACACGAATAATTACAGCTGGAACTCCAAAAGTAATTAAAGTATCGACTTACGATGAAATTCCAGTTCAATCATCAATTAGAAATTTTAGTACAAAGTTTAGAAATGCCTCTGTTGAAAAAGAATATGATTATTTTCAAAAAGCAAATGAGACAAGTTCAAATAGCAACATACCGTCAGTTTCTTTACTAAATCAAGATTTTACTAATAAAAAAAAATCGTCGCAGAATTTAACCGAAAACAATAACCCAATATTAATTAACAAACTTGTTAATCACGATCAATTTTTTACTACTAGCGAAGATACACAGCTAAAAGATTTAAAATCGTCTAATATGACGGACAATAATCACTTGGTAAATAGTTTAATTATGCAACCATCTAGTCAAAAAGAATTTTCTCATGACAATGAATCTGTTTATATAGATCGTCGCACTGAAATAGATATAAATACGATATCAAGGATACCAAATGCTCAAGAAGAAAATATAGAACGAGATCAGTTTAAAAGAGATGAAAAATTAAAAGAAATAATAATAGATCGACAAGAAGAAGAGAAACTTATTAATAATTCTCAAGCTGATATAAATTCAGACGGAAATGTAATTATTCAAAATACAGTTGAAAAACATTGTCCTTTGTTAGATAGTGCAAAGCACATTGTTGAAGAATTGCCAAAAAAAATACTTTCTCTGAACATTTTAGACGGCCACGATGAAAAAAATACCGTTATCATTTCGCAACAACCACTTTCAGTAGTGAATAACCAAGTGCCAATGATGATTGAAAATTCACTTAACAAGGAGAACAATCAACTTTTACGTGGGTCTGCGGAAAAAACAAGCAAAATTAATGTAATTGACAAACCCAAACCTAATGAAATTTTTGTGCAGCCAATGAGCAATATTTCTGAAGAAAAGGAAATAAACGAAAAATCTGACGTAAAATCAAATGTTTATTTTTTCGACGATACTTTTTCTTCCAGCATAGTATATTCCGTTCTTGATAAACATAACGTTGATTTGGATAAAACTGACATGAAAAACTTGGCCAATAACACTAACTTATTCTATTACTTCATCGACATGGATAAAAACAACTACTGTGTCCTAAATTCTGAAATGAAAAATGACTCCCTCGATAACGTTTACAATAAAATTCATATCAATAAAAATCAGCAAAACTTTATTGTAATTAAAACAGAACAAAGTTTTCCTTCGAAAAGAGAGGCAAAGCCTACATCTCAAGACCAAATCCTTTGCACTAAAAAGCGTTTTGAAGAATTTCCGATTATTTTAAAAAAATTAAATGATGTAAAACCGGCGATTATCGTCGCTTTGCCAGAAACTAAAACGGCTGAAATAAAATCTTGGATTGACTACGTTAATAATTTCAACGTAAAAGTTATTACTTATAAAAACAACGAAAACCTTTACAAGAAGCTTGAAAATTATATAAAAATGCAAGCAAATGCAGTTCAATCTGAACTCTATTCAACATCGGAATCAAGTAGCACGAACGCGGCCCAAAATTCACGAACTATGGTAGTTCCGTTACAAAATCCATTAAATTTTGTGTTTAGTTCGACAGACCAGTTGTTAAACTTCCTTGGCGGGATAAACAAAAAAGTACAAAAAATATTGAATCCAAAGATATAAAAGTTATACATCAGATACTAGAGACTCATCAAGAAAAGGGTTCTCAGTTGCAAATTACCCAAATTAGTATCATCATTTGATTGGTTAAAATCTTTATTGTACTTCTCAAAAAAAAATTAACGACACAACGTTAGAAATATAGTATTATTTGATTTTGAATTAAATAAAATTTTGTTTTATTTATCAGGTTTTCCGATATCCGTATCTATATTGAAATTTACTAATTATTGTATATTTTTCTGAATTTTCTCAATTTTTAACACAATATGGATAATAATTTGGAAACCGTATTGTTATCCGGTGTTTCTTCTGTTTTATCAGAAGATGACAAAAATTGTGTTCATCAAGTCGTAAGACCTATCGGTTTTAAATCTAAACCTGCTAGAAAGGATCCTGTTAACATAAAGTTTAGTTACAAGCTGGATCCTTTTCAGCAAGAAACCTGCAATGTCATTGACATTGAAGAAAATGTGTTGGTAGCGGCACACACTTCTGCTGGAAAGACCACAGTAGCTGATTACGCGATTCAGGCGTGTTTAGACGATAAATCTAAAGTAATATATACAAGTCCCATCAAAGCTCTCTCTAATCAAAAGTACAGGGATATTATGGATGTTCACTCTTCTAATGTTGGTCTCATGACTGGAGATGCTTGTTATAACCAGGAAGCTGCTATTTTAATTATGACGACAGAAATTTTGCATTCTATTTTGTTCAAAGGAAGCCAGCTGTTGCGAGAAGTTAAATGGGTGATATTCGACGAAGTTCACTACATGCGTGACAAAGAACGCGGGGTCGTGTGGGAAGAAACTATAGTTTTGTTACCAGAATCGGTCAAACTAATTTTTCTGTCTGCTACTATACCGAACTCTATTGAGTTTGCTAACTGGATTGCAAAAATAAAAAATAGTCCGTGCCATGTAATTAGTACAAATTTTCGACCTACTCCACTGCGCCATTATTTGTTTCCTAGTGGAGGAAATCATTTAATTCTGGTTCAAAACGAATTAAGAAAGTTTCAATACAATAATGTCAAACACGCACTAGAATCGATCAATGAAACTGACAATACTGCAGAACCAAAAAAGAAGAGACGTTTTAAAGAAGATTCGAACCAACTTACAAACCAAGAACTAGATATAAAAAAATTGTTGAATTTGTGTATCTCTTCCAAGTATCTCCCCATTATAGTTTTCGCGTTTTCAAAGAAAGAGGTCGAAAACAACGCTCAAATTTTTTGTAACTTAGATTTGACTACAGAACAAGAAAAAATTGCTATCGAGGAAGTGTACAACAGTGCGCTTGAAATAGTGTCATCTGAAGATAGAAAACTACCTCAGTTCAGCACACATCTCGCATATTTACGCACAGGAATTGGAGTCCATCATGGTGGACTGTTACCAATCATCAAGGAAATCACGGAAATCTTGTTTCAAGAAAACCTGCTTAAAATTCTGTTTAGCACAGAAACTTTTAGTATGGGAATTAACATGCCTGCTAGGTCTGTTATTTTCACAGGTCTGCAAAAATTCGATGGCGAACGTCAGCGCATGATAACGCCTGGAGAATATACTCAGATGAGTGGAAGAGCTGGAAGAAGGGGAATAGATACGCGTGGATACAGTATCGTTCTTTTAACCTCTAAGTATAAGGAGGAACAGCTTGAAAGGCTGTTTACCGGATCAGCTCTTATGCTTTCTAGTCAATTCTATTTGAAGTACTCTACAATTCTTAATTTACTTCGTATCCAAGGACTTTCGCCTATGTTCATTATAAAAAAGTCTTTTTTTAAATTTCAACTTGGTTCAAAAAGATTACAACTGGAAGAAGATCTGAAAGACTTGAATAAAAAAATAGCAAACTTGAATGTTCCCGCCATGTACAACACAGTTTTCTACAATGCTTCAAACGTCAACGAAGACCCTGACAAAATTAAACTGGACGAAAGAATCCTTCTCATGCTCGACACGACAAATTATGATTTAGCCAAATACAGCATAGAAACGTATCTCGAAATGGGATTAAGTGATTATTATGCTATGGTTAATGCGTACATTTCAGCCCACACAAACTATTCTTTTATTATTTCTTCTGCTCCTGAAACGTTTTTGAAGTTTTTGTCTGCCGGAAGGGTTATTTCTGTGTTCTTTTCTAACATGAAATTCTTCGACGGCCAAAACGCCGGTTTCGGTATCATCCTCGGGCTTAAAAAATTATTTTCCAACAGCAAAGATGCGAACGAAAATTTTATAGAAGTTTTGCTTCTGACATCTGATTCTTCTAATTCTGTGAACCCTATTGTTAATTTCATTACTAATACCAAGTTTTCTTGCTCACTGGATCATTTATCATATAGTATTATCAACATTGGATTATCAGATATAATCCTAATTACTAAATATGTTCTCAAATTTAAAATAACCGACCGTTCTGAGAACAACTTAAAAAAATCAATAGCAAACCTTATTACTTTGCTTAATCATAATGACGGAGAACTCGAAACGCTTGACTTCGCGAAATCTTCTACCGCTAAAAGTGAATTCAATAAAACTCTGTACAATAAACTTGCTACAAGCAAGTCAAATATAACTGAAATTAAAATGAAAATAGACAAGTTTAATCTTCGTAGTTTTAGGTTATTCAGCGAAGTGTTAAAATTGTATTTCAAAAAAATAGACTTGATCAAGGAAAAATCATCTATCACGCAGGAGTTAACAAAATTTGACGAAGACGAACTTGATATTCAACTCCATAACATGATTAATGTCTTGAGAAAACTCACTTTTATTGATGAAACCAATGTTCCCACACAAAAAGGCGTAGTTTGTTGCGACATCAAGTCTGTTGATTGCTTGTATTTAGGAGAAATAATCTTCAACTATAAATGCTTGGACAAGCTATCACCCCCCTATATTGGAGCTTTACTTTCTATTCTTATTGACGATGAACGTATCAAAGATGCGAATCCCACCGCAGACAAAAAACTCATGAACATTTATAAATCTGTTTGTGAAATACTGACAAATGTAAATAAGGTTATACTAAATTTTAACGTCAAAAGTTCTTCTAAAAGCAATCTAAACAATTTTTCATCGGCTCTTATGATGCCTACGTTTGACTGGCTAAGCGGTAAATCTTTTTCATACATCTGTTCGACTTATAAACTTTACGAAGGAACAATAGTACGGTCGTTTAAACGTATCGAAGAGGTTTTACAAGAAGCTTGTTCTGTTGCACACTTATTGGGTAGTACTTCTTTGGAGGAATTGTTGATAGAAACTTTGAAGTTACACAGACATGGAATAATATTTACAAGCAGTTTATATTTAGTAGAATAAACAAAGCTTAATTCATTTACCTCAGCAAGTAAAGTAACATACAACAGAGCTTTCATAGTTTAAGTAGTTGATGCTGTATATTTATATATTATTTATTATGGTTAGAAAGTCAAGTTGTGCGTTTGAATAAAAGTAATAAAAGTTATCTGAGTATTCCCATTACTTAACTATCTGCGATGGTTTAGTTTATTATATCTGATTATATTTTCGAGGAATTAAATAAGAATTTAACGAACCGTCAAAAGAGGTGTAGCTATAACGAATCCTGTTATATTGCTCCTCTGCAAATTGTTCGATGACATTCATTGCAACGTCTATCTTAACACGTGAACTAGCTTTAGGAATAACTAAACTGTTAAATAGCCATTCTGCGGCAATCTCCGCTAATGACGCTTTTTTGTTATTTATATCGAATAAAATTTGTTTAGATGATAATACCCAATTTTCAGGAGATTGTAACCAATAAGGATAGCTATCTAAATCTCCACCATTGTAATAATAATCTTCGTTCATTGTGTGCTTTCCTAGAATTTGAGATCTCAAAGAAAAATTATAGGGCTTTATAGTGTTTAATTCACACCCTAGGTATTCTAGTGGGTAAATATTTTTTCTAGTTTTTGAAGCGTCAACGATTCGTTTACCAAGTAAAACTTCGGTAAGAGATATTCCTGCGCCCCAGATATCGGAACTTAAACCAATATTAACTCGTTTTGATGAGTGCATATCTTTTCTTTTTTTCCCGAAAAATTCAATAAGCTTTTGTTCCGGCGACTCGTACCAAGCTGTTCCTCCTGTAAAATCTGTTGTAAAACCAAAGCTCGCCGTTCCTAAATCAATCAATTTAACATCTATTACAGTGTTGTCGTTATCGTCATGATGAAAATCACAGACAATATTATCAGGCTTTAAATCATTATGTCTAATATTTATAGAATGAAACTGCATCAATCTTTTTAAAGTGATTGCAGCCCATCTTAATTTGTAATAGTTATAGTATGGTGGATAATATTCACAATCAGTATATTTTAATGATGAGGAAGATGATTTTAAACATGATAATGGTTTGATATCACTGAAAATATTGATGCCAGATTTTGGTTTAGCTTTCTTGACAATTTTTTTGTTATTGCTTTTGATCAGGTGGTTGTGGTTGACTTGCTGATGACAATGCCCAGAAAGATTATGATTGTTGTAGTTATGATTGTGCTCACATCTAATAAGATCGAAAAAATCAGGCCCACTCAATTTTCGTGTCATCAAAATACTGTTTCCAGGTTTATGATTATCAATATGGTATGCGATTAGTTCGCTTGAAGGCCATGCATCCATAATTGTTTTTGGTTTCAACCATTCATTCATCCGTGTGAAACTATAAACACTAGACTGTTGTTGCCACAATTTTAATTCTTCTTGGAACAGATATGCTAGCTTCATTTGCGTAAACATGTGACACTCTACTTCACGTTTTACACTCCTTCCATCCCTGTTGTTTTGATCAGCAACAAATTTGATTGCAACGGGAATTGCAACTTCATTATCTTCAGCTTTCCACAAATATCTATGTACTCTTCTGTTGCTACTGTTCTGAGAAATTATTAAAGAACTTTTCTCAGGGTAACAGTACAAATTATTTTTTCCTTGCGTATCATTAGTCAATGGAGAAGCCTGGAAAGTGTAAGAGACGTTTTGTAGATTTGTTTTATTGAAACATGCAGAGGTTGTTATATCTTGTTTCGTTAAGAATTTACTGACACACTCAAAAATTTCAGATATATTTCTGTCACTAGAATTATATCTGTTTGATTGAGCTTCCTTTTCAAATCTTTCACGTGTAAGCTTTAAATTATTGTTATCTGTACTTATATTAATGTCATTGTTTGATTTGTTAGAACTTTTAAATCCAAATGCATTGTGCCCAAGAAACCCCCATTGATAGCTTTTGTGGTTAGTTTGATTAGTTTCTAAAATATATTAGTTCACGATAGTGGCATTATGTCAAACAAAACATGTCATTAACCGATTTAGTCTACTTACTTTTTGCTGTACTTGTGTATTTGGATAATGTAGAAAACCAGCGATTCATACGTGATACTTATATTTATTTAATGCTAAGTGATTAAAAACAAAAAACTTAACACTAAATGCGCAGCAAACTTAGTATGAAATTGTTTGTTTATTTCCGTGCGCCGTGTAGAAGTTGTCATAGAAAACTAAGTTTTCCCAAAAAACTAAATCTATTTATTACATATACACGATTAAGAAAGAAATTGCACAAGCAATTTATAATAAAATAAGAAAAACATAGTAAACCTTAGATTTGTTAAGTTGATAAGGCCACAATCTAGTTTTCCAAGCGCTATTAATTGCATAAGAAAATTTATGAATGAAGTTTATATTTATTTTTGATTTGAATAAATTTTTTGAATATAGTGATAAAAAATACAAAAGTAGTTTTTCAAGTTTATCATATTCGCTTTATCGCGTATTCAGAATAATGCTATAATCAAAATGAACGCTGTATATTATGTTAGTATATCATTTGATTACAGATGAACTTCTATATGCCGGCTTTGATGAAATAAGAATTGATTATTTTATTGAGTTGCTTGTAAAACGATTTCGACTGACCAAAAATGAAAATTATTTATTAATAGACTCTGAAACATATTTTAAAAATCTTATATACGTTTTAATTTCCATTTTGAGCAACGAAAACATAATTACTACTGTTAACTTACAAATAATTTCTATTTATGAAAAACCTATACTAATTAAGCGTGCTCAAGAGCAAAGATATACATGCGTAACAGATTTTCCGCAATTATTAAAGGAAATTTTTGCCAGTTGTAACGTTACAACTAAATGTTCTGATCAATATATTCTTTGTGCATTTAATTTAAACGAAAGTTTTTTTTCTTCAAATACTGATGAGAAAAAAAAAATTATCACAGCTATTATTAAAAGTCGACGTGATGGTGTAACTCAATCTAATTTGCTCAGGTTAGTTGAGGGCAACGTTAATTCACTTTATCAGATTATTGATTCATTGCTTAAACAATCTATCATTATTAAAAGAACCTTAACAATAGAAAGCTCAAATATTCTTCTCGAGTCATCTTTCGACAACAAATTAAGGTACAATTCTGTATTATGGATAAGATCAAATTTTTCAATAGTTAACTTATTAAGAACGAACGTTTATTTCATGAGCAAAAGTAACAGCGAATTCATTGCAAAGGTAACGCAAATCATGACAAAATATTTAATGTCAAGTGCTACTAAACTTGTTCTTGAACGAGATTTCAAAAAAACTTTTATCGAAGAATATTCATATCTATTGTCTCAAAAGTCTAATATTTTTAGTTCGAAAGTGATGAACTCTATCTATAAGTTCTTTATTTCACTACTGTGTGAAAAACAACAAATATATTTAGTTACGTGCCATTGTTCTGATACAAATAAAGAAGAGCTTTGTATTTCATTACAAAAAGATTTTGATAATGAATTAAACAAGGTAAACAATGATTTAGACTTCACAGCAGAATTATTTAGTGATTCGGATAACGATTTTGAAACATCACAAACAGGTAATATAGAACATGATGAAACAGAAAATGAATCTTCAAACGCAGAATTTATGCCTTTCAATGTCAGCAGCATTTGTAAAGCTAATTTTTTATTGTCAATCAGCCGTAATGCAGGAATTTCGCTAAAAGACTTATCCTACTTTATAAATTATCCTTTAAAAAGAATTTATACGTTAATGAACTTAATGGAAGATAAACATATATGGCGTAAAGTTTCTCATCGTGATGGTAAAATTTTCTATTATCAAATTTATTATGTATTCGATGAGAAAGCATATAAACTTGAAACTAACTGCTCTATGGGTGACAAAGATAAAATTTTGTCTACTATGTCTTCAAAATTAAATCATTCGTTAAGGGAACTGAATTCAGTTCAATCTCATCGCATCTGTTGTGTCATTGAATATTTTAACAAAAATCCAATTGCTACAATTCCAATGATATCTGATTACTTACAAACGCGTGAACATCGAACAGGAAGTATAGATAGAAAAACTATAATTAGGTTACTCAACAACTTACTTAGTTTAGCGAACTTTCAATATATTAAACAAAGTGATACTTCTATTGTAGCTACTACAAAATACATGTTTTATTATAATTCGAAACTAGTTGATTCTGAACTAGAAGCCGCACGATGGGTCATTGAAAGTGTCAGATCAAAAAGATCTGAAAATTGTAAACTCATGGCGACAAGAAATAACAAAATATTGTCTGATTTACTTAATATCAATAGTAATGTGCCTATTAAAAGTTTATCAATTGAAACAATTTCTACAAGTCAGCCATTGACATTTGAATCAATTTCTCTTAACAAAGATAGAAAGCCATCTATTTCAAAGAAATACAGTCAACGAAATCTACTGTATTATGGATTCATTTATTATCCTATGCTGAGGCTGAAATATTTTCACGAGTTTTTGTGTACTCTGCTTAAAGAAAAGTCTAAATTTACTTCAAAAGAAATTGTAGAAAAAATCCCCTTCTACTTATATCTAGGTATAGTTGGCATCGGATTTGACTTGCCTGTTATTGATGAATACTTATTGAATCCAATATCAGATGATGTAAGTATAGGTTCAATCGATAAACACCAACTTGATAAATTGTTTTGCGGACAATTTAAACTGGATTTTATGAATTTTGCCATACGGGCTATTATCAAACTATTGAAACAATTAAAAATTTTGAAGGTGTTGAATGTCTCAGTTATTAAAAACTATAGTTCAGAAAAATCGAATACCGGATTGTACAATATGATAAATATAAATCCATTCGTTTGGGAGATTGAACGAACAGTGAATTATAACTTTCCATCTATTTCAGTCGAACAAGAATTCATATTTCCAAAAGACTTTGATTTCTTTTGGAACTGTTTTAAAACAGAATCTTCTTTAAATGATAATTTTACGTCGTTTTTGATTGATGAAGAAAGTCCTGACCAATTTGCAAATTTTGTTATATTACAAACTATCACCAATAGAAACTGGAAAAATCAAGTTTTGCTGAAACCTTCTGAGCGTTACTTTATTATTGAATATGTGAAAGAAGCTATGAATGAGAGTAATACTGATGATGTATTAGCTGTTTTTAGCGAAGAAAGTCATACTATAAATAGGGATTCGTCACATTTTCGAATCATGGCAGACAAATTAAATTTGGGAGTTAATGATGTAGTCGCCTTTGTTCGAAAATATTTCTTGTTTCTTTATCCTAGAAAGAAAGTATTCGAAAAAAACCTGGCCGATTATAAGTTCTGTTGTCATTTATGTAACCAATATTATAATCAACTTCCATCTATTATTTCGCATTATAAAACACAGCATAATCAAGAGATACCAGATGATTCTTCGGTTTATTGTATTGAAAAAGAAAACCTAACTACTGTTGAAAAAGTGGAATGTGAAGTTGATTTTTATTTGGTTCTTTCGTTACTGAAAGATAAAAACTTTTCAGATAGTTATAATGAAAATGCTAACAGTGAATTTCGAAGTTACGTGTCACCAGTTTATGATGGAAACAATTTTTTCAATAAGATTAAAACCATACTTGAAATTATTAACGAAATATCGAAAAATGATTTGGATGTTTTATTGTTGTTAGCTTTGGGTCAAAAAGACAAAGACACTGATCATTTTTTGCAAAATTATAATATCGCTACTCAACAAGCTATACTTGACTATTTTGTTATGAATAGAAATTCAAAGACTGAATGTTATAATTTTATTCAAAACGTTACTAAGGAGTCAATTATAAAGCTGCTTGCATGCATAGTTTTAGCATTCAGATATCTAGTAAAATCAAATGAGTTTGGCGTTTATGAGTCAATTTTAGGTTCAACAAAAGAATCATTGCAGTATATTTGCGATATTTCGCTGAAATCAGTTTTAGTTGTTGTTTTAGCGCATCTTTTTTATTCTAGTACTTTTTATTGTCACACTACTTGGTATATTTTAATATATTTTATTTTTCACGTTTACCCTTCATCGATTAGCAAGAAAGAACTAGAAAAACTTTTGAGATACGATAATCAAGGGATAATTGACACGGCTTTTGACAGTGATGACTGCTTTAGAAAAATCTATTCTAAACCGGAGTTTCTAGGTACAGATTTCCTGTCTCGAAATAGCATCAAAGAAAAATATTTATCTATATCAAATAAATCTGCTATATTCACTACGCCCATTTATATAGCTTTCACGACGATGTATAGTTCTATTTTATCCAGATTATTTACAAATGATAATTGGGCTGATAATTTACATTTAGAACCTTCAGACGAAAATTTGCTTTACTTTATGCGTATCGTTATTGAAGTGTTTAAACAGCACAATATCATTAAGCAGTATTCACCCGAAACTGTTTTTATAAATCAACTAAAAAAATTTGCATCGAGCATTCAAAAACCTAGTTTTAACAGAACAACCCTCCCTTGTAAAAAAAAGCTATTTGGAAGTAGAAATGAAGTTTTTTTTTGGAGTTACTACCAAGAGTTTGTTAAGCATATTTCTTCTTCACAGTTATTCGGTTTGAATTGCGATAAAATAACTGATCAACCGTTAGAATTTTTTGTAAAAGAACTCGCGAGAACAAATATTACTATTGACATTGTTTGGGCTAATTCAACATCAACTAGCGTTTTGAACTTCTCACAATATGAAGGCATATTTAATATAGAACTAGCTGTTGATAACTACAATAACGAGTTGATAAGAACTTTTCAAGATATCGATAATGAGAACCAACGTAGGACAAATACTGCGAATGAAGA